TCCCTTCAGGAGTCTGCGATTTGTTCATACGAAAGCACACTCTGTTTAGAATGTCACCCTCCAGTCCTATGAAAAAGCTTGTTTTCGTTCTGTGCTTCTTTCCAATGGAACTCCCTGCCGATTGAACTTATAAGTTCTACCTTTCTTTTATTACAGCCAAATTCAAGACCCAACCTGTCACAACTGTACGTGACACTGTTCAAAATATATAATTTCCAAAATTTCTCCAAATGGATTGTTTCCACTGTTTTTGTAGAAACTTCAATCAAGTTTTTTTCCAAAATTTGAAATTTCGATTAGTTATTTATTTTTTCTCTCTCAATATTTTTCGTTACTTTGAAAAAACACACACATATGAAATAACGAGAAATAATCGAAGCAACGTATAAATATTTGAAAAAAACCCAACTGATTAAATAATCGAAACAAGTAGCAAATAATCGAAATTTCCTATTTTTTTGGAAAGAAACTTGAAAAAACGAGAAACTTGTCGAAATATCGGAAACTAAAGGACGCAAAGAAAATTTTGATTCCATAATAGTTTATGCTTCAAAAGTTTGTTAATAACATCCCTTATTATATTAATATATTTTAATTCTACCTTATGTATATCAGTAAAATACGCATGCTCAACATCATTGTCATCCCCTCGGTATTAGTGGTGTGGGTGAGTATAGTTACGAGCATGTCTATGTATTAGGTCAGTACACGTACTCAGTATACTCATCCAATAACTGGCAAAACTAGCACTGTTACAAACAATAATGGTGTTGCTGTCAAAACCTTGGGGTACACTTTTACAATACAAAACTCCGATGTCGTTGAAAAACCAGCTCTAGTATCAGCCGTAATAGATTCCAATGGGGGTAGCAGGTAAAACACCGATGAACATTATATGACTGGATCACCGAAATACAATGATGGCGCCAGTGATGACATTATATGGTGGAATGTTTTCAACACAAGTAACACTAATGCATGAGGCCTGCTGTTGGTAGTGTATGGATTCATCCAACATGCCTATGTTAACCCGGAAACCCAACATTAATCCCTAGTTTGTGAAATAGAACCTTTTTCAACGTATATCTCGCTTGAAATGGTGCCTGTTACAGCATTATTATATTAAATATGTTAATCACAAAAAAAAAATATTTCATTTTTTTTTCTTCTAAAAATCCCACATGTTCACCTTACCTGCTGGTCTCGTTGACTACCCAGCGGCGTCCCTGTTCAGGGCCGTTGTATTTCACAACCATGTCACCCTTAGAGTCCCTGTTGGGTGGATTTCACAATCAAAACACTGGCCACCGGTGACCTAGATTTTTGTTACCCATGAATTACTGCATATGTCCAGCTATTGATCCGTACGGCTCGATAAAAGGGACCGTCCCAAATTATACTGAGTTGATTTAAGTTACACACTGGAGCGTTGGACAAACTGCATGTATGAAGTACCTTTTAGGAACAGTTGTATTGTTCACAGAAACCGGCATACATCGTTAGTATTTTTCAACAATGTAATGCATATGCTTTAAATATACAATAAACATACGATCTTGAGAAAACCCCTAAATTGTGGGTGATAAGTTTATCGAGGAGGAGTTAGCTTGTCGTGACTGTACACATTCTTTTCCTTCAGTTTCATTTCACGTAGGTTCGTATATGATGTTTGTTTGTTTTACAAAGAGACAATCCAGTGATTGGTTTTCTTAGCAACAATTCACGACGGAATACAATGACAATACAAGTGATACAACCTTTTCAATAACCAAAAGAATTCTCCTTTCAGCGATTCTGACTTCATCCTAAGCATGTATTTATGAATCACTGCCATATTGTGATGAAACTGAAACGGAGCGCATCCTGCCCCACCAGTGACACCTGTCACAAACACACGCAAAGGCAAGTCTGTATACATCTGAGGTAACACGGAACATATGGTACAAAGTCAAAATAGGAAATTGCACCAAACATCATTTTCGTTAATCATGAGTCAAGTTTGGAAATGTCCTCCACAGGTCTTCCAAAAGTCTTTCTGAATGTTTTATCGAGGTGTTGGATGTGGAAATCTTGACCAAACTACTTTTAAACGAAATGCTATCTGGAATCTAAGTAGAAAAGATGTATCTCGATAGTACCGCTCATGTTGTCAAGTGTAGAGGCCTTAGAGGGCCTGGGGCAGGAATGTCGTTCGACAGAGAGGGAATGTTGAGTTTTGCAACATTGAAATCTTGTAAATGGTTTGTTGTCGTTTTGGATTCAGAGATCTAAATATAACGCGATTTCACTGCTGTTTTTTGTCAGCTCAGGTGGGTTAATCTGAGGAAGGGAAACGGCAATTCAAGCATTATTAAACGACATCAGATCATTAATATACCTGAAACTATAGTTGAACTTTTTGGTCAGTTTTCTTTAAGTTAATTTTGCAAGATCTGCAGAAATTCTGACTCGTATGCTTAAAGAAACAGATCAAGGATGAGAGCCGAGTTAGTGCCAATAGGACATGTAGGATCCCCCTAGATGTGTTCTGTCAAGCAATCAACCAACGAGCAATCTTCTAAATCACCTCTTCTGATCGGCATAGCTTTAGCCCTATTCAAGCCCAGAATCCAGAAAAAATAGTTGATACGTGAATCTGTATTTATGGCAAAGAAACATGCCTAGTGCATGTCAGAAACGAATGATACAATCTTTGCATTAAATAAACTAGGTGTCACGGAGAGGAGAAGTGCAATAACGCGAAATCCATAAACATTACGTCACATTCCATTAACCAAGTGAAAGGTAATGGCCATCCCTTTGTATTACCACGATCTTTGGATCAGTACATGCCTGTATTTCATTCTCAACCCCATAGTAAGTATATATATGTCTTCATGGCGCAGTATAAGGCTAGACTGTTTGTCAGATTGTCAAAGGGCACCTACACCCATAGCCATCAAACACCAACAGCAATCCAACCGGATCTTTTTTCAAACGGGTATATTTAGTATCATCACCTTCAATGAATATTTGAGAATATTCGACCAAAACCTCACGTTCGCTGGTTGATGTGCGTCCGGGATTTCCATAGCGACGCTTAGCAACGCATCAACAAACTACCGAGCACATGTGGCCCTCTTGTTCACCTGATACGACTATGTACACAGACAAGCACGTTCTGCACTGAGATGGGAAAGACAAACATCATAACGAAAGCGCAGTATGTCTAGGCATATTGACTAAACAGTTTAGGGCAGAAGATATTTCTATGGAAGAATATTCGTGCCACGGTATAAAAACATTATCTTGTAAGTGGAACATGCGTTCATCTACATAGATGATACTTGACTCTTAGACTGTTGCACTGATACGCTTCCATATATTTCAGTTTTCAGAATCGGGTAAGGTTACCTTACGATGTTCGATACTGAACTTTGTTGGTGAAACGCATAGGTTGAAATTGTGCAAACATTCATGTATTACCGGTGGTACAAGCTTCAGGCCAGTGTTGGCCAATAAGTGGATTGGTGCTCTCGTCAGTGCGTATAACCCTCGTCATATAAATAGCGTTTAGTCATACAAACAGACACGTGTTTTTATGTTTACTCGTACAGAAAAACAGAAAGTCCTGCAACAGAATGTTGAACATTCTCCTGAATACTTGTTTGCTTGCATTTTGCTATAGGGGTAGGACCTAGTTACAGATATAAATTTCTTCAATATATTAGATAAAATAACCGTGACTTAGTCATGACATTATGTATTTTTACTTACGATATACATATTGCACAGATAAAAATATAACATAATGACATGACGTCACTTGTTTACCTGAGTGTCGGCAGTTTTTTCAGGTTTGTTAAGTTCAAGTTAAGGTCACGACCAGCTACAGTCAGGCAGTCGTACAACGCTTATGGATTACACCTTCTACCAAAGCATGGTAATATCAAACTACACGTGCTATAAGAAGGTCCACTCTTACTTCCGTGTAAACGTGCATACAAGTAAATCATGGTCTTCGTCCTCCTTTGTGGAGGTGAGGTAGACAAGTGGTTAAAGCGTTCGCTCATCACGCCTTAGACTCAAATTCGATTCTCCTATGGGTAAGATGAAGCCCGTTTCTCAAATGCGGCATAAAATCATACTCACACACCCTCACTATAGTCTATACATCCATGAGCATATTGTTCCTGATACCTACATGACCGCCTCCGTGGTGTAGTGGTTAGAGCGTCCGCCCGGAGAGCGGAAGGTCGCTGGTTCGATTCCCGACCGCGTCATACCAAAAGATGTTAAAATATGGTACTTGTTGGTCCCTGCCTGGCGCTCGGCATTAATGGGTACAACAAGGACTTGTCGGCTCGGAGTCAGTATAATGTGTCTCAGTGGGGTATTCATGCTTCACTGTGGCATGGTATCTCAGTGGGCTAGCACTATAAAACCAGCTTAAGTCTGGGCTAGTACAAGCAGCCGCACATACACATACATGCACGTCGTCATATGAGCGAAATATTCTCCCAATTTCACCTCACCTCAACTCATACCTACATTGTAGTACCCAGCGGACTATTTTTGAAGATAATATTCCACGAACAAAATAGTTTAGCCAGTGTATCCAAATGTCTTCGGTTTGAATGTTCTTCACATATGGTACTGTAGATTTGTATTCTTTGAATGTCCCTTGATTTGTTTCACTTATATTTCAGGTATTTTAAAAGATCTAGACTAAATATACATTCAAAGTTGAAAAGAGGCGTTTTATGTGCTTTAAAATTGTGCCGGGTGAACTTTTTAACTGCCATGCGAAGTTCACAGTTTACTGCAGAGGTCTACAGGAAAACTCACAGGTTTGCACAAAAGTATCATTAATAGTATGAAGCCTTTTACAGATAATGACATGTTGTTTTAACGTCAACTTTGAGAAAACATCATGACTTATATTTGTGTGCTTGGGCTTAGTCTCTATTCGCCCACATCCCTAATTGCCCACATCCCAATTGGCCCACAAACACATCAGAGGTTAATTAGGGTCAGACAATGCACCCCTACTCTCATAATGGGGTGTCCTGACAAGGGGGGGATTAGTCTAAAATCACATACATCTCTGAGTTACTTGACAAAGTGCTCTTGTTTCAGTGTTGTGGTAGTTATACAGGATGGAGAAGGAAACTTAGAGAAGATTTAAAGTATATTTCAATTTTGTCTAAATAAAGTAGAGAGTATTATTAATTAATGTATCTACTAATCGGAAATAACTTCTCTCTCCTTTCAATTTAGTAACTCACTGCAACCCTATAAGTATGGTAGTTTGCAAAGTATGGGCAGTCGCAATGGCTAACCTACAGAAAGCAGAGTTCACGTTGTCGCAGAGAGGAGGAAAACAGGTTCTACACGGAGGTCACAAGTATCGACTGCACGTTGACAGACAGGTAGCCACTCACTGGAAGTGTATCATCGACAAGTGCAAGGGTAGATGCAGCACCATTGGGGATCACATCACTTCAGTATCAGAACACAACCATCCTCCACTAGTGAATGAAGAAGAGAGTCGACTTCTCACCAGACTTAGACAACGCGTTCAAGAAGAGATCAAGCCTGTCCAGCAAATCTACAATGAAGAGACCCAGAACCTAGACGAAGAAGCTGCTGCTACTGTTGCTTCCTTCTACAGTATCAAGTCTGGACTCTACCGTCAGCGTGCCAAGGTTCTTCCACCAGTCCCACGTACCCGTGCTGATGTAGACCTCACAGGTACCTTTTTAAGTATTAACTTATCTACTGATATTTGCATAATGCTCAATTGATTTCTTGACAGTGTACTTCATTCATTCATTCATTCATCAAAAACAACGTCTAACACACTTGCTTGTTTTTTAAGGTTCCTGGACTGAGACAACAGACGGACAACAGTTCCTGGTTGTAGACAGCGAAGATGAAGACAGGATCCTGATCTTCAGTACCGCAGAGATGCTGGACATCCTCGCCAATGCAGAAACCATCTACATGGACGGAACATTTTTTGTGTGTCCCAGCCTGTGGCAACAAGTCTACATTGTGCACTGCCTTGTGGATGGACAGATGTTCCCAGTCGCCTTCTCCCTGCTGCCAAGCAAGTCTCGTGATACATACATTAGATTGTTTAACTACTTGAAGGACTCTGTGCTTGCTATTGTCGGCGTTGAACTTTCTCCCTCCGTTGTACAGACTGACTACGAAGCTGCTGCTATTGGAGCCACTGAGAGAGTCTTCCCCGATGCAGAAGTCCGTGGATGCTACTTCCACTTCACCCAGGCGGTTTGGCGGCAGGTTTCAGAGAAAGGCCTTGTGAAAACCTACAAGGACAACCGTGCCTTCAACACTCCACGTGCGACGATGCTGCAGCACTCCCCTCCTCCCAGTGGATCAGATCCAAGATGCCTGGATGGAAGTATTGAACCAGTCTCCCGACGTTGACGGAATCGGCCAGTTCAACGACTACATCACATCTACATGGGTTGACTACGACGCAAGATTCCCACCTCGCATTTGGAATCAACATGGAAACACTGGGCCAAGAACAAACAATCACTTGGAGGATTCCACCTTGGATTTAAGAAGCTGGTTCAGAAGCACCACCCGAACATTTACGAGTTTGTGATCACAATGAAGAAGCTCGAGACAACAAACAGAGTGGCCAGAAGACAGATTGAGCATGGAGCAGCTGTCCGCCCAAGATCCAGACTCTACAAGAACCTGGACAGCCGCCTGCACAGACTGCAGCAGCAACTGGAAACTGGCAGAAGATCACCGCTACAGAGTTCTGGACGCGGCTGGACACCTGATCAAGTTGAACTGAACATTATGAAACTTTGTTTGTGCTTGCGCCAACGGCTAAAAACGTGCACTACATGTATCCACTATCCCATCATGAATATCAGGGGCGGCGGGGTAGCTTAGCGGTTAAAGCGTTTGCTCGTCACGCCGAAGTCCCGGGTTCGATTCCCCACATGGGTACAATGTGTGAAGCCAATTTCTGGTGCCCCTCGTGGAATATTGCTAAAAGCGGCGTAAAACCATACTCACTCACTCATGAAAATCATATTAATCAAATAGTGAATCACTATCGAATAGTAATGATCTCAGGGATTTTACGAGTGTATCCTTTCCTGATACCCGTCACAGTTACTTGCAAAGGCAAGTCAAGTGTTCCCGTAAAAGTGAAGTCAACACACATTGCACCCATGGGCTGTGTCATGTGTGCACGTACACACTCACACATTCATACGCACGCACGCGCGCGTATGTGCAATGTACTTGTACTACAATATATCTATCCATGTTAAAATATGTGAATCTCTCCATATATACTTTCTTATATATCCATACGTTTGAAAAAACCCGTTCATCTATGTATCTGTCTATGTACCGACATGTAAAGATCCGGGTTAGAATTGGTGTTCAGCATTGTCGTTAGAGGCGACTAACGGGATCGGGAACATGTCATCGTATCCCAATCGATGCTCGTGCTGTTGATCACTGAATTGTCTCGTCCAGACTCGATTATTTACAGACCACCGCCATAGAACTGGAATATTGCTGAGTTCGGCGTCAAACTAACCTTTCTCACTCACTGACTACGCACCGTATATATAGACAAGCTCAAATAATCAACCTCAGTCACCTGCCGAATCAGAATTAATTTAACGTAAAATGAAAATTAGCTGTCAAAGTTACATAGCAGGAACTCGGAACATAAGTAATAAGACCAGTGTCCAAAAAAGAAGTAAGCTTGCTCTACCGGCAACAGCCGCCACATCACAGAATTAGCACGAAAAGTATGAGGCATTGCGTATTCTTTCTGTGTTGCTCCGTTTTTACCATCCAATAGACATTTTACTTACCAACCAGTATACATATATATCATGGACTGGCCCCCAGCCTATTTAGCAGACCTGGTTCACGAATACAGCCCCTTCAGGGGTGTGCGATCTGTTGATAACAAAGCACTCTCTGTTTCAAATGCCACCAGCCAGTCTTTTGGGAAAAGTTCTTTTACGTCCTGTGCTTCTTTCCAGTGGAACTCCCTGCCGCTTGAACTTATAAATTCTACCTTTCTTCTATCAAGGCCAAATTCAAGACACTAACCTTCACATCTGATCGTGACACTGTTAAAACATTTGAAATGTAATTACTTTCTCAAAATCGATTTTTTAATTATGTTTTCGTTACTTTAAGTATTTTCTTTCCAAAAACCTGAAATACCGAGAAATAATAGAATCAAGGGGAACATATTTGAAATACCCACAAATTAACTGAAACAACTATTTTTTAATATATTTTGAAAGAAACTTGAATTTACAAGAAACAAGAAAATTATCAATATTTCGCGAAAATAATTCAAATATCGAGACAATAATCGACGCAACGAGAAATTTCGATATAAAAAATAGTGTATGCTGCAAAAGTGTTAAAAAAACCATACCTTACTATATTGTTCTCTCGGAAAATTAATCCTAAGAACTATACCTATGCTGAAAATGATTGTCATTTCCCCGGTATAAGTAGAGTTGTGAGTATAATTAGGAGCATGTGTATATTTAGCATACTCAGTATTGCTGTTCATAACTGTCATGTTATCATGCCAGTGGCGTAGCTACAGCGTAGCACAAAAAGCACGTGCCTACACTTTAAAATTGAAAACAAAATGTTGTGATTCAAGATGCTAATAAAAATTAGCATTTAATTTGTTTTCCTGTTTTCTGGGTGGTTTCTGGTATAGTACCGTGGCACCCGAACGCAACTTGCCTCGCGGATCATTTATAGATAAACATGTTTTGTCTACACTATGCAACAAATTATGTCTGGAAACAGGCCGAAATCGTTTGTTCAGTAGGCGATATCGTTGATCTGTTCTGTGAAATTGTTTTACCCCTTAAGTATTGTGTCGTTTGTTATGTGCAGAAATGAGTAAAAATCTTCAAAACGTTCATCTACAATTGATTGTTACTTAATTAAACAACCCAAATTGACTGAAACACGCGTTTTACCTGATAATTGTACCCAGTGTTCCCAAACACATTCTGATACAATAGCATTATCTGAGTCATGTACTGATTCCCCGCCAATTGTTAAATCAGACACTCCGAAATCATCTCTACTGTCTCTGTGACAAATATTAAGATTGGTTCACGTACATCGTGATTTCGTGGTAGACATTGACATATTTGCACAAGGTCAATCTAGAAGATTGGCTCTTCTCTTTGACTAACATATGTGACGACGCAATGCTGCCCTGGTGGTTTGTTAAATCCTTTCAGTCGTCATGAGATCCACCTTACGCTTTGAAGTTGAAGTGTTTCATTTACCGAGTTTTCGAGTTGTTTTGGTACTTAACTATACTGAGGTTCATAAGAAAGTACACACCTGGTGTTTTGGGACTATTTGCATTAAAACCATAAATATTTCGCTAGCAATGTTGTAATTGGGTACAATATCTGGTGTTTTGGAAACACTTGCACAATGTTTGTGACAAGGCAGAATCAAAACACTTTTTAAAATATTAATGCTGTTTTAAAGAAAACATTTTACCAAAGAATCAGGTGACTGTGTACTTTCTTCTGAACGTCAGTTTATTTACAATATTTATGTGGTCAGGGTCCGCTAGTTTGGAGTTATTGTTTATGTTTTGCATGTTTTACCATGTTATTGATGTTTGTCTGAACTGTATCTCGTGTTCAGAAGAATGTTTTACTTTTAGATGTGGTATACTCCCCCTGATTTCAAAATGTTTCATCAGTTGTGCCTTACACTCTGTATTTTCCTGGCTACGCTCCTGCATGCTCTTCCAACTTCTAAATGCCTATCAAAGCCTTGGAATACACTTTTACAATACATAAGCAGATCTCATTGAACAATCACCTCTAACACATTCCACTGGGGGTAGCAGGTAAAACACCGATTAACATTATATGACTGGATCACGGAAATACAATGATGGCGCCAGTGATGACATTATAAGGTGGAATGTTTTCAACACAAGTAACACTACTGCATGAGGCCTGCTGTTGGTAGTGTATGGATTCATCCAACATGCCTATGTTAACCCGGAAACCCAACATGAATCCCTAGTTTGTGAAATAAACCTTTTTCAACGTATATCTTGCTTGAAATCGTACAAGTTACAGCATTAAATATGTTACTTACAAACCAAAAAAAACCCTAAAACATTTTTCGTTTTTTTTCTTCTTAAAATCCGTCATTTTCATCTTACCTGCTGGTCTCGCTGACTACCCAGCGGCGTCCCTGTTAAGGGTTGGAGTATTTCACAACCGTGTCCCTGTTGGGTGGATTTCACAATCAAAATACTGCCCTCAGGTGACCTAGATTTTTGTTCCCCATGAATTATTGCATATGTCCAGCTATTGATCAACACCGTTCGATAAAAGGGACCGTCACGAATATACTGAGTTGAGGTAAATTACACACTGGAACGTTGAACAAACTACTTGTATGAAATACGCTACAAAAAGTGGTATTGTTCACAGAAACATGCATGCATCATTGGTATTTTTCAACAATGCAATGCATATTCTTAACATATACAATGAGCATACGATTTTGAGAAAACCCCTACATTGTGGGTGAATTGCTTATCGAGGTGGAGCTGGCTTGTCATGTCTGTACACATTCCTTTCCTTTAGTTTCATTTCATGTATTTGATGTTGTGTTTGTTTGTTTAACGACGAGACAATCCGGTGATTAGTTTTCCCAGCAATAGTACAAGTGATACAACCATTTCAATAACCATAAGAATTCTCCTTTGGGCCATTCCGACTACACCATAAGCATGTAGGTATGAATCACTGCCATATTTGGACGATACCCGGTGTTCGCAAAACTGTGGGCATCCTGCCGCACCAGTGGCACCTGTCACAAACACACGCAAAGGCAAGTCTGTATACATCTGAGGTAACACGGGAGCACATGGTACAAAGTCAAAATAGGGAATTGCACCAAACATCATTTTCATAACTCACGAGTCAAGTTTGGAAATGTCCTCCACAAGTCTCACAGAAATCTTTCTGAATGCTTTTTCGAGGTCTTGTTCAAACTGCTTTTAAACGAGAGTCATATGGCGCTAAGTGGAATCTTCGGAGTACCGCTCATGCCAAGTGTAGAGACCTAAGAAGTGCGTGGAGCAGCAGGAATGTTGTTCGACATAGATTGTATGTTGACCTTTGAAAAGTTTTATGGATAGTTTGTTGTATTTGTAATGCACAGATCTAAGTATGAAGCTGTTTATTGTCAGCTCAGGGGGTAAATCATCGGAAGAGAAAAGGCAATTCGAGCTTTAAAATAAAAATCAATATGTCCATTTATATAGCGCCAAACCCCACATTATGTATGCTCGTAGCGTTCACAATCTATAGCACAGCAAAGTATTAGCCCGGATAACCCAGGCTGTCTGTTAGGCGCTAGAAGTCACATTACTTTCACCGGGTACGCATTTTTCTGCTGGGTGAACAGAGGCAATTTTGAACAAATTCACTTGCCTGAGGCGAGACTACGTGTATCACATCTGCTTCGTTGTGGGGCAGGAATGGTCCTAGAAACCCTCATGAGTCAAGCAGCCAAACATGGTCACCCATCCCTCATTAAACGATATTAAATTTTTGCACAGAAATATTTACACAAAAAAAGAGCTTATGAAAATGAAATTTGTAGACAATGTAGTTATATATGTATCGTTTGTAATGTTGATAGTGAAACTTTATGTCATGTATATTGGGAATGTGTTGTAACCCAAACCTTCTGGAAGGAAATTAAAAATCGGATAATCCAAAACATACAGAAATTGGAAATAACAAAGATCTTGGTTTGGTTTGGAATTTTGGGTAATAAGTCATTACTAAATCCTATCATAAATAAATAAATAAATAAATAAATAAAAAAATAGATAAATAAAGACAAATGGTTTCCTTTATTCTCAATATATATATATGTATATACTCTTGCACTTTGAAGAAAACATTAAGACAAATGGTTTCCTTTATTCGAATAACTTTACTGGATTATAATGCCTTTATGCTGTCTGTTGATCTAACATTTTTGTGGAACCAAATGAACTTTGAGCATGTATTTGTACATTTATTGCTTTACTTTATATGCTTGTATTCATCCATGGGAACAAATAAAAAAGATTTAATAAAAAATTATTAAACGATATCAGATCATTGATATACCTAAAACTATAGACAAACTTATTGGCCAAATTCCTTTGGTTTAAATTTGCAAGGTCTGCAGAATTTCTGAATCGTATGCCAAAATATCACCAGATAAACAATGATAAGAGCTCAGTTGGTGTCCATAGGGCATCTCCTATCCCTATAGATGCTTTGCAACACGCGATGGACCAACGAGCAACTTACATCACTTGTTTACTTCGTCAGGTTTGTCACGGCCAGATACAGTCAGGGAATCGGACAACGATTATGGATTACACCTTCTATTAAAGCATGGTAACATCAAACTACACGTGCTATAAGAAAGTCCACTCTTACTTCCGTGTAAACGTGCATACAAGTAAAATCATGGTCTTCATCCTCGTTTGTGGAGGTGTGGTGGTTACAGCGTTCGCTCGTCACGCCTTAGACCCGAATTCGATTCTCCTATAGGTAAGATGTTTCAAGCCCGTTTCTCAAAAGCGGCATAAAATCATACTTACACACCCACAATATAGTCTATACTTCTATGAGCATATAGTTCCACATACCTACATTGTAGTACCCAGCGGACTATATTTGTAGATAATATTCCACGAACAAAATAATTTTGTATCAGTGTATCTAAATGACCTCGGGTTGAATTTTCTTCACACATGGTACTGCAGCTTTGTATTATTTAGCGAATGTCCCTTGATCTCCTTGTAGAGTGTTCAACTTTTTCTCAGGTATTTTTTAAATTCTATACTAAATAAAATCAAAGTTGAAAAGGGATGTTATATGTGTTTTAATATTGCGCTGGGTGCACCGTTTAACTGTCATGCGAAGTTCACAGTTTACTACAGAAGCCAACAGGAAAACTCACAGGTGTGCACAACACTATCATTAATAGTAAGAAACAATATGTTGTTGTAACGTCAAGTCATGAGAAAACATCATTACTTATGTTTGTCTAAAAACGCACATTACATTGATAACGTCATACGGTGCTGTTGTTCATGCTTCTCTACCCTGGATATCCTTCAGTATCGCCAGGTTGAACGGCAATTCTTCTGCATACGTTCAGTCCGCACGCTCCACAGAGGTAAAATTGGGGCCACGTGGAGCCCAGGGCCCCGTTTCACAAAGCTATCGTAGCGCTACGACTGTCGTTCCTCCTATACTGTAACATAGACTTACGACAGTCGTAGCGCTACGATAGCTTTGTGAAACGGGGCCCAGTCGTCGAGGGAGCTGTAATTCGCTGCGCAGAGTCACGTCCATAGGGAACGACAGCAGCGTACCATCGTGGCCTCCAATACAGGTTCTCAACGCTTGTAGTTCTACTTTCGTCAACACCATACCGATGGTCCTTGTTCTCACAAAACACAAACGTATGACCTTCATCACTTCCAGCGGTCCTGAAGCCGACAAGTTTAATAGTCCAAGCGGCGTCAAAGTCAGCTCGCTCGCTCACTCACTCACTTAGGCAAATGGACTGGACATACACGGGTTAGAGTTGTTCCTAAATTAAATACAAGGGGGTGACACATAAGGACGTAGGACAAACCTGGTCTTTAGGTGTGATTGAGCATCAACAAAGTGATCTGTAATCATTTATTTGCATATTAATATTTTCATAAATCATATTTTGATTTTTGAGCGCAAGAAATAAGCCCCCCCCAAAAAAAAAAAAAAAATAAAAATAAAATAAAATAAAAATATATATATCTATATATAAATACAAATGTCCGTTTTTGGCCTAATGTACACAGATCATAAACATTATTATCACATTCTAATCCCTGAATCACATGCGAGAAACTATATTGCGGTAATATGTGACAAGGCAAATTTCTATAAGCATTAGAAATTTCCATCCACTGTCTGATCATGAATATTATGACCATGCATTTATGAATCACTATCAAATAGTGATGATATCAAGGATTTCACGAGTGTGTCCTTCTCTACACGGGCACCTGTCACAAATACTTGCAAAGGCAAGTCACACGTTCTGAATTGCATCAGACAGTAGTTTTAGAAATGTCCTCCACGAGAACCATGACGAGCCTTTCAAGCTTCAGTTAGTCCTTAAAAGTTCTAACCCCGATCAAACAACCTTTTTGGGCAAGAGTCGATTGTACATGCATCAGCACTAAACATTGCATTAAATACTGGGAACAATAGACAAAGAGGTGTTGGCTGGTATATATAGAGATGAGTTATAAATAATATGTACAATAAATCAGTGGGAGTGATTTGTGTCATTGCACTGGCAATATTAAAAAACCCAGATACAAGCAGAGGTATATATCATTGTATCACAGACGTTTTGCATCCAGACAACCATGTTGTATATAGCGTACACACAACAGATATATAATAAACATAGACACTCGGATACAGCTGAACATACTGCCAGTAATTCTCATTGGCCAGTTCATGGCGATTGTCTCATTATATGAGTGTTTGTGAACAATCATTTTTAACATTCCAAACAAACGTACGGTATATTATGTACACACCACATACATATTGCATATGGATTTTCTCATTAAGACGTTTGGGAATCGCCCGGTAACTGGTCAAAACATTACTAGACGCCCACGTTACGTTTTGACTTGTATCATAATCAGCCAGGCTCGAAGAATTGGTATTTGGTGCGTAGGTGAAAAGGATTTTCGTTTCCTTGACGATGCAGATTATACATGTTCACAGCTTACTTACAGGCGCCATGACATTTGCTCATACAGCGAGTCACATAAAGGACGTGTTCCGTTCTCACGGGACTCTAAATAATAGTACAAGATTTTGACTTGTTCTCATTTGAAGATGGGGTTTGTGACCTATTTTTCTTACTGGAGACAGGGTCAGGGGTGGTGGCTGGGGTGGGGTCAGGCGCTGGAGTCGGGGCGGGAACGGGGGCGGGGTGACCTTGTCATTGTTTTTGAAGGCTGTTTTGACTGTGTTTTTGAACTGGTGCTGTTGTCTGATGTAGATGTTTTGGATTTCTTATCTTCTGATTTAGGTGTACCGTTATCTGTCAATGCTGGAATATGGTTGTTAATTTTGCCAACCATTTCATCGAACTCCTTGCCAGTCCATTTCTCCTGAACACTTTCGTCCTTGGAGAAGTTGATGTAGAGAAGCTGCGTGAACACCATGCTCATGGGACCGGAAGGAGGCCATGTTGTCTTCTCCAGTAACAGAGGAACTATTGGCTTCTTCAGGGCATCAGCCAGACTGACCTCCCTCCTGCAGTTGGCAGACAGGGCATACTTGGTGGTTATACAGCTGAGTATGACCTTGCAGCCCCGCACCCCCCGGTCAATCTTGTCGTAGAGGGAGTCCCCACCTCCCATCTGGTGAATGTCCATCCAGCAGGTGTAGCCGAGGCTGGTGAGACGTCGGTAGAGGAGGATGATCTGCTTCTGTTTGCCCCACTGATAGGAGATGAACACGTCAGGGGACACAGTGGCAACCTGCAACGAAATGACAGAGAAGCTGAAAAACACATTATATGATACAGTATATGCCTGCCAGGCTCTCACTGGACTAAGTCTACTTTTGGAAAGGATTCAGAACCTAAATATTTAGAGTTATGAAGACAGGTGTATCACCTCTGTTGTCTCTGTAGTTTGAGGTTTCTCCCCTTTGCTGTTAGTCTTCTTCTTGTCTATCTTGATCTCTTCAACAACAGGCGTCCACCACTGTTTATATTCTGAAAAAAAGAGATTTCATGACATCATTTGCCTTGAAGGACATTTTAAATGTTCCATAGCATCCGAAACGTACAGTAGGCAGGTGTTTTAATCTGCTAAGTAACATACCTTTCATAACCTTGGCCTCGTCTGGCACGATGCCGTTGTAGTTGAGCTGCATCAGAAGCTCCTGGAACTTGGCTCCTGACCAGTATCTGTCATCCCCAGTCTCCTCTCCTGGGCGAGTGAAGAAGCGGATGAACAGGTACTCGCTGAAGATTGGGCCCATAGAGCCAGCTGGGGGCCATGTCTGTTTCTCCATCAGGAGGGGGATGATGGGGCGTCCCATACTCACCGACAGATTCACCTGAGGTAAATTAAGAAACGTGTGTATATTCTTCTACTTGTGCTCTCTACATCATACTAAAGCCATACAACAAAACACCAGCTTGTTTAATTGATTTGTGTGGGGGCCTTATTGAATCCGTTTAATGAACTCACCTCTCTGTTACAGTTGGGCGACTTGGCATATTTCTCCGTCACACAGCTGATGATCACTTTGGAGCCCCGGATTCCCTGGTCAATCTTCTCAAACAGCTTGTCTCCTCCTCCCATCTGACCAATGTCCATCCAGCATTCGTAGCCCGCCATCTCCAGGTGGCGCTTCAGCAGTTTCACCTCGTTCTGGATTCCCCACTGGTAGCTGATGAAGACGGCTGGAGGGGCGGCATATTCGAACGGCTCATCCTCGACTACCGTCTCTGTGGAGAGCAAGAGTGCACACTCAGGAATAAGGCAATCCGTAGGAAACGTTTTCACATACCCTCGCGTCATGGGTTTCAGTGGTATTAAGAAATTTACGACTATGAATACGATCGCTGGTATTGTCAAGTCATGTAAACATAACATAGTGTTAGACAACATACCATTGTATCATTCAATGTCAATAAAACACTTTTGTCATTCTGAAGTTCATTGTTGTCAGTATCAGACGACATGCGGCCACTGTGCACAAATTCTGGTGACGTCATATGTTTCCGTGGTATTGAAGTTCAAACTTTAAGAATTATTCGGCAATATGTTATATTATATATTATGACATCTTAAATGACTGAAATGGAAACTCTCGTATGGCTATGGATTGCCTATCAACCGGTTACCAATAAATGTATTTTTGTGAACAATAATTATGTCAAAACCTCACCTGCCATCTTCATGGCATTCTCCACAATGGAGGCTGCATCCATCCGGTTCATCTCTTGTAGAGCCGTCAACACAGCATACGAGGCCTCGCTGGTTTTACGGGTGGCGTACCACTCGTTCAGCAGGGCCATGCAGGGGTCATGTTGCTGAGCCCAGCCTCGGATGTCATCGTTGTTGTAACCCAGGCGAGTTGACAGCAGCCTCCAGTCGTGGTCCCCCTTGGGGTTGAGAAGCTTGGAGACATCTCGGGACCAGAAGGGAGCATGGCTCAAAGTCTGGAAGATATCCAGCAAACATAAGCTCAGTGGAATAACAAACAAACCTTTCAAGATGAATAACATTTAAAAAAAATGTTTTGAGCATCTTCATCAAATGTTTTACAGATGAATTTGTCAGATCTTACAGGATAAGACAGGCCTCGCTATATGTGATTAATTCGTAGATGCCAAATATAAAGAGTGTTGTTGGCAAACCCTCACCTTGCCATCTATTTCTTCCACCTTAGCTACAGTTTCGTCCACCGTCTCCTCCAGAGCACCAATCTTCTTTCCCTGAGTTTTCACATCCTTCTTCACTGTTTTTATTTCCTTCTTCTGCTTGCCGACCTCCTTTGTGACGACCTTGACATTTTTCTGCGTAACTGTGACCTTGGCGTCGAGTTCCTGTACATCCTCCTGCGTGTCCTTGATGTCTTCAGATAAGGCGGCCAGGCTTGTTGGTGATAACAAAATATGAGTGCACACATTAAAATAGCAATATATCCTGATTCAATGTCATAAATCACATACTAATATTAGATTCGTAGTTGATACAGTAGTCGCCAACATGTCATCAAGGTCAAGGTTAAATGAAGAATTGTGTTCCGGTTCCATGAGCCCAATTTCAATACTTGCTATAATAGTATACTAGTATGATATTCAACATTGTTAGGCATTATAGGACGTTGTTTATACATACATGGCCATTATCCGAACGTAGATATTTATAATCAAATACATGTGTGTTTCATTGATATAGTGAGCTTTTGCCACAAAAGCTACAAAAGTCACGTTATCAGCACGGAAGCCGAGGAAAAGATCCCAGAAGAAACTGAAAGCTTCTTCGCGACAAATTTGAATGTTGCATACTTAATGAAACTCTACACACCTCCTTCCTTCTATGATGTCTATTAAACCAGTGATTCCATCTTTGGTGTACTGTATCTGGGCTCTGGCGTGCACCTTCTCCAAGTCAGGTCTGTGTTTGGTCAGAAGGGGAACATATTTCCCCCCAACGTTCCGCAAACCGTCCAGCACACATAGGAACAAGGTCTGCTCTTCGCGGCCTTTTAATATCTTCATGTACAGATTCAAAACCTCTTCAGCATTTTTCTGAAATTGATATTTGTCAAGTGTAATGTGCATTGTTTGGTATTCATCAATGTTTGGTTAGAATAATGATGGATATTTATAGTTGAGAACATCTCGTTGCCCTCTCGGAAAAGGTGTGGGCCACTGATCTGCACGGAACATCCATGATCATGGGATTTGGGTTCCCCCAGATCTGTCAGAGATAGTATTTCAGTGCATTTCTGCATTTTCGGTCTAAAGAGATGATCCTTTTCAGGAACCCACTGTTATAAAGATGAGAACTCATTATTTTCGTCAGTGTAACGGCTACTTTGAAGCTCCAGTCTGTTTTGGATTATAGAAACTAACTGTTTTTCAAGGGAACTTGAAATTTTGTGAATTTCACACATGTTTATCCCCATCCAGTAACTGGCATCGTCATGAGCATCAGTCTACCCAACTGGGAACCGATGACATCCATCAAACAAGTCAGCTAGTCTGACCACCCGATCCCATTAGTCGCCTCTTACGACAAGCATTGGGTACTGGAGACCAAGTCTTGTCCGGTCTTCACGGGTCGAACGGTTTGTGGACTTACTGTGCTGAAATCTAAAGCAGAAGAGAAGTGCACAACACAACAATGGATGAGATCTCGCTCTTGCATATTCAATTCAACAAAGTCGAATGGTGTCCAACGTCAATATGGAACACATCCTGTTCAGACACCTACCTCTGATCGGACTCCGACGTGCTTGATGACGTTCATGAGGCAGGGTTTGGCGTAGTCCACCAGGTCTTTACTGTCTGCCAGCAGAGGCAGAAGTTTGCCAATCTTTTCGGGCTGTTGTTTGGCCACGTCTTCAAAAAGCATGAGTATTTGTGCAGCCGAAGTCGGATCCTTCTTCGCATCAAACCAAAGATCTTCTAGATTTTTATCCGTGAACACCTGTAAATGTTTGTATCACATTGTGATATTGGTACCACCTAGCTAATCAATGGCACACAAACTCTCATGACATCGAATGAAGAAACGAAACAAACCCCTCTCTCTCTTTCTTTCTTTCTCTCTCTCAAGCTTCTTGATTTGAGTATACTTTTAAATAGATGTATGGGTGAAAACAGATTGAACCGACAATGAATAAGATATGGTTAACAATGATGAGATGCTTGTATCTGAATTTTTAACACACAGACACTCTCTCTCTCTCTCTCTCTCTCACACACACACACACACACACACACACACACACACACATACACACACTGTGTCTCTTTGCAATGTCGTAAACTTACTTTCCAGGTTCAAGTGGTCCTGGTTTTACAATAGCTCACCTCAGGATGTATTTTGGCGACGGCTGCGAACAGTTGTATCATGAACGTCCTGGTCATAGTATCACCAGTGTCATGATGTGCCATGAACTTGTGAAACTCTTTATTGATGGGTCCGGGCTTCTCAGGGTAGATGGACACAATAGGCTCTGGTAACACACACAAAAATACTGTAAATATAAAACCTCAACTTCGGAAAATAATCACTCTCTCCATTACCTGTCGAATTCGTAACAAGCATTGATAATTGGTTTGGTTTGATTCGTCGCCCCTTCGAAAAACAATCAACCGTTGTTTTTGCGAGATTTGTCTCTCGGAAACCACTTCTACTGCAGCCTCCTGCGTCACAGTAGTGATTGTTGCGTTTTCTAAATTGACTTGGCAAGAAACCTTAAACAACATAAATATACCGGAAGGGCATTTAGGATCGTAGTAGTTGGCGCCATCTATTAGCGAAGTGGTAAAGGGAGATAACTGTGCCCATTACTGTTAGGTAAACGGATAACTGAAAATCAATGACACCAGGTGTTCCCAGATGGGTACGTATATATACTGCATCCACAATTCGTTTAAAACTTAAGTTATTGTCTAAATACGAAACCATGAAGAGACCATTTTGAGTCGATATGTCGGTCTGTCTTACGAGTCGTATTTCAGGACAGTTTTCAAACATTTGCAGTTCCATAATAATGATAGAATTTATTCAATTCCAAACGATTCCTATACGACGTTGTTGGATTATTTAGCACTATGAAGGCGCAAATTACTCACGAAGCATGTAGTACTTTTCATCTTCGAAATAGCAGGAGATTAACTTGTCGACATATGGGGCCAGCACTATTCCAGATTTGATGCATACATGTTGTAGCATGTTGCCGGCCACCTCTCGGACAGACGCATCCTCGTGCTGCAGGAGGTCAATCAAACTTCCAAGCATGGGGACCGCCCACTCCATCTTGTTTATATCGTCCAGCTGCAAAACATTACAGACATGTGCAACCATACAACACAGACATGCGCAATACAACACAATCAGTTGCAACACGAAACGGGCAGGTGCAATTGTACAACACAGACATGCGCAATACAACACAGGCAGATGCAGCACAACACCAACACAGACATGTGCAGTACAGCTTAATCAGATGCAACACAACAGAGACATGCGCAATACAGCATAGTCATATGCAACACAACACAGACATGCGCAATACAGCATAGTCATATGCAATACAACACAGACATGCGCAATACAACATAATCAGGCGCAACACAACACAGACATGCGCAATACAACATAATCAGGCGCAACACAACACAGACATGCCCAATACAACACAATCAGATGAAACACAAAACGGGCCGGCGAAAGTACACAACACAGACGGGTTCAACACAAGCACGCAGTTCTGAAAATATTATCTCCCGAGTTGTCAGTAAACATACAATCATACATATTGTCGCCAACAGAAAGTGTATGTTTTTAAGCATGTGTAATTGCATCATGCAGTAAATGTTAGGATGCAATTACACAAATAACACTGTTATCCTTAAATATCCGGGTTAGAATTGGACTTTGTTAACCATGCTTGTCGACAGACGCACCAATGGGGATCGGGAGTTCTGGCCTGACATGGTTGACGTATGTCATCGTACCCAAGATGCTCATGGTGTAAGTCACTGGACTGTCTGGTCTAGACACGGATATTTACACACCACAGTCATATATCAGCCGTGAAGGTGCGTGGAGCGTTAACAAAGCAGTCACATTGTGAAGCATTCGTGACCAACACGTGTTAGCCCGGGACAGGCCCAATAGCGATATGGAGGTTACGGAAAGGAGCGAGTGCTGATGAATGATTGGGAAGGATTCCGGATTCTTCCCCCACCCTGATCAGCCAACCAGGAGCAACACAAAAAAGACCTCTTGATCATTACAGTGAGAGGAAAACTTCATGTTTCCAAATATTACCTTGCTTAACACTTCCATGGCAACCTCCACGTAGACGCTGTAGTAGACGCTGCCAGGCTCTCCCGTGTGTGGGTGGTAGAAGTCCTTCTTGGCACACGTGTTAGCGATGGAGATCAGCACGTTGTAGTCGTCCTGGGTTAGCAAGTTCCCGGCCCTATCCATACGCGTACAAAATTTGAATGTGTATGTTGCGTGCGGTCATTGCAGATGTAGGAAACATACTTTAAGATTACTAACTAAGGCTACGGATAAATGAACACTTCAATGACTGCTTTCACAAGTGAAAGACTGTTCTGTCAAATGTCAAGCTGCATCATTATAGGCTGAACTTAGTATGCGAGATAGTTTCCAGATTTTGCCACCAAGTCGGGTTAGCTACTGAAAGTTACTAGCTAACAAGATAATTCACCATACCGAAATCTGAATGTAGAAACCAAGCAAAAGATTACAGAAATAGATAAGAATAAGATATTGTGTTTCCAGGCGGACCCGAATTACTGTACCGCCAAATTATGAGATTTTTCCCTTCAAGCGTACTCCAAAATATATCACTAAGCATTGACAAAATTCTTCAAAACCAGCTTCCAAATCTGAATGATTTTGGCAAATGTATTCACATTTTAGACAATGTACGGTTGTATTCTTAAGCAAGTGCATATTTTTGTACATTTTCTTTTTACACTTCTTTCATAGAGTCACTCCGTCTGAAGCTGAATGTTCAGCTGAGCAAAACCTATCTGGTTTGTTCGTTGCTGAGCTCCACACTCATATCCCACCTGTAAAACGGTCTGTAAATTATCGATTGAGTTTAGTTTTACGCTACAATCCAGCAATATTGCGGCGGGGGACACCAGAAACGGGCTTCGTACACAGTACCATGGGGATTGAACCTGGACCTTTAGCGCGGCGACTGAACGGTTTATCCACAAGGCTACCCAACTGCCCCTGTAAATGACCGATGGAGACCCGAAAATCCAGTGATTAATATCATGAGCTAAATCCATTTAGTCGCCTCTCTTACGACCAACATAGGTTGTTTGTCACCTACCCTAAATCTTTATTTAGGCGAGGTCTAACCTAGAATCATCAGATCTGATGTGAGGTACTCACTTTATTCCCCGAACAGCATGTGATGCTAGATATGATATCATTCCTGAAAAGTCGTAGTTTTCAAACCAGGGGTAGCTGTCATCCTTCAGAGCCTTGTCAACCGCACGCAACACTTTCATTAACAAGCCCTTATCTTTCTGAAATGATCAACACAAATGTTTTAGAATGAGTTGTATCGCGTTGCATCGGTTCTATTTCAACCATAGAGCTATTAAAAAGAAACACAGGTCTGTGGCCGTATGCTGAACTAGCGTTTTGTCTGTAGGAAAGTCTAGTGGTTACGGTGTTCGCCATTAACACTGAAGATCCAGTTCGATTCCAACACGCGTGAAATCAATTTTTGTGAAATCAAATGTAGTATACAAAAATGTGCAGGACCTAAAACAGTTCGTTATATCTGCCAGTTCGTTAGAACCGTGTTCGTTATAAACGTAGTATACTGTATGTGTGTATCAAGTGGAAGATAACAGGAGTCTCACTTTGGCATCAAACTCTGTTACGTCAACCACCTTATAGCCAACACTGTACATCGCATCGTTCTTCTTCTCCACAATGTCCAACACAAAGGTGACCATAGTAGTGTGGACTTTATCCAGGGCTCGCGCACTCCTGCAAGTCATCATCATCATCATCATCATCATCATCATCATCATCATCATCATCATCATCACCACCACCACCACCATCATCATCATCATCATCATCATCATCATCATCATCATCATCATCATCATCATCATCATCACCACCACCACCATCATCACCATCATCATCATCATCATCATCACCATCATGACCATCACCATCGTCATCATCATCATCATCATCAACAGAACCATAAGCAGCTAGCGCATCAGGGAAAAGGAGACATTTACGGAAAAGCATATGACAGTGAAGAGCGTGGCACGTTTTCTGACGTCATTTCTGGAGATTCGAACATACCCTCAACTTGACGTAACATAACATCCTGTGCACGATGTTGATATCCCAAAAAAATAAACGATACGTGTTGTTTATTTGCTGACTGCTTAATGAACCATGACAAACAAATCCAATCGGTGCTTACTTCGTAAATGTACTTATAAATGACCATTGTTTAGCCAAGATGAATTCAACGGCAGAATGACTTACTTGAGCTGATCCAAGAACGTGCCTGTAAACGATTCGTACTTGTCCAGGATCCCCTCCCTCTCATCCGACTCAGCTACCTTCACTTGACCAATGGCAACAAAAATCGCCTTGGCTTCGGCGACATTTTCCTGGAAAGCACATGTCGCAACATTTAACATGGGCTGGCCCTATATACTGGATACGACAGCCATAAAGTCAACCTGTGGCGGTCATAGCTTTTACCTTGTGAGATATCGATAAACCTAACAACACCTATGGTTAGGGACCGTTCATGGCTAGGAGTGAGTGAATGAGTGAGGTTAGTTTTACGCCACACTCAGCAATATTCCAGCTATATGGTGGCGGTCTGTAAATAATCGAGTCTGGACCAGACAATCCAGTGATCAACAGCATGAGCATCGATCTGCGCAATTGGGAACCGATGACATATGTCAACCACCTGACTACCTGATCCCGCTAGTTGCCTCTTACGACAAGCATGGGTTGCTGAAGATTCATTCTAATACGGACCTTCACGGGTCTTATGGTGTGTGTGTGTGTGTGTGTGTGTGTGTGTGTGTGTGTGTGTGTGTGTGTGTGTGAGAGAGAGAGAGAGAGAGAGAGAGAGAGAGAGAGAGAGAGAGAGAGAGAGAGCATTATTGTATATAAAAATAGTATGCAATAAATATAATGTGTGTGGGGTGTCATTGATTTTGTGCATGGCATGCAGGTGGGTCACTTGTTTTGTACATAAAATGTAGGGGTGGGTTGCTGAAGATCAATTGTAGTCCGGATCTTCATGGGTAAAGCTCAAATGTAGTACGTTGTACCAGCATAGAATATAACCCAATATATATATATTTCAGCAATGTAAGTATCGCCCATAACGGGAAACTTACAATACATGAATGTATATTTCGAAAAATATATAATACTGTCAGAACTTCTTAAAACAAATGATAAAAAGTAAAACTATCTGAGGTACAATTAATGTTTTTTTTGTCAACGTTTATGTGTTATATATTTGTGATAATCCCTACCGAAGAATGCCGATCTTACCTTCCATGTGATAGCCTTTTCCCTCTCGTACAATGCTGTTTCAGCCGCCCGTAAGGTATTCTCCTGAGGGATTTTGACGAGAGCCTTGATCAGCAGGATCAGGAGTGTCACATGTTCAGGGGTTCTGGAAGATAAGCAATTTTACCGTTGACTTGAGGACAAGGGATGAGATCAGTAAGGACCTTCTGTGTCATCACATTTAGTTAATGTTAAACAGGAGACAGACACACCAGATATAAACTTCAAGACACAGTCGGCAAGTGGGTTTTCAATTAAATGTCCAGTTTTAAGAAGTTTGTATTTATGTAAGGTACTCTGCGTCTACTGTTATTGAAATTGCACGAATAATGTCATACGTTAAAGAATTGTAACTTACTGCATGCACGAGTCCGTGGTTTCTGATAATTGCTAAAGCATTGTCGTGCGTTATTTGTTTGTTTGGGGCCTCACCTCGCACTCGGCAATATTCCATCTATATGGACAATCCAGTGATCAATGGCATGAGCATCAAATGGGATTCAATGACATTTGTCAACCAAGTCACCGAATCATAACCACCCGATCCCGTTAGTCGCATCTTACAACCAGTATGGGTTGTTGAAGACCAATTCTATACCGGATCTTCACGGGTACATTCATGCTTTAAAAGAAGATCATATAATTTTCATGCTTTAAAGGAAGATCATATAAGTATCATAAATGACATACCTGCCCATTGCTTTGACAATCACATCCTCCATAATTGCATCCGCAAATTTGACACCCAATAATGTTTGGTCTTTAGCTTGTTCCGCAATCTGTGTCAACTTCTTGCATACACTCTCAAACATCTTCGCTCTGCCCTGGGGGTGCATGTAATTAGATAATGATAACATATAGTTGTAGACTCGTCACAGTATCAAATCATATAACAGATAACCGGGGATTACATAGTATTGATGTTTAAAGCATATCCTACCATAACAAGGTTGTCTTCGACATCGTCGAAGAAGTCGCCAACAGCTTGCACCAACTCCTGCACGGGCTTTCCAGCTTTCTTGTCAATAAGCTCAGCTGCAAAGTCCATGATTTCATTATAAAGGTCCTTAATATTTTTCGCTTCACTGCAATGACAAGTAAAACAGTATTATGGTCATGTTGCGAAAGAAAGCCCTGTGTTAGCAGTACTAATGCCACTTGTACTAGTTAAGGTACAAAACTTTCCATAAACAAAACATTTTGGCCCCTGGGATGTGCATAACTTCAGTAATGAAAAGCAAAACGATAATGTTACCCAGGTTTTCTCTGACTATGAAAATGGCATTTTCAGCAAGCCTAAATTCGACCTAAACCTTCCAAAAAGCAAAATGCATCCATCACACGCGTCAACAATGGGCAGATATTACATATTCTCTCAGAAGAATGATTTAAGGAAGCAACATATATTTTCATGGATTGTAGCTTCTCAGATTTAATAAATGTCCCGACATGATTTTTCAGTTTATAAGAGGGTCATACAACTCTTGCTCAAAACTCAGTGAAGCATTCAAACTATTTTATGGACATTTCCATATTTGACGCATCAGTGACTAAAGTCATGTGCGACGCCTTTTACTATTTCCATATTTCCGTTATCGTTTGCTTTCAGGTGAACAATTGACTTGACTTTGCATGTGTTTATGGTCGGTGTCACTGGTGGGGTTGGACACGCTCACGATTTCGCGGATACCGGCTATCATATATGATATGCGATTGCGATTTGTGAACATATGCTTGTGATACAGTCAGTACAATCAGCTTCATCAGAGATTTCTTGCTGCTATGAGACGGTGTTGTAGCTTTTATTTTAAATGGACGTTTCAGTTCAGATTGTCGTAAAGGATATGGTCATCATAACTGACAGCTGAAGGCAATGACGCTTTATTGTACTTTTTCTAAAACATACACATTTAGCGTACTGGTTAAAGCGTCCAAGCCGAAAGCCCAGGTCCGATTCTCCACATGGGTACAATGTGTGAAGCAGATTTCTGGTGTCCCCCGTCGTGATCTGGCTGGAACATTGCTAAAAACGGCGTAAAACTACACTCACCCACTCAGTAACTCACTCTACAAATACAAGCCTTTCAGCCATCTTATAAACGTAATGGCGACGAATGATATTCAGCTGATTATAGTACTTAAGGTCGGAAAAAACAGGAACTTTAGTGAACAGTGTATTCTTGAGAGGTAAAAGGACCGTGGTAGCTCATGGATCAGTGGTTTTGTAATGTCCTTACGTCATAGCCTCAAAGAACGTGGAGAGTCCTTCTTTGATATAGTCCACAGCATCCGTGTCCTTTGGGAAGGACTTGTCCATTACGATCTCCTTCAGGTGAGTCAGGTACCTCACATACTCTGCCTTGTCAGTCACTCCCTGGGGCACGAGAAATACTCATACCGTCATAGACATTTGGGTGAAAATTTCCGCTCTATATCCATTTCAGATTACTTATACACTCGGGTATTTCTTAATATAATATGTTTTGGTTCTTACTTATATATCGTATGTCTAAAAGCAGGTCAGAAAGAACATTCATATTCAAATATAAGAGTAGTCACCTACTCACCTGGAGAGACATGCTATCAAAGTGCCTGGATATCCATTCAGCAATAATACACACACGTGTCAACTGCTCACCTGGAGAGACATGTTATTAAAGTGCCTGCATGTCCATTCAGCCATAATACACACACGTGTCACCTGCTCACCTGGAGAGACATGCTATCAAAGTGCCTGCATATCCATTCAGCCATAATACACACGTGTCACCTGCTCACCTGGAGAGACATGCTATCAAAGTGCCTGCATATCCATTCAGCCATAATACACACGTGTCACCTGCTCACCTGGAGAGACATGCTATCAAAGTGCCTGCATATCCATTCAGCCATAATACACACACGTGTCACCTGCTCACCTGGAGAGACATGCTATCAAAGTGCCTGCATATCCATTCAGCCATAATACACACACGTGTCAACTGCTCACCTGGAAAGACATGTTATCAAAGTGCCTGCATATCCATTCAGCCATAATACACACACGTGTCACCTGCTCACCTGGAGAGACATGCTATCAAAGTGCCTGCATATATCCATTCAGCCATAATACACACGTGTCACACTGCTCACCTGAAATGAGCATATACATGCCATAATATCAAAGTGCCTGCATATCCATTCAGCCATAATACACACACGTGTGCCTAGATATCCATTCATCCTGCTACACACACGTGTCACCTGAGAGACATGCTATCAAAGTGCCTGCATATCCATTCAGCCATAATACACACACGTGTCACCTGCTCACCTGGAGAGACATGCTATCAAAGTGCCTGCATATCCATTCAGCCATAATACACACACGTGTCACCTGCTCACCTGGAGAGACATGCTATCAAAGTGCCTGCATATCCATTCAGCCATAATACACACAGGTATCAACTGCTCACCTGGAGAGACATGCTATCAAAGTGCCTGGATGTTCCGTATGCACTAAATCACCAAGAAGGCTTGCTTTCAAAGCATATATCCCGTAGCTGCCCACTCTATAGGAGTGGCTTTCTGTCAGAATGCATGCATCTATGTCCCATATTTTCCAAATCACCTAGAGAAACCTGCTATCGAAGCGTCAGTCAGTAGTCACCTACTTACCTGGAGTGGCTATCTATCAAAGTGTCTTTATGCCAACTCACGTTTAGAGGATTGCCATCAAAGTGCCCGGATATCCAGTCAGCCATATCGCTCATCATCTTTCGTTCCTCTTCCTTCCGATCATGAAAGCCAAATTTGAAATACATGTACAGATCCATGAAGTCCGCCCTGTTGGCTGCACACTGCTGGTCACTGGAAGTGAAATGTCACATGGTTTGGGTTCATTTCACGGTCATTGTTTTCCTCAACTATTGTTTACTTGATCCCTAGGAAATGTCATACCTGCACAGTACACAAATGTAGCAAATAAACTAACATTCTTCCATGAAAATCTGGAAGTATTTACCTGCGTAATATTATCATTGACAGTAGATTATTAAAATACGTTGTGCTATAACAATACGTCTATTGGAGCAAACTAATCAAAGCATAGATTTAATAAATATAATGCAACCTACGTGAATCCATCTTCTAGGACATACGACATCTTGCCCGTGACTTCACTGGTGTACTCTTCATAGTCAAGTTTCTCCTTCGTCTTGTACTCTCTCTTACACGCTGTCAAGACTTTCTTCACCTGCTCGCCTTTCAATTTCTATGGGTGGTAGGAAGTAATGACCAATCATTTCCTCATTCTCAATCCAGGAGATATTTCAACCTCCCGGATTTAGCAATATTTTAGTAATGCTAAAAATGAGGACATAACGATGTGGTAGAATATCCTGAATACATTACAGAATTACAATATGGAAGCTGGTAGGATAACAAGCCGAATATGTTTATGGATTTATTGACTACTTGTCTTAAAGCCTCGCCTATTGTAGGACATAATCTTGTTGAAAAGATTCCCCTACTCACTACTCTTATATTACCATATGTTGTTCAAGTTCACGTATGTACAGTTAGGTTACCAATATGTACAAAACCAGCACAGGAAATATCGTTGTTTACGTTAAACGTTATCATCTTCCATGAATAAAGTAAATAGCATAACGTCAAACGCCATCGGCTTGAACTGATTAGGGTAGACGTGAAATGCAGATGAAAACACAACTATATGCATATTTTCATAACCAAATAGTATTTGTAGTGTTTAATTTCAAATATTTTCTTCCATCCCAATATAATATCTATGAAACATTCTACTGATCTCTCCAGTTATAAACCAATGAAGAAAATTAGTTCCACACTCACGTGGCAGTACTCTTGGAAGTCGCTGACACCATATACTTCCGAGATGAGTTTCAGGTGCGTGGTGCCAGGGCCACAGCTGATCAGTTTCAGGGCAAAGTCCAACAATGGGTCGAAGAATTCTTTGGGTTTTCCTTGGTTTTCATCAATGACATACCTGTAGAAAAAGTCATCAACATACCCTGATACCCTTTTCAACAGTGAATACCTAGGCTTGAGGAAAGAAAAGACAAAGGAGATTGGGTGGTTAGGGTTGTTAACTTGGTTGATGCATGTCACCACATCCCGGTTACGTAAATACATGCCCATAATGTAAATCACTTGTTTGTCTGGTCCAGATTCCATTATTTACATACCGCCATCGTTTTGCTGGAATATTTTGAGTGCAGCGTTAAATTACAAATAAACAAAGAAAGAAACCACACGATACACGAACGTACGATACACATGCGTGCAAGTGAAGTTATTACATATTTGCCATGTTGTTTATGTGCGCATGGTGGGATTATCTACGGGGTTTCCTATGGCTATGTGACATGTTGGACACGTCCTTGGCTCTATTGTATCTAAATCCTGCTGAGTGTGACCTGTGACTGGTTCAGAAAGGCAACAGAATCGTACGTTATGCATGTTGAGATGTTGTCGAAGGCAGTCTTGGCCATGGATCCTGCGTGCGAGTCCTCTGTTGGGTAGTCCACCACACACACCTTCCCTGGAGGACGGCTAGGGCGTTCAGGATCATCTTCTTGTCTACCGTTCCCTCCATGTTATCATATGACCAGGACCTGAGCTCATCCTCCATCTTCTCCTCCAGGGCCTCGGTGCCCTTCTTCAGGTCATACTTCTTAATGATAGCGTCCATGGCGTTACCTGAAACACACATGTTAGCGTCTTTCTAGGACGGTACAACTATTTACTCGAGTGAGTGAGTGAGTTTAGTTTTACGTCGCGTTTAGCAATATTCCAGCAATATCACGGCGGGGGACTCCAGAAATGGGCTTCACACATTGTGCCCATGTGGGGATCGAACCCGAGCGAACGCTTTACCCACTAGGCACTATTTACGCTTTGCTTTGTGGGCAATTACAGTGACACTTTCAAAGGTGTCCAATATTAGAGTTGACAATTCTTTGAATCAGATTTTCTAAGGCAAATACCACCTAACAGAACTACATCAATGTTTCTAACACCATATATCATGACGTTACTTTGGGAGCATTTCAAGATATGAATATGACACGAACAAAATGCATAATATCTTTATATTATATTTTCAGAACTATAATCTAGCTTGCTTGTTTTAATGCTTTTAGCGGTTGTTTTTCATTTAAAGCTATTGTGTTATAAAGAAAACTTGTTAAATGTGGTTTGATTCATCGTGTACATGCCAACGAGTCTGAACTGCTTCGCGGGAAATGTGAACGCGATACCGAAATATACGAGAGTCTGTTGTCGATCTACAGATGATGTTAAATGACGAGTTTCATATCATTACTACCGGTGGCTCAATCGCTGACCTTAGTTGCGTCCCTTGGTTGCCTAGAAACCTATGATCGTGGGTTCTAGTCTCGGGTTTCATAACTCCGGTCATGTCTCTAGTTTTGCCAGCGCCGTACCCATGCCCTGGGGTTTCACCAGAATGCCCTGCGACCTGAATCACATAGGGATGTCCCTACATTGAAATGACAAGTCGTTATATAACTGAATAGTGTTATACGTTAAAAATGCGTTAAAGGCAACTGCCTCACTCGCGTGGCTTGTCGGGCCCAGGTTCGGTTATATGGAGCAGTCAACCTCTGCTATTGTAGCAGGGCAGGGTACCTAATCCTGCAGCAATTCAAGGATCAAGGAGGTTCATGAAAGAGTTTGAGACCTGCATCACTTCGGGCTATTTTCCCACATAAAGCAGACCAACCTTGCTATAACTGAAATACTGTTCAACCCAACATAGTCAGTCAGTCACTACTTGTGACTGACCCAGAAAAACGCTATGTCAGTTCTGATCAAACGGTTCTCTTGAACAGGTATATTGAAAATCAATATTTCATTTGGAAAGGGATTTAACTCTCGGTACTCTGTGGTACTTGTGTAGAGAGCGGGAGTCGGTTTGAATAACCTCTGTTTAACTAACATGAGTGGCCTTTCAGCAAACGCCAATGCACATGTACATGGGGAAAACATACCTTTTGCCATGAGGTTGATTTTTGAGAATATTCATTGACGTCCATGTTGGGAACTATGGTTGCCAGGCATTTTCTATACAAACGCGCGTGCGTGAGTGGGTGCGTGTGTGTATCGATGGATGGATCTCTTCTCATCAATTTATTTATTTATTTATATTTCATATTTTTGTATTGCATCAATCAGTACGGTTGGCAAGAGTTACACATCGTTAGACACTTATTACAGTGAGTGAGTGAGTTAATATTTAACGTCACATCGGCAATATCTCAGCCTGACACTTATTACAATAACCTGACTAAATATGCCATGTCATGAGATGGCGTTGTTCTACCGAGAAGCAGTAAAAATGATACCCACCCGTACAATCCGTCTACTGTGTCGACACAAGGGGTGTCAATTGGTCGGGGTAGCCATCAACTCGATTAACGTTTAAGATTCTTTTCTGAATAAGTTGTAGCTTTTCAACTCGTGGCAAACCTTAGTTTAAGAGGTTGGGGCTAGAATTAGTCCCAAGTAAACTGTAAGTAGTCCGTGGCACTGAGTGAATCGGTATTAGGCATTGTTCCGACTGATTGTGTGTTGGACTACATGGGCTCGTGACGTTGATAATGCCAATCACTGGTTTGTCTAACCCAAACATAATTGTTTACAGTTTATCGTCCTACATCTGCAATATTGCTGAGAGTGGCATTTGACAATAATCGAACGGATACCAGACATGCTCATTCACACATTTCGATAATAATGCAACCAAGTATTAGACTGTTGCGCGGTACATGCATGGCTGTTCTGGAGGTATAGGGAAACGACCGCTCTGTCATGAACTAACTCGTGTCATGTGTTTAACGCTTATTGAACCTTCACACGCGGTGGTATCTAGTGTTAAGTGTATCTAGGAATACTCTGTGATTATAAAATCACGTATTGAAAACTGTAGTCGTCCACACGTTGATCACGTCGTTCAGCTACATACACCTGCCTTCATCTGACAACGTTATCAAAATATTAGTGTCAGTTAATACCGTGAAGGAATTACACCATGATTTCGGTCTTACCTGGATGCTTGACTAGCTGGTGTACCTGTATGTGGTGGACATATCACTTGCCGTACACCGGTGTCTTAGGTTTTTGTTTCCCATGAATAGACGCAATTCGTATTGATCATTGCAACATACGTTGTGAGGGGTCGTCTCAAAAACATTGGGGAAATTAACACGACAGGAACTGAAATGAATATAGTGCCCTGAAACAGATTTATTTGTTTAATATCTGGTTGGAGTCACACGTCTATATTTCAAGAAACCGATTTGATTGCAAACTTTATTACATCCAACTGCCTTGTGCATGGTTCAGGTAGTCAATTTCAGTTACAACGCAATCAGCCCTAAAATACCTGTTTATATTCAACTCCTTATTTGTTAAAGACCAAAAAGTCATTTTTCTTAAAAGTTTGGTCCTTAACAAAAGTTGAGTAGCATATCTGCTAATAAACTACCCCGCGGATCGTTTTGAAAGGGGTACCATCTCAATAGTCACCATACACAGTGTGGGACAGATCTATGATATCTTTACTGTGAACGGGCCACAGACTGATCGATGTATGGCGGAACGGTAGGCGCGGCATGGCAACGTGTAAACAAACAACTGATAACATATGTCACGCATGTACACGCTATAGACGGTCTGAATTGTGTTTGAGTAGTGACAGAACCATTCATATCTGTAGGGTTACATACCTGCTCAACAGGCACAGGGACTGTTTATTCAGTCATCTGTTTAAGCTTCTTGCTACTTGATCGAATTACTCTTTGAAACAAAGTGATCCAAACATCTATTTAACGCATTCATTTCTCCAATACTCATTATACACATATGCAGTAAGGATTAAGGGGAAATATCGTTATCTTGGAATGTTGTGTGGGCATATACTTCATGGTCACGTCACTATATCCCGGTCGATATCAGCACTTCGCTTGTCTCGAGTTTCGATATGTCGTTAACATGATAATTCACTTCATAGTCACAGCACTATATACCGGTCGATATCTGCACTCCGTTTCTCTCGAATTTCGTTATCTCGATATGTCGTCAATCGTATTTTACTCCATAGTCATAGCACTATATACCGGTCTATATCTGCACTCCGTTTCTCTCGAACGTAGTGATATGTCGTGTATGATGATTCACTTCATAGTCAAAGCACAACTAGTATATACCGGTCTATATCTGCCCTTCGTTTGTCTCGAACTTCGTTATTTCGATATGTCGTTTATGGTTATTTACTCATAGCACTATATTCCGATCACATCCATGCACTTCGTTTCTCTCGAACTTCGATTAAACCAGCTTGGATGTTACTATGGTATCGGGTTAACCAAGTCACAGTCTAGCTACGCCGTGAAATAGGGGTGGCATAAGCTGATGATAGTAGACGCTCTACTGCTGCGTTGAACAATATTCACACACGTATGCACCCATAGGTATCTTGCATACAAGACATGAAGAAAGGTGACATCGTCTTCTTGAGAGGGTGAATGCAGATAAAAACGTCTCTGTCAACGGTACGTTTCTTTCTTTGAAGTTTATGTTTTAGGTTCTTTTCTAGCAGTGTAACAAGATTGAATTTCCCACTTATTATGCTAATGGTCTTCGGCATGATCAAACGCCTTACCAACCGGGCTGCCCCACCCAATAATTACAGAGAATACACCCGCACTCACGCATGCACTCATGTAACACACACAGCAGCCAACAGTAGCGCACCTAAAATGTACGTTAAGGCCGGGATATGTGCACCGATTTACCAGTCAGTACTTCAGTTGGGAACCAGTTCAACAGATAACCAGTGGGTTGTAATTGTCAGCACACAAACAAATAGCCCGGAACAGTAATGATCAAAACAATGAATGAAATAAGAGTTTGCACTGTAAGGTCGAGGTGGGCAGTGTGTTCGCTGACAATCAGAAACACTGGTTCGAACCCCAACATTGGTTAAATCAATGAAGCCAGTTCTTGGTAAAGTTTCATTATTGTTAGTCCATGTGATAAAGGGAACATATCGACCCGCGAAGACCCGATACAGAACTGATCTTCAGTAACCCACGCTGGCGATTGATGGTGGTCAGACTCGAAGACTTGGTTGATAAGTGTCATCGTACCCCAATTACGTAAACAAATGCTCATGATATCAATCACATGGTTGTATGGGCCAGACTCAATTATTTCCAGACCGACATCATATAGCTAGAACATTCCTGAGTGGGATAAACAAACAAGGATATATCGAGTATTATCGACACAGTATGGTCTCTATGAAGACTGACAAGCACTAAACATACATGAGTTTATTTCTTCACAATATCAGAGACGACAAAAAGTAACATAATATCTAAATTACAAACATCATGCAAACAATACAGTAACTATAACAAGTAACGTCCCAAAATACATAATTCACATAACACAATGCTGCACTGCAAAGGTACAAATGTACAGAGAAAAACAGTCAAGTAATAACAAATATAAACAAGACTACAAAAATACTGTATGAATACAGTCACTTATGTTGTAATAATTTCATTTAACGCCCTTGCTGTATTTGCTTAAATGAATTTTCTTTCAAATATCATCAGATGTACAAATTAAAAAATTACACCCCGAAATTTTCACAATAAAAGTGAACAATTAAATATGTAATAGCAAAATATTGCTAACAATACTGAGAATAAATATGCAGGATTTTTCAATTCACTTCTGCACTTTGATCAATATGATATTTACATGAATATATTCTAAACTCACTCAATATTATGACGGAGGTAATAACTCAGTTTGACAGTAACTCGTGTGCGTTTTGTCAACTAAAGATAAACCGTATTAAATACTGAAAATGGCATTAGCGGCTATTTGCTACACTCCGGCCACCCAGCAAACACACAACGTTACACGTTTTCAAATCTAAAATATATCGAATTCATGTACAAGCTTTGGCACAACAAAAAGAAAAAGTATTTTGGCGAGTGGCTAACTTTTGCTCTTCACTTGTTGGGGACGCCCTTGTCATCTCTATCATTGCTCCCTTCAGCATCATCTTCAGCATGACCTTGACCTTGGCTTTCATTTTTATCACCGACACTATTGCCCGTAGGACTCGCGCGTGTAAAATCAACAGACTCGGTCGAAATCTCCCTCTCCGCCGCTATATCACCATCATCGGCAGGGGAAAGCTTTGGTCCTTTATCTCTTGAGGACGATCTTGAACCTGACTTTGTCTGGTATTGTAGAGAACGATTGTCATCTCCATCATTGGTCCCTTCAGCAGCATCTTCAGAATGACCCTGACCTTGGCTTTCATTTTCACCACCGATACTATTGCCTGTTGGACTCGTACCTGTAAGCTCAACGAACTCAGTGGAAATCTCCCTTGCCGTCACAACATCAACATCATGATGATGATGATGATCATCATCATCATCATCACCGCCGCCGTCGCTGATACTTCCAGAAGCCTTCCTTGTCCGGTGACCTTTGGAGGATGCACTTGACCTTTCTGGGATGGCATTACCTGGTGCTGTTTGTGATTCGATTTTGTCTGCTTCAACGTCATCTTCCGGACTTCCGTTGGAATCAGTATCCAGACTTACAGGAGGATTCTCGACATCAGCATTGTCGACGTTGTTCGGATCTGCACCTGACTTTGCCGATTCGCCATATTTGATCTTCTCAATAACATCTTTGGCCTAATGAACAAAATGGGAAGAATATCAGTCGATGGTGCTAGCCCATACATCACACCGTTTCTAATCTGCAATCCAGCCGAGCCCAGTGTAGATATTATATAGTTTTACGCTGCTTTTAGCAATATTCCAGCAATATCACAGCGGGGAATACAAGAAATGAGCTTCTCACATTGTACCCATATGGAGAATCGAACCCGGGTTTTCGGCGTGACGAGCGAACGCTTTAACCACTGGGCTTCCCCACCGCCCCGTTTGTTCCTGTTTCCTCAGATGTATAACACACTTGCTTTTCTATGCCACAGGTGGGGTATCCTGGTATCCTGAACAATCAGCCACCCTGTTAAGCTATCGTATATAATGTATGATCTGTCGCTTTCATTCCTTATATCACTCCTGGACTATTGTATAATATATCGATTATATCACCCATGAAGATCCGGGGGAGAATTGACTTTCAGCTGCCCATGCTCGAGCAGCCCAAGAGGAGACTACGAGATCGAGTGGCCAGGCTTGCTTGGTCGATGCATACCATCGTAGATCGAGGCTTATGATATCAATCACTGGATTGTCTGGTTCAGACTTGATTATTTACAGATCGCCTGTCATATATACAGCTATAATATTGGTGAGTGCGACGTTAAACCACAAACAAACAAAACACAACACACCAAACCTACCCATTTGTGCATGACCGCCGCTCCCGCACTCGCCTCCCAGACCTGGTCCAGGGAATGCTGGGACAAGATGGCGTCGGCTTCCATAAGCCGGTCGCGGCTCACCCGTTCCGACTGGAACGTCTCCATACAGTTCAGAATGCTGGTTCTCCCTGTCCGGCTGAGTGTTCCACGCACATACTTCCATTCCTGGAGAATAACATGAGGGTACATGTGATATAGCAGCTTCATATGAGGGGCGGTGGTGTAGTTTAACGGTTAAAGCGTTCGCTCGTCACGCAGAGAGCGCGGGTTCGATTCCCCACATGGCTACAATGTGTGAAGCCCATTTCTGGTGTACCCCGCCGTGATATTGCTGGAATATTGCTAAAAGTGGCGTAAAACCCAGCTTACTCACTCACTTCACATGATGGAAAAATATGGATTTCTGTCCTATTTGATCTTAACGCTTATATGCTGGTACAAATTCCACTAGTTTCTTGATGATGGGATTTGTAAATTTAGATTAATTCAATGAATTCTATTAAACACTTAAAATCACCACATATTACTGCATGATAGTGTTTTGTGTTACTCTTCATAACATATCCTACATTACGTGATAGATATGATAAAAATATAAGAATTACAGACAACCGTCTATGATAGTGAATAATGAAAACATTGCGTAACACTTGGAACCGATGTTTTGCCTCAGCGCCAAATCCAAATTACTATAGATAAATATTTGGGACTTACGTATAGATTGCCTCTTCTCTCGCCCAATAGAATAAGGACTGCCACTATTACGTCATAAATGATGGAACTGGGCTCCATGTACCCCCTTATCTCCAGCAACAGTGACTGGTTGAGACTGAGCACGTGGTTTTTGTACGTTGCAGTGCGTTGTAGATGCTGCAGATGAGCCTTAGCCACCCGGATGTAACTCTTGAGCTCCTCAACATGGTTGGAGGTCTCGGCATCGTATATGACCATTTCAAGGTATGGGACGAATTCTCTCTGTATGGCATCAAACAAATCTGCAAGTCAGAAAAGGGAAGTTGGTGAATTTAACGGTATTGTGGTAATTACGGCTTGATGTGTGAGGAGTGAGTGAGTGAGTTTAGTTTTACGCCGCTTTTAGCAATATTTCAGCAATATCACGTCGGGGGACACCACCAATGGGCTTCACACGTTGATGTTTGAGGAAGGCCAAGGGTTATGCAGATCATCGACGTCTACATCTGACGTCCATGAGCCAACAAGCCAAGGTTGATAAAAGGTAGATTTAGTTATCAATTAAAGTATAATTATTGCAACTTTTGTAAAATATGATGCCGTGAAGTGTATTTATAGCTTGCGAATGATATTATGAACATGACATAACGTCAGACTGTGACGCAATTGCAATCAACTGAGGCTGACGAATATTTTTTCAGGTTCAAACGTTAATGCCGCCAATTATCTCCCCTATGATTGAACTCCGAGTGATTACTGACTTGTCTTTAGCCTGAGGCACACTAGCCTGTCCTCCGCCCTGTCCAGCTCCCCGGTGTCCGTATGGACGAACATGGTGTACTCGTTCATTGCCTTGACCAGCTGATTTTCCGTCCCGGATCTTATGGCCGCCTCCAGCATGTTCTTCAGACGTCGGTCTCGGGCTCGCTGGGAAGCATAAAACAAACATGGGGGACTCGCTGGGAAGCATAAATGTTGGCTATACTCATCAAATTTATTTTCAAAGATATGGAATTCAATGTTTTTAAACCAAGGCCTCGTCCTTCGGGACTTGCAGGAAGCAGAGACCATCGGTACATGGTCTCTGCTGGAAGCATAAACTGTAACTGTTCTCATCACTGATCTTGTCAAAGATATGGAACCAGAGACTCGTCTTCAGGGGTATATACATAACATGTATGCATAAAAAGCAGAAAGAATTCTGAAACTACCCTATATTATAGTGTAAACATACAGGTCTTAGCCATATGAACGAGACACCACGGGTCTGTAAACTATTATTATCAATATCAATACCTCCTTCTTCAAAGGCACCGGTTGAACTTTCACGATGAAATTGCACACGTTGACAAACCCCTTTCGACTTTCATTCTTGGTTCTAGCGTTGACTCTCAAGCACATCCCTTCATCGCTTGGCAGAACCACCGACAAGACTGCCTTGTTATCTTTGTGGACAAAATCAGGGGCCGGTACAGGGTTATGGGTCTTTGAAGAAATCAGATTCGCTTGGAGTTCTGCACTTGGCGCTACCTTGAACATGAAATTGACTTTACGATGTTCATTCGTGTATGCTATTCCACCTTTGTGAGATATTGGAATCACTCCGATCTTGCCGCCGAGTTCACTCTGTCCCCATCCAGTGGCAGGAGCAAGGGGGGTGGGTAGCCATGTTGGATCCGGTTCCTCACAGTGAACCTGAAGCTGACAGAGTAAAGATGCTCGGTGAGCCTCTTTGTCCACGTGTTTCACGTGGCCGCCGTAAATCCTGAAGATGTACACTCCTCCTTTCTTCAAACACAACCGGAATGAATATGTTGACTCCATTTTGAACATAAACACACATTTCCTAAGTAAATCCGTATCCATGACAACTGATGACTCTGTGTCGTCAGCTGAAGGAACCATCTTCTCTGCTATGTGATAGTAGAGCTGTGGCTGATTGCCGATAGGAAAGTCTACATCCACTCGTGCTCTACCGTGGGTGGTTTTCAGGATGCCGTCTTTGTCCTTGGACAAGCTGAGACCCAGTTTAAAGAAATGTCTGGTGAAGTATGGCATCAGCTGAAACCGACCACTGGGAACCGGCTTCTTCAGAAGCTGCCATTTTGGGTTATCTGGAACACAACTGGTGACAAGTTCATCAGGATTTGTCAGAAAGTAATAATCATCAAATTCATATTTCAGTGTGGAGTCTTCCATCACTATCTCATCTTTGACTCGCGACGCCTCAGCTGTGGTGTGGGTGATGCTCCAGAGGGGGTGGATCAGCCGCCACACGCCGTTCAGGTTCACGGAAGTCCACACTCCTCTGGGGCACGTTTCCCCATCAACTTCATAGCCATCTGGTTTGCAATGGCCCCGGATAACAACACACTTAATACCCGCTTTCCTGGAACAAAGCGGACACAGTACTCTTTATGACAAGGTAATTCCTGTTGCTGGTCACAAACACAATTACAGTAATTACATTGCTCTAAGTCAATAATTGCACATATACATGTATACACCCGGATAAAAACTACATCACCACCCCTTTTTTTTCATATATCTTTTGAAAATATCTATACATTACATTGATCTCAGTTTGATAAATTTTCGTATACGCCAACGATAATTGCTGAAAAATTACATAATAAAAAATTACAATATTTTTCACATAGAAATATATGGTAAGCTGTGCTTAATGTATTTCAAGGTGTATAAATCGGTGTTCGTGACTAGTAGTTGGATGCTAAACATGCAGGAAACGTTATACATCATTGTTTGTTGCTTTGGTGTTTAATATTAACGCAATATCCCAGGTGCATATAAGGGTCTGGGCCAGACAATCTAGTGACTGATATTATTAACGGTCCACGTTCTCCAGGTACGTTAACACACCATCGATCACCGATTCTGATAACCTAAGGAATATGGCCACCTCGTACAACAAGCATACACTCACGTGCAAAAGAAACGTCCCCAAAATTTAAATTACATTATATTTGATGGATATGGCCAAAAACATGAAAAACAGTTTGGAACACATCGCCCAAACACACAAATGTACGACACGCCAAGAAAATGCACGTGTTGTATGCCAGAAGCGGGAAAAATGACTTTATTCAGTGAAATTTCCTGCATGTGCAGTAAATCACCCGTATGGTTATAAAACACGTTGGAGACTGTTCTTTGCAATCACAATCATCTGAAAAAACAGCAGAACATGCCTCGATTAACAGCAGAAAAGAGAGAAAGACCGATTGCATGCTGCAGCTGGGAGCAACGCACGACCATATTGGAAGAATCCTGGGTTGTGCAAAAAAAACGATTGGGACATTGGTCACAGGTTACAGACAAGCTGGCCGGACAGCAGACAGGCAGAGGAGCCGTCGACCGGAAGTCACTACCCCACAAGAGGACCGTTATATACGGAAGCATCGTTTTAGCAACAGATTCCTCGCCGTGACGTCATCATCACTGCTTAGCCTTGGTCATCGCGTCAGCAGGTGGACAGTGTCCAGACGACAACGTCAACATGGAAATCGGAGCCTATAGACCGTTGAGGGGAATGACGTTACCGCCGGAATATCGACGTCGAAGATCGGTTTGGGAAAGGAATGTTCGTCAGTGGCAGCAGCGGAACCGGCAACGGGTCCTTTTCAGCGTCGAGAGTAGGTTCCATTTGAACAGAACTGATGGCAGAAGACGTGTCTACCACTGGAGTGGGGAACGGACGGCACCTTGTTGCGTTCAGCAAACGGAACCATATGGTAGAGGGAGTGTGACGGTTTGGGGTGGCATGTGGGAACACCAACACTGACCTTGTTATCATCGATGGCAGCCTGACAGCCCGTCGATATATTGATGAAGTTCTGCGGCCCCATATCCTGGCTTTCCTCCAGCAATATCCAGGAACCTTGGTTCAAGAATACAATAGAACACCTCACACCGCTTTTGTCACAACGGCCTTTCCCAACGTCAACAACGTGCCCGTCCAGCCTTGGCCACGAAGATCCCCTGACATGTCTCCGACAGAGCACTTGTGGGGCCATCTTGGACGTCGGATTCTACAGCTTCCACACCCACCATTGACGAGAAATGCACTGGCTCAGGCATTACAGACAGAATTGCGACGAATCCCCAGTCACGTGATCAAGAGACTTACACACTCGGCCCGACGACGTGTTCTGACGTTCACCGATGTAAGGGGTGGACATGCGCGGTATTGACGATCTGCCTTTCCATTTCAACCTCTGTTTTGTCATTTGTTGATTTGGCTTGCGCTCGAATACTGGACAATCGACGCCCTTGTGACAACATTCCCTGTACCACTGTTAGGTTTACCACGTTCTCTTTCTTTATGTCAGACATGCTTTACATACACCTTCGTTATGCATATTAAACGTTCATATCCATTCGTGATTGTGCTTGTGTTGTTTGTTAGTTGAAAAATACTTGGGGAGGTTTCTTTTGCACGTGAGTGTAGTGTTTTAGGGAAATATTCTATCACGGAATCCCACAGCATAAGCGGATCCAGAGGGGTGGATGTGGTGTGTGTGTGTGTGTGCGTGCGTGCGTGCGTGCGCGCGCAGGGGTCTCCCCCTCCACCCTTTCGTCCCGAAAGTTTATTAAATGACCATTGAAACTCTCGTGAAAACGAGTGAAACAGAAGTGTGCACACCCCACCCCTCTCAAAAGTGTACACCCCCCATTCTCAAAAAGTTGTATCCGCCCCTGTTCAGGGTTACGTCATATACTACTCAAGAGAAGTTAAAGGACAGCCGATTTCTGGCACTACTTATTTAGCCATTGCTGGTGAGTAATGCCACATACAGCCTTCCAACGGTGGGTGTTCTTTAACTTGTTTTGAGTAGTATAAACGACATATAGTTTGTGTCAGCGTGCATAACAATGTACTCTATGATGAAACTGAATTGAGTGAATGTTTCAGTAACGTGTTTCTTGTGGAATAAACTTATATCGATCTATTTTACCCTTAAACACTTCAACTGAAAAATGTCTGGTTGCGTTAAGCAAATAGTCTGTATGCGAAGTATTCAACTCACCTTTCAATGCATAGGGTTTGACAAGACATTACTTCGTCGACATCAACAGGAAAGGTACATGTAAAACCTGTTTATTGTGTAATATGAATTCCACTTACTACTTTAAAGAAGACTGGTTAAGCGTCTATCCCGCATTATTCATTTGCCTATAAACAATACACTTACTAGTATGAAGTTTGGTCCGACTGGTATGTAAGTTACTATCATTGGCCAAAGTAAAGAGTAACTGCTTCCAAACTAATAGAGATGTTTCTTTTACACAATATCTTACCTGCAACAGAACGCAAACATGATAGAGAGGCCAACCTGACCTTTATGAAGAAGGTCAAGGTCTAATCTGGGAGTATGATTAACTGGAGGTTTCTGGCGAACACGGCGCTTGTATAAACCGTTCATGTTAATGTTTTCCTCGGCATTCCCATCGTCGTCCGACTCAATACTAGCACTGTCTTCAAATTTATCTTGATCACTGACATCAGTTACTCCGTGACCTTGGGTATCATCATAACCTTGACCTTTGCCTTCAGTTTGACATTGACCCGTGGTAGTCTGCAGAGGTTGCACGTAGGCACGGACGAGCCAGACGAGTATAGCCCTGACCTTGAAGAGTTCCTCCTTGGATTCCAGTGTGAGGTACTTAAAGAGTTGATCATAGCTGTTCAGGGCATCGTCGGGAACCTGTTTGCAGACAGCGACACTGATTACTGGGTGAGTACTAATGCACTGTTCATTGCTGTCGATTCCGCACACAGACACTAACCCATTTAAAAGTATTATACTCTTTTAAAAAGTAGGGGAACCTGAACTTGCAATTTGGATAGGAAGTCTAAGCGTCAACAAACTTTTCAAAGACAGACATCTTATGAACGCACCACAATGTATCTTTATCACCACCCCTAAATAAACACATGGGATGCACGTGCACAACGCAGTAGCCCCATTGATGTACATGGGTGTATTTCCTGATTTGGACGGTTTTCAAGAAGGTCGATAAATCACTGTAGACCATTAATTTTGACCATCAACTTGCATCACACAGTTTTTAGTTTTTGCTTCTTGTCGTGTTTTTGTTTGAAAATGAGATCGGACACATGAAAATTTCACGTCATACACCAATCATCTTTCAAGAGCGATTACTGTACAAATAACTATGGTCATAAGAAAGTTCATGTGGTGATGCACTCTCGAAACATTCATTATTATCATATAAACCTTGATTGACTCCGATATACATATATGTATCTCCCAATTTTTTCAATCGTAAATAAAAAATGAAGTTCCCCTACTTATTTTTTAAGAGTATATTTCAAAGTTTATTGTAAATTTAATAACGGAAATGTACAAAGGGTCTTGTTCAGGGTGGTACATCATATTATATACAAATGTTGACTTGGGGAATGAAAGGTACATATTAACATACATTTGTGTTTATATTGACGTCCCCAGCAACAGTTGTGGAGGCGGGGATTCGGTTTTAATGGTGTCCGGACTGATCAGGTGTCACTACGTATCTTTAACTTTGACTGGACATGGTCATAGATGTCAAATCCTGTTTGGGATATCTGTTTGTATTAACGACCAAGGACAAACTCCTTCAGAAGTGGAGTACACTCTCCCTTATCACTCATTTATTACACCATACACTTCAAGATGATATTGAGCTCTATAAACCAGCATACGTCACTGTAAGTCAAAGCCTCATTCCACAAAGCGACCCAGGCGCAGAGGTGATCGTAACTCCCACACTATTAATATAGGCTTACGATCGTCCTCGCGATAGTGAGTGAGTGAGTGAGTGAGTGAGTGAGTTTGGCTTTACGCCGCTTTTAGCAATATTCCAGCAATATCACGGCGGGGTACACCAGAAATAGGCTTCACACATTGTACCCATGTGGGGAATCGAACCCGGGTCTTCGGCGTGATGAGCGAACGCTTTAACCACTTGGCTTCCACACGTCGCCTTCTCGCGATTGGATTGCTTTGTGATAAATGTGCCCAGGATGCTATAGGCCTTATGTCACGGTTTGACACTGGATGTTTGCGTGTCAAGTAAGACACATTAAACATTTACACTATTGAAACTGGCATTGTATGAGTTTTGGATGGACACGATTTATTTCAATCTCACTTAAGATTCTGGGATATTATAAATGTTTTATAGTTTTTGCAGAAAACAGATGTACTTGGAGTAAGGACGATGTCTTGGAGCAGCGTGAGTGAGTGAATGAGTCGAGGTGTACACCTCTTCAACAGTAGTGTAGTTGTTACAGTGCGTTAAGGTATATGAAATACTCTGAAACTTGTTCACGACAAAGCAAGGATCATAAACAGGGGCCCGATTCAAAAAGCGGTTGTAGCTCTACGTCATGTGTAAGCCTATGACAAACTGTACAGTTACGATAGCTCGTAACATTACGAACGCTTTGTTGATCAGTACGAACTTTTTATCTGACCCTACAGCTAGTGCATCCAGGTGCCTTAAACGCCGGAGATGGACTTGAAGTAACCGCTGTTTGTTTCTGGTCCAGATTAGACACACTTAGAAACATACACACACACACACGCACGCACGCAAACACACGCGCGCACACTCCTCGACGTCATATATGGTCATGATGAAGTTGTCGTTAGGCGTTAAACAGCAAACATATATAAACCAGTGAGGCTCACTTACCCTGCTAGCCAGCTGGTCGGTCTTGGTGAAGTTCACTCCCCGGAGGTAGAGTTCCTTGCTGAATGACGGTGGCTCTGGTGGGGGGTAGCTGGGGGGCACCTCCCTCAGACCGGCCAGTGTTTCATTGGTAACCTACAAAAACATTAAAGTATTTCTACTTTCACGGTACTTGGTCTCTTGGTTTTGAGTACCCCATGTAGTTGCGACATAAATATACACAAAGAACTTAATTAAGCACCCCCTGAATTTTTGCAATGATAGGTTTTCAACACATACAGAAAAACTTCTCGTGGTGAGTTTTTCTGACCCGTTTGATCCTTTGACTCATAAAAACGACGATGAATGCTCATCTAAAATAAAAACACTGATTTTCATACACGTCTGTTCAAGTATGGTCTGGGAATGTTTTATGATGAATTTATTGGTGAGTGTGTACATTCAAAACGTCAGTTTGCGTGTCTTACACGATTGAAGGTCAATACCGAGTGTACCCCCCCATGTGACTGTATGACGACCAACACTCCCCTCCTCATACCCCTGTCAGCCTCCTGATCCTTTGAGGGTCAGTCTATGCCACTCCTCGTGTAAAACAGCTCCCAACAGGGCCAGGTTCTGTACAGGAGGATCCCTTTGTTGCACACGACGACCAATCATGTCCCGGATATGCTCCAAAGGGTTAAGATCGGGGCTCATTCAGTGGTGAGATATGTCAGGGGGTTTATATTTTTGTGTGTATATTTTCTCTAATGTATATTGCAATGTTACTTGACTGTTTGGAATTTGAATGAATTATGATACACGGCAATAACAAAGTCTTCGCTATACGGGCAAAAAAGGTATACACTCAATGTTTGATGGCGACTAAAGGTGAACCAAATAAGGAGCGATTTTTTATTCCGATGTATTTGATACAGGTATCAAAGTTGTAGTTTGGACCTTAAGTATAGAATGTTCAGTCGAGTAACGATAACGTTTGTAATCATTTTGTCAAATCCAATTTTAATTTGTTTACATTCTTTTGCCGGCAGTTTTCAATATATTGTTCTTGGCTTGCATGACAAGTTCTTTCATTAAAGCTCTCTTTGAAGGTATGACTTATCGATGGCTTACGTGACGCACTGGCCAATAGTAACATATGGGATTTATTTACAAGGCACACTATTTATAGCAATAACTTATCACTGAGGATTAGAATTTCGTGGTTTGAATATCCCCGTGTCATATATATCACAACTGTAATAAAACTCACATATACCATATCGCAAGGGATAGCAATGTCAACATAGCGCCCTATCCGTTTATCTATATCGCATGGGTGGCTTGGACAGAACTCATAGAAGTGATCCTAAGCAAGTGGAGCTGGCATAAAAGGCAACATTCTGCAGATTAATCTGGAATGTGTTATTATCTGCAATCAGTAACATTTGTTCGTCGCTATCTAAAAGACATGGAACCAAAACATTGCATTGCCGTACGCCTAAGTCGGCCTTGTAAATTCTTGAGAAAGACATTCCCCCAGATGTAAAGACACTAAAAGTTTGACAATACTTCATTTGAAGTATCCAACGCACTTGGCTAGCCATCCCCCCTAATGCTAAGTATCTACAAGGAAAACTCAGGTTCTTTTGGTAGTATGACAATGACAACATAACTAAAGGTCACAAAAGTATTTACAAGACAAGACAAGACAAGATTTTTATTAGGTCAAAGACCAATACAATATAAATATATTGAATATTCGCCTGTGCACATGGCGAGGTACGTATATAAAGAGAGCAATCATATTGTTATTAACATTATAGCCCAAGAGTGAGGATATGTGTGAACGATTTACAAAAATTCAACTTTGTTTCTTTCATTTAAGATATAATAAATACACTTTGCAGCTTTCAGTACTTCAAAACTGTTTTCACATTTTAACAATTTAATAAACTTAAACATACTTATATTTTCCAATAAAGTATTACTTAAATGCTGTTTACGTATTTCTCGATATTTTGGACAAATCAAGAGTACGTGGTACTCATCTTCTATTTCGTTAGTACAAAAGGGACATAATCTATCGGCAAGGGGGATTTTAGGCACACTCCATCTTCCTTTTTCAATCATAAGCATATGTGAACTGAGTCGGAAACGTGTAAACACAATTCGGAACTTCCTAACATCAATATTAGTTAAATATTTACAAATATATTGGTTTCAAAAACAGGCGTATTGACAAGAGGAATATACCAACCATCACTACATGTTGAACAATGTTGTGTAAAGAAATATTCGTTGTAGTATTCATTGTAAACAATTACACCGGTAAATGCTCTAAACGAAGGCAGAGTACATTTAAACTGCCGATATACCGGAAATTCCTGTCCCTTCACCTTCCATGAATAAATGTTTAGGCTGAATTCATACATTAATCATGTACTGATACATAGGTTTTAGACTGCGCGATTTCAACTACAGGTATTTATAAGGCTATACAAAATCCACAGCTTACATTTAAAAAAATATATTTGCAGCGATCAATATGTTTTAATATTGAAAACTGAAACTATAGAACAATGCAGCTTATCGTTGGAACCGAGCATGGGTATAGAGTTTCAGAGTAAAAGGTCATTCATTATTACAACGTTTGGTTCATACGCGTATTTCTTTCTCGTTTCTATTTATTCCAATATACAAATGTTGATCCCAACTAGCCAGGTTAATTAATCTACAGGTTTATAGCAGCAACATGCTGTAACCCTTACCTCTTCAGTATCCACCTTTAGAAGATGGTTCTCAACTCTCTCCCTGGTTCCCCTTCTGCCCCTGGGGGTAGAGGACTTCGACCCCGGGGTGGATCTGGCTGAGATTTTGCCTGCTGCTTCCCGTGCTGAGATCTTGGCTGCTGCTGGTTTTCCTTACCCTCAGGGATCGGGGAGACGACTCTAGCACTGCTAGTACATCCCATCTTGTCCCTCTAACCCATGTCCTCTCTCAACTGCCGTGCTCGTTGATTGGCAGGTACAGTCCTGGAGATATTGTAATAACGGCTGTGTGCTGGGGTACTGGTGCAAGATCTAAATTGTTACAATCGCAGGATTGTAAATTGAGCAGGAATAGTTACTGTGTTTATCTGGACGGGTTACATCTAGATCATTCATGCTTAATGTGGAAAGCTAACACCTCGCTACTGAACAGCCGGGGTCAAGATGTTGATATATGATCACTGACACATTTCATTTGATCCATTGATTTAAAACATGCTATTAGATTTAAGTAGTTGTGCGTGTACAGAAACGTCTCAATACATGAGTGCTAATAATCAAGCGACTGGGCACTGTCTTCGGTGACCTGAACTCCGTACATAGCGTACGAGAACAATTGGTGGCAGGTCGGATATCGGTGACTTGTGAAGAGGAAAATTCTTAATCTAAAATTCAACGACCTCAGTGTCGTAGAGTGCTGAATATAGCTGTGAATATTGCATACTTGAAATACGTAGACGGACAAGGTATTACACTGTACCAACTTGCGCTCAAATGCGAGAGGTGCGGTTGGGTAGCCTAGATGTTTCGCTCGTCATGCCAAATGACCGGGTTCGATCCCCACATTGGTACAATGTGTGAAGGCCATTTTCTGTATCCCCCGCCGTGATATTGTTGGAATATTGCTAAAAGAGGCGCAAAACTCACTCACTCACTCAAACGCCGAGAAGCCCTGTGTCACTGCTGTGAGACCGAGATATTAAAGTATTCAATTTGAATAATTTCTCATTCTGATTGTCAGCGAGTAATATAATTTGATGGAGAACCGTTTGCCCTAATGGTGCAGTTTTAGAACTGTTGGTCACACCTGAATGTTAAAAAACGCTTATTTATTTGTTTTTAATTTGCTACAAATCCATAAAAAGTGAAATATTTCTGTTAAGCATGTGGTTTTGGTTTTTTTAGCTGTTACGCTTTCGTTAAAATTCGATTCAAGGTCCGGTTCAACAAAGGGATATTGGCGGTAAGCTTGCTGAACTGATCTCATACTTTGACTTACAACAGTGTTGTTGCAACTGTCTGAAACTAAATGAAAACGGGTATATTGGTGTTACCATTTAACTGTGTAGGAAGCCACATTTCATAGACACAAGCACTGCACCAAAATGCATAATTTCAGTTTCAGTCTCTTTACCTTGAAGCTGTGTTCCTTGGTTGGATCAGAAAAGTTGTTGACCCGTGGAATCAGGAGAATGGCCGCTGGTAGCAATGTTATTGTGACGTTATATGACTGTTGACGTCATGGTATATTGTGACGTCATGATTACCAAGTTTTGAATCGTAGTTTTTGCGTCCGTGACCATTCGTGTTATTCCGGGACAAGCCGAAGATTACGTAAAGGGGCGAATGGGGTACGAATGTTTTATTCCATGCCCCATCCATGATAATATATAAAGAGTGCATGGCTAAGGTAACAACACGTGTGGTGGCGTTCATGAACGGGGGTTATTATCGTGGTAATGTAAGATCGCTTCGAGATAAATGTAGCAGAATGTACATATTGTGTATTTTAAACTTAAGTATATAATTTAGTTAAGTATAGTAACAACCCTTTAAAGTAACACAAGCACTCTACTAATCCCTAGGTAAAGTAGTTATGTAAGTCAGCATGGGTTTCTATTTTTCTTCAGCTTCCTGGTCAAGACACAGCTTGGCCAGTGATTGTATTTCTATTGTTTCTATAGCATGTGGCCAGATCTCGAGTTTTATGTACTCTGTCATTTCTCTTTTCTGGTCACTGCTGCAATTTCGAATGTGCATGACTTATCAGAGAGACTTCCGCCTGTATCCCCCTTTAATTTTCATTTCAGTCAAATCATATCACCTGAACATATATTTCTCATCTGATAAGCATGAGTTTTAACATGTTTCTTTAATTGAATCTGAACATACTGAAAGACATATCCAACTTCTAAAAATGCCATTCAAAGAAATGTTTCCTCATCCTTAAAATTTAGGGGGGGATACGGGCAGAAGATTGCGCAGATTGATGCTCATGCTGTTGATCACAGGATTGTTTGGTCCAGACTTGATTATTTACATAATAGCTGGAATATTGCTGAGTGCTGCATTAAACAACAAACCAACCAACCAAAATCTTTACAGCACTGGTCTGTAAACCTTGAAACAGAAGGACACAGGGACAGAACTGACAAATAACACATGAGAAATAGTCTAATGTTTTTATCACCATAACTGAAAGAAATGTACAAAACACATCATTCTAGGCAAGTAATGTTAATGTACAGCCAGTAATAGCAGCTATCAATACTTCACATATATATATGAAACATAAAGTATTAAACAACAAAGTCATCAAGTATAATTTTACATCAATATCACAGTGTCAGCATAAAACTGGGACGGATATGTAACAATGAAATTTCAAAAAGCTCATGTATGTACATATTAAGTAATAATTTATACAAGGGTCTAATGATACTCAGGAAGTGATCAACTCCACTCTGAGATGTTCTTTTTTCAGTAACAGTGTAGCAATATACATTTATGTCAAAGAGAGGGTATCTTTTTGAGTCCAGTATAATCTAACTGCCGAACTTCTTCCAGACTTTTGAGTACTAGGGGCCTTTTCAGAAGGCTACCGTAGTGCTAAGACAGTCTATAATCAATGTTAAAGTATCAGAGTTACGGTCACTTACATTAGAGATATGATGGAAGAGGGCTTTGGACGGAACTTCTTTCAGACTTTTGTTAATGGGAATTCTGGCCCTTTTCCAAAACTATATCATAGCGCTAAGACATCCGGATGTCCTGTCAAAATATGAGAGTTATAATCACCTTAACACTTACAATCACGCTATGGAAGAGGGCTCGGGATATTCACCTTCTTTCAGACTTTTGTTAATGGGAAATCTGGCCCTTTTCCAAAACTATATCATAGCGCTAAGACATCCGGATGTCCTGTCAAAATATGAGAGTTATAATCACCTTAACACTTACAATCACTCTATGGAAGAGGGCTCGGGATATTCAACTTCTTTCAGACTTTTGTTAATGGGAATTCTGGCCCTTTTCCAAAACTATATCATAGCGCTAAGACATCCGGATGTCCTGTGAAAATATGAGAGTTATGATCACCTGAACACTTACAATCACTTTGTGGAAGAAGGCTCGGGATATTTAACTTCTTTCAGACTTTTGCATACTAGATGTCTGTTTCACAAAGCAATATTGGCACTATGTCCATCTTAAGTCTATGATAAAGTGTGGGAGCTATGGTCATCTTAGTGCTAAGATGTCTTTAAGGAAGGAGGCCCCTGCATGATCAACAGATCATTCTCCTCCATGTGATGTTATCTGTACCAAGTACACTATGTTCTCTATGACAAGATGGGAGTGATTCCTGTGTCTCCACCACAAGAGGTCTGCTGTATCATAGAAGAAGGATGGAAGCTGAGGATTTGTAGGTAGATGCACTCTGAAAGGGAAGAAAACAGAATACCAAGTTATACATGAGCTGACACAGAAGGTCTCACAAAAACAATAACTTCAGACACTTGTCGAGGTGTTTTGTGCAGACACTTATCTGGGTTACATATCAAGATATTTCACTTCACAGATACAAAAGTTAGGTTTACTGTTGAAGTAACATCTGGCTCTATATCTTCAACAATAGAATAGTAGACAGCACTCGAAGGCTTACTTTAAAGGCATACTCTTAACTAGATCCAGTCACTGTTGACAGAGATACAATGTACTTAGCTAAATGAACAGCAAGACAAGCACCCAGTACCTCCACCAAATCTCATTCAAATCAGATCTGTAACTCCGACATACCTGCATTACAGTCTAACAAATCCTCAATAGCATTATCAGGTAAACTTTGAGTGAACTTAGAACATTCATTCTAAATGAACAGTCAGTGGGTTCTACAGATATCAGGTATGCTGCTCTGAAAAACTTTCCTTGATCATAACCGCCTCCGTGGTGTGGTGGTTAGAGCGTCCGCCCGGAGAGGGAAGGTCACGGGTTCGATCCCTGACCGCGTCATACCATAAGACGTTAAAATATGGTACTTGTTGGTCCCTACCTGGTGCTCAGCATTAATGGGTACAACAAGGACTGGTTGGCTCGGGGTCAGTATAATGTGTCTGAGTGGGTATTCATGCTTCACTGCGGCATGGTATCTCAGTGGGATAGCACTATAAAACCAGCTTAAGTCTGGGCTAGTACAAGCAGCCGCACATACACATACACATGCATGCACGTCGTCATATGAGCGAAATATTCTCAAGCACGCCGTTAAACCCAATTTCACCTCACCTCACCTCCTTGATCATACTTAAGATAAGTCATCATGCTGATTTATCAGGAAGTAAACCTTCCATGTGGACAAACTGGATTATTATGGAGTATAAGATCTGATTTGTATGGATTCCACCAATCACCAAAATACATATAGATGTAGATACTTCTAAAAGTTGAAACAATTCACTATAGTGCAAGGCCTGGTAAATGTGATACAAGATATGTTCGGCTTGGACCTTAGGCACTGGTCATGTGAAAGCAGCCATTTTGTTTCCAAAGAAACTTTTGAAAGATGCAGCAAAGATTTCCAAAATCAAAAAGGGAGAAAAGGACCTGTAACCACACAAACCTGGATTCACTGGCTGACAGCTATTTTTCGACAATCAAACTAACAAATATTGTTCCTTTACTCAAATTTGCAATGTGACATATAAACTGACATGTTGTGTTGACAACAAGTACAGGTGAACCCAACATCTTTAGAAGAAGTGGGTGATCCTTGTAATATTTACCTTGAGCTTGATTACAATAATGACTATTTCGATCATAAGTAGTGATATTTTTTGCCTTTGGGATCCATATGACAATCTTAAAACACAGAACAAACCCACCCCCCACCCAGAACTACCACTCATGTAAGAAAGGAATACTACCACGAAAGAACTTGCACAAGAGCATACAAGGGAAAGTGTTTAAAAACAACATCTAAACTATTTTCACAAATATATGGACAACATGTATAAGATACTGGAATCATTAGCAGAGGAGAATAAATATATCAAGCTTATTGGGCTGTAATATCACATAAACACTATATGTTTTTCAATTTACAGGTGTTATTAAGCATTTAATTCATGTTAATTTCACTGGAATGAACATTTTGAATTTTCAAATTTGGGATTGATACCAAAAACATGTATTGCCATGACCATGAAAAGGAGCCCTACCCAGTGTCACAAAGATTTGTGATGTTTAGTTTCTTTTAACAATGTTTAATGATTCATGCATGAATTGTATTGTATGAACTCTTTAACCCACAAACACAGTATCTAGCATACAGAATTGCAATACACAGACACTGTAGAGAATTGTTGCAGTCCAAGAAACTTGGCATACAGGGAGCATTTGGCTGAGAAGCTTCTTCAGGTATATATGTACCGAGGAGGAAGATTTAGAGATACATAGTGCAGGGTGAACATTTTTGCCAAATCTTAAACCAACTTTATGTTACAAGATCCTGATCTTTCAGAACCAAAACATGTAAAAGACTGAATATTTCAATCTCTAAGATTTCCTTATTGCAACCATGTGTACATCTTCAACTATCCAGGCGACTAAAAATCCTTCTATTGTGATACATGTATATACCTCTGACCTGTTTACCATCATAGTTTTGTTTTGTGACTATTCTAATATTATACTATTTTGTGTTTCCAAATCTCATGTTGCTCACCAAGCAAAGAGTTTCACGATCAAAAAGTTGAAATAAACAATGATTCAAAATACATCTTTGAACCACTTTTATAAGCATCTTCATCCTAGCAAACCCTCTACATATACAACCACATCAGAACACAGTTACTGTAATAAACATTGGCAGGAAAATTGCCATAATGTCCTGGTGGCATTTGAGAGGGCACGCAAAAGTCAAGTCAAGTCATTGATATCACTGCTTATTCAATCATCAAAAAACATAATTGGATTTGACATCTATTTTTAATCATTTGAATGGACTGGATACAAGTATTGGTCCAGAGTATGTATCAAGAAGAACGAAGATTGATTACACTGGATGGCAGAGGATGACACATGGCGTTCTCCTGCAGTATGTATGCTGGGTATAAAGACAAGCGCTACAGACTACAAGGTTAGATTTACCACTGACTGACGGTAGCTAGAGTTATCGCTGAAATACAAGACACTATCATGTTTAGCTGGAATGAAAAACATTTCATCACATTGGAAAATAGAGCATTTTAGATGTTACAAGAAACTAGAAGATGGTCTGTTTCTATTTACAATAATAGGCAAACCAGTATTTCATAGTCATGGAACTACAGATCCAAGATTTTTCAGCTCAATGTTACACAAATGAATAGCTCTAGAATTACTTCAAGCACTCAATGCTAACTGTTCTGAGTGAAAGCTAGACACCTCCACTAAATCTAATGTACATCTACAGTTCAAACGGTATGGAATTGAGGTTTATGATTATATTTCTCTTCAAAACCTAAATTCCTTACCAAACGACTATGTCCTATAATGGCCACTATAGTATGCCTATTCTATATTAGCCATTTACTGCCAATGAAAATTTTTCAGTTTCTTCAATGTTTGGATCTACTAACTATCTCTGAAAACAATTTCCTGTCATTTTGACAGCTTGAATAACCACCATCACAATAAAAGTATACTCTGTAGATTATTGCAAAAGACGATCCATTTAATAATAATAATATTCTTGAAAAGACAACATGATCCTTTTAATGAATTAGTTACTTAAACTGTTCTACATATGCCTACACATACATACTGGATATCAAATCATTGATTTACCATAGGAAATTGTCAATAAAACTTAATGATTTATCAGGGTAAATATACAATAAAACACAATGATATAACCTGATAAATGTTCCATCAGCTTAATGATTTATCAGGGAAATGTTTATTATAACTTTATGATATAACTGGGTAAATTGCCAAAACGACTCAGTGACTTGCTGGGGGAAACAGTCACTACAACTCAGTGATTCAAGTGAAGATGTTGAACCTACCAGTGGCACTCTGGACAGCGCCCTCCTCTTGGCCACATCCCGAGACTGCTGTATGAGGTCCAACTCTTGCCGCAACATCCCCCAACGCATCTGCATCCTCGTCTTACGCAGGGCCTGCTGTGCCAACCTAAGAAACAGGGATCACTGGGTTACCTGGCAGTCTTGAAGCCATTACTTCACTTCCACAACATTGAGTACAAGCATCAGCTTTCTCTCTCTTCAAGTGGCCTGTGATTTTTCAGAGATGGTTAATATTGACCCAGTGTTAATACCTTTCTCACCAGTTTTAAGGCAATTCCTTTCTAGTCCTTGCATTTTGTGCAAATTGAAAAGGTAGTCTCATAACTATTATCACATGTTATTAAATATCAATTTCAGATTTTTGTATTTCAGTAGGAATATGTCCCTGTCTTAAAACTAAATGCAATTGTGTTTTTGTCTGAAAATGTATGCAAGACACAATTTAAAAAACAAGTTTCCCTCATGACTACCATCAATCTGCTCCTGGATGGTGTGGACCAGGTATTAGACTCACTCACTCACTCACTCACCCACCTCTCCTTCATAAGTACTTCCAGCCTCTGCTCTAGGGTGGTGTGGACCAGGTACGAGACGACTTCACGTTCACGTTTCCAGTATGGGTCAAGGGAGGGGAAGGAACGCAGCTGGAACATGAACAGAGACGACTTGCTGGCCTCAGGAGGAGATTCTTCAATCTCAGTCTCTTCTTCCACTTCAGATTCATCTTCTGCAGGTATCTTTGTACCTGGACAAAAACAGATGCATGACATCATGTGAGTGCCACAATGGACAGAGTTATTTTCCTTTCTTGATTCCTTCGTATAACAGGTTGTACCAACTCTACATGTGGATCCAGACTGAAGGATTGATCAGGTTTGAATAACAGGATGAAAATGCAACACCCTTACAGCCCTTGACTCAGCATCACTTTGGGTGTTGGGAGGGGATATAAACCATGTATGTGAGTGAGAGTTTAGTTTTACGCCGCTTCTAGCAATATTCCAGCAATTTCACAGTTTGGGATGCCAGAAATGGGCATCACACATTGTACCCATATGTGGAATTGAACCCGGGTCTTTGGTGTGATGAGCGAACACTTTAACCACAAGGCTACCCCATGCCTCAAACCATGTATGTGAAGGATAATACTTCAAATACCAAAACACCTGGTTCCTTTGAAAAATATAAAGACACAAGATAATATCAAACTTAAGCAACTATCCTTTTTAATATTATCTGATTGATTGTATTGCCTCATCCTCTGATCAACATGATAAAGAGACAAAAAACTTCTCACATGTAAATAGACATGCAGGTTTACTGAGCTTCAAACAGAAAATATACACAATGAAATATATTGTATCCCAATACAGTCCTTCAAACGGTATCATTCAGGCCTTTTTGCAATATGATGTCACATCACTGCATTTTTAACGAAACTGGACAACATTAGATGGATCAAAACACTTTAACACACCAATTTTAGGAGCCCAAACTGACCTTTGACATACAACAGTTGCCCTCCTGACCCAAAGGCCAGAACAGGTTCCCATGGGTTGGTCAGCTGGTGAGTGGAGGGCAAGGTCATCTGACACAGGTTGGAGCCAGTGGTGACATCCTTCAGCAGCAGGGAGCCGTTCTGTTGTGCCACCAGCAGCTGGCGGGGGAAATGTCAACAGTAAGAACATGTGATCAGCTGATCAGCAAGAGAGTCAAGGAGTCCTTGTGATCACCCCCATTCATGGGCGGATCCAGGAACTTTGAAAGGCTCCGCCAACACAAAAAATATCTTCAATGTGGTCTTAAGTCATTTTCAAAAGGGCGGGGGATAGTGGTTTTCGAACCCCCTGAACCCGCCAATGCCATTGTCAAACGTTACAAGTAAATTCTAAAACTGTTTTATATTTCTACACTTATCATACCTTACTTCTCAATGCATTTACCCCATAAAGATCCATGTTAGAATTCATTTTCAGCTATAAATGTATCCCAGTTGTGTTGATCGATGCTCATGCTGTTGATAACTGGATTGTCTGGTTGTCAAGATCACAAGTTGTGTAATGTCTGTTTTATCTTATATTTGAGTACCGGTGTGACAGGTTTGGAGTGAGGACTTGCGAGCAAGAGCAGTGGTGTAAGCGGTGAGCGATTGTTTGTGTTGAAGGTGTGCAGTATGAGAGACCATTGTATGTATCTGGGTAGTAAGCTTGGGGTCAATCAAGTAGCTTGGGGGGTATATAAGGACTGATTTGAAAGTTGTGAGTTGGCAACCAGTTGGACAGTGTATATGTGTGTCAGGTTGGCTGTTTTTCCAGTATATTCAACTGGTGTGAGTATTATAACATAATTTTATGTTATGTCTTTGTGAGAATATGTCAATGAATTGTTCGTATATGTATTGAGATTTGATGGCATTTCTCCTTAAAATATGTAACCTTAACTTAAGTGAAATATATGTAATAGTATTGTTGAGGTTAGTGGAATTGTGATTTATATGAAAGCATTTGGGAATGTCCCTAAGCTAGTATACTGGCGTAATAATATTCAGTCAGCATTCATGTGTAATGTATAGTGGTAGTATTGTGTATCAAGTGACTGCAAAACAGCCCTGTAAACACATCATGTGTGTGAAATGTATATATCGTGTATGTGTAAAGTCACCAAGTACATGGTGTATATGTGAATGGTGAGGTATGATGTGCGTGCTTGTGTGTAGGGGAAAGAGTGTGGGTGTGTTTGGTGATGTGAGAATGAAGTTGGGAATGCAAGTCTCTTTGAACTATTGTAAGTAAGGTAGATTTAGTTAATACATTATATTAACTTTAACATCTGGTTTTGTGTTTACTCTAGTATGTGACACTGGTCCAGACTCAATTATGTACAGACCGCCGACATATAGGTGAAATATTGCTGAGTGTGGCGTTAAACAACAAACAAACAAACAAACAAACAAACCTTAATGCATTTACCACTTGTATTTTGACAGAAAAACAGGGACCTATTCCAATCCAGCATCCCCATGCATGGACAAACTCTATGCAATGATAAGCAACCATGGGAACCTAAAGGCACTCCATTTTCTCTCTTTGAATAATTGTAAACAAAGAAAAAAGAGAGAGATGTTTTTCAAACAGAAATTCTGCATAATGAAGCAATCTGATAACAAAATGTCTTACCAGTTCTGGAACATCAGGCATTGTGTCAAGAATGGTCTCCTTCTCCTCCTGCTTGTCAGGCCTGGAGTGGAAGGGAAAGTAGCAGGTAAATGAGAATATCTCACAACATCTATATTCTTGCCTAAACAATATCACCAAAACATTGCAGTTTTATGGGCCCCTAGTGTAGTTTAACATCAATGCATAAAGCTGTGTTTCTACATCAGTTTATCTTCAAGGCAGGTAGGTATAATTTTTCAACCCTGAAAGAAAATAGTGCATAAATATAAAACAACTGTTTCATGAATGTTCTGTTTGGACTGATCTAATGAACTATCTACCACTCACACTCGTGTCAGACAGATAGGTGTTGTCTGTGGGCCATCCTCTGTGTTGTAGATGAACTCTGCCCCATTCCGGCTCTGGATCAGCAGACAGATGTCTCTTCTTCCTGTAAGGGGGATAACCCTGGCTGGCTGGTTGTGTAATACTTGGATCCAGGAACTTCAACCTCTCAATGGGCACATCCTGACAAATACGGATCACCCCTTTGTCTATACCTACACAGAAATCAGTTTATTGGTTAAAGGCATATATAGTCATATGAAGAAAAGGAGTGAGGATTTCTTTACTGTGCACTTAGAAATACAGACATTGTTGGTACCATGAGGAACATTCCAATCCCATGGTGCAATGGTACACAACGAGAATATGATGATTGTCAAAAGGCAATGTAACGTCTAAAGTGGTATGAGAGATCTTTCACTTGAAACAGTTTGCATTACAAGTATTAACCCAGCAACTCTTGCAGAAAAATGTAGACTCAAGAAACATGTTTAGCTTAATGGAATGAAACTTTGTCAACTCTAACATTATTAAAATTATGTGATCCAAGTAATATTAGCATTATTCCCTAATTTCATGTTGCAAAATGAATTAGGATGAATCAGAAAAATCTATTATGAAACAGTGCTGAACTGAAGACCTATATATGATGGCAATACTGCTTGAATTTAACACAGTCTGACAACAGCAAGTTTTACCCAGGTATCTGTTCCACAAGACAACCGTGCCGTTCTCAAGGCCAACCGCCAGAAGGACAGTGCAGGAGGACACGCTGGAGCAGCGGATCCTGCAGCTGAATGGCCACACTACATCAGGCTTGTGCTCAAAATCTGAAAAATATAACAAATTCATCAGATCCTGGAAGGTATTTGAGTTGAAGTAGATCTGCATGCTGTTTTACCTATCAGACAAACTTCTGATACTTTGTAAACTGTAGCATCTGTCCCAACAATCACACACCAATAGCTCCAGTGTAGCACCTACCTTTGGCTGTCTTGAGCAGGGAGTAGTGCGTGACATGTGACCCTCCAGTCCACCACACAGCAACAGTGGTTGGCAGCCCTGCAAAAACATATGTACAGGTGTTACAGCAAGTGTCACTCAAACAAAGTGTGTTTCTCTGTTGAGTACAGGATGATGTCCATTCTATAAATTGAAAAAAAAATAGAACGAGAAAGTAATACTGAAATTTGAATCTTTAATATTATTCCAGAATTAAATTCAGTGACACCACCATGAAGAAATAAATACATATGTACATTATTAAGTTAGTCACCACATTCAGACTTGCACTTGCACAGAACATGACCTGTTTTGTAGTCTTTAAGTCTTGTGCAACCTGTTTGTCTTTAAGTCTTGTGCAACCTGTTTGTCTTTAAGCATAAATCATAAATATTTGTTTGAATGTTTAATTAGTTGATGCCTGTAATTGCCACCCTACAACTAATGACAGTATCAATACTGCTACATGAGTACCTGCTTGAGAGGGCTGCTCTAAGCCTTGAGGCACCATCCTTCCAGCATTTAGGAAGTGGAAAGTTGGGGCTCTGGAAAAAAAACAACCAATTCTCCATATATTCCATAGATGTCATAAAATTTGGTAGTGATTCATTTAAATACAGACATCTTTTACCCCCCTCACATTCTTCAAGGTCAATTAGCTATGAATTCTGAATCCAGACTGCTTTTCCAAGGGCCACCAAATGCTAGTAAACAGGGCACTGAATCACAAAGCAGCCATAAGTTCAGGTTGAAGCATATTATTGTAGAAAGAGAGTGAGTGGGGTTGTCCTTTCATCAATATGTCAGCAATATTATGGCAGTGACACAGGAAATAGGCTTCAATGGTAAACTGAACCTGTGCTTTAGGTGTGAAGAGCAAATGCTTTACCACAGGCTACACCTTTGTGAAACAGGACTCATTTGGGTAGCTAATAAATTCTCAAGTCAAAAACTAGGTCAAAGTTCAAATGTATTGCCAATGTCATTGCAAAGAAACAAAGTTTAGATTGGTCAAAAATTCAATATTTTCCTTTGAATATTTGCTGATCTTAATGTTGTTTCAAACAGATAAAACTTCTGGCCAAAATGAGTGAAAACAGATAATTTTATGGTGGTAACAATGATTTTTCAGGTCAATGATTACATTATGAATTGGAAGTAGTAAACAATGTTACATTTGGTAAGTTATCTTATTACACAATGCTCACACTACTATCTCTTCCTCAGTTTTATCTTTAGGGAGATACTTCAGGAGGTTTTCATGCAGATGGTTGAACATGGTGTCCCGACCCTCCAAGTGGTTGGCAGAGAGGAGGTGACTCTGGCCAGTGCCAATTACCTCCCCTGAGTCAATCTTTTGACATGCAGAGTATGTGGAAGATGAGGTGTTAGCTGTGGAAGACAACAGATGAAGTTGGGTGTGCTCAGCATTATTAATGTTACTGTGGTCAGCATATGGGATGATAGCCCCATTGATGCCTGTGTCAGACATTTACAACTCTGATTAAACCCATTGACAATGGTGTTGGTGTGTGTGGTTGTTGTTTAATGTATATTCGAGCTATATGATGACATTATTGGGATACGATGACATGTGTCAACCAAGTCAGTGAGCCTGGCCACCCGATCCTATTAGTGACCTCTTATGACAAGCATGGGTTGCTGAAGATCAACTCTAACCCGGATCTTCACGGGTGACAATGGTAAGATACTGAAAAACATACAAACATAATCAGGGAAAAGTGGGATTTGAACCCACAGTTCCAAGTTCCCACTGAGATACATGCAGAGACTGGTCATTGATTATCTACAGGTTTTTCATTAACTGCATCAACCTTTCTGATCTCACCTTAAAATACATTTGTCTCATTAATTGTGAAAAACCCAATGATAATAAAGAATCTAATTGTTAGTTTTTTCCACATGCTCCTAAAAAGATGGTCAAGTAAAAACTACGTTAAAAAAGCTGAACTTTTACCAGAGAGTGAGATGCAGCTTGATGTGGAACAAGTGCGGCTTTTCATAAACCCGCATTTTTTCCGCACTTTTTCCACATCTACTGCAGTTTTAGCGTAACTTTGCCGCAAGTCGCGGCAGTGATGTGGCATTCTCATGTATGGGCAATGTAATGGCCATCTCCTGATTTTATCTGGTGCTGGAATAGATGACCTGTCTCTGAGAACAAAGACATAACAAATAAAATGATGCTGTATACAACTCCACCAAACTTGTACAGATCTGTGTCTAACCTGTGAGTGGTGTAGGAGGTTTAACTTTCAGCACCAGGGTGGGTGCAGTGAACTTGTACGACATCTTGTCCCCCGGGTTACCAGTCATGGGGGGTGGAGTGGAAGGCTTGGGAGAGCCACTTCGATCCTGGAAGAAGAAGCATTGTGGTATTATACACCTGTACCCTGATGTCAGAAGTTCCCTGAAACCAGTATCGAGACTCGGAGACTCTACACAAATACTCACTAGTGTCTGGATCTAATGAACCCTTCCAGCAGTGCAGCATTAAACATTCATGACAACCATGAGAGGAGGGTCTTTACTTCCAGTGCATTAGTGCATTATAACCTTTCGCTGACTAAGGTCCTGGTTGTTGGGATATGTGACATCTGGAAACCTATCTTTGTGTTCATGTTCAGGGTTTATTTGTCAAACAGAGAAGTAACATTCATTACAAATAAATGTTTGTCTGTTTGTCACCAGAAAGGTGAGTGAGTACAGTTTTATGCCGCTTTTAGCAATATTCCAGCAATATTCCAGCAATATCACGGAAGGGGACACCAGAAATGGGCTTCACACATTGTACCCATGTGGGGAATCGAACCCGGGTCTTCGGTGTGACGAGCGAATGCTTTAACCACAAGGCTACCCAACCATCCATCACCGAAAAGGTCACATCTTTGACTATTGCAATAATGAATAAGAATAAACATATTATTGGTGTCATAAAAATGTTTGTGTTTACAGTTGTTATGTAAAAATGTAAAAAGTACAAACTAGAAGCAAAATATATTATAAAATACAACAGGAATATATCCTACACAAGTATAATTACTCATTTTATTGATGTCCCCACTTGCAGCAATGTTCCATCTATATGGCAACCCATAACTATTTCCAGTCCTATGGGCAACATCAACTGTATCAGGGTATGATGAAAAACAGGCTACTAAGCCTGATCCATTTAGTTCCCTCTTAACAACAGCATAGACAGCAGGGTATTGTAATCTGAATTACCACAGGGAAAACACACAGTACAATTGATGGTTTCGCTATATGTATTATTGCAAGCAAGGGGTTAAGCTGCTTGAAGAAACGCATCTGAAAGAACTGAGACATAAATATCATCATTATCAACATTTCCATGTGTCAAATTAGACATGGTCAGCATCTAATAAGCAACTCCATGCAATGACTGAATTAAAATGTCTGAAATAAGAATACGGTTTCAGTTATGTTTGTTCTTGAGGTCCATACATGTGTTGAGTTATCAATGTATTCATGCAACTCTATACTAATGCAACTCTATGCATGCGGCTTTCTATTCATGCATGCAATAAGAGGGCACTAGAGCCTATGTGACCAATAATATAGTTCGACTGCTACTAGGCGCTGAATAGCCTTGAATCACATTGGGCAGTTAGTGCTTCATCTTACTTTGCCACGCCCTTTCTTGGAGTCTGAGCGCTGAAATTTGAAAGTTCCTGTTACTGGAGATTAATCTGTCGTCTTAGTATTCCACATTAACCAAGGTAATAGGTTGTCATGTTTAAAGTGGATGATTTAGGGGGTCCTAGATAAAGGTTCTGTGGCAGGAAATCTGAAGGGCCCTCAAAAGCAAAAACTGTACGTCAAAATAAAGTCTGTATGTAAGATTCCACTTGAAGGCATTTGTATACCAGCATAACGGACAAGCTAAAATGACCCATTGTTGAATGTAACACAACTCCTTGAGAGAACTAAACACAAACTACAACTGCATCCACGGTCAAATCAACTTGAAGAAAGAAAACAAGAAACAGAAACAGAAGGAAGACATCTATTTTAAGTCCCACAAACAACTTCTACCAAACATGTACCATTTCACCACAAATGATGTCTAACCCATCACCAAGACTCTAAAGACACATCATCAGATTTCCAAATTTTAACTTTATCAAAAATTGGAGTTAATTAAAGTATTGGAAAAGTAGTCCTGAAAGATCACATGACATGTATTACCCTGCACTGTGTAAAGATGGGTTGGGTTTTTTGGCTTTTTGGTTTGGTTGGTAGTTTGGTTTCATTTGTGTTTATTTTGTTAAATCAAAAGAGCAGTCCTGATAGGGCTGTCAGTTAAATATAGATTAAACTGGAGTGGATTTGACAAATATCTAGGGACAAGTCAATGTGTGTTTTTGGATTTGTGTTCAATGGTGCAACCACCAATATTCAAGTTGTATTACAGGCAGCTTGACCAAGATAAAGCAGTGATTCCACTCAGAACAGTTAGATCCAATGCCATGCAATCAACCAAACTATAGATATTTGTAAACCTCTAAACCCAAAGAGTCTTTTAATGTGACAAGCATGGGTTGCAGCCCGGTCACACATTCCTCATGTTCTCTCTTCTCGGAAACACTGTTCCAAGTAGAATCTGATCATGTATCTTTAGGCAGCTGGTCTTATCAAGTTACTCCTACTACAAGATGATGATCAGACATCACCAACCATTCCTATGAACATATTTGACATAAAACAAGAATATAGAAATAAAAGTATTGAACCCTCTAACCAAATACTAAAATCTACAAAAACTTGTCTTACATTTTTCTTTCTCTGTCTATCCTAAAAGAAGAAAGTAGACATTTTTTATACAAAGGTGAAGGACATTTTTTTAAAAATACATCCTTTTTATGGCAACTTTTAATTAAGTTTAATCACTTCAGAAACAAGTATACCTCATATGAGAAAATATTTACATTTACATATTATTTAATTTACAATAAAATGAGTTAGTATGTGTTCAACTTGAACATTATGAAATTAAACAACTAGTTCTTAATCTATTAAGTTCTACACCATTTCTACACAAGTATTCCAAGAAAAGTATTAGTTCCTGACTAGATTTGAGACAGCAAGTAAAAGACTACAGACTGGTGTCAGCTGAAGTAAATCTAACACAAAGAGATAAGATCTGTTTCCAACAGAGGAGTTTAAGAAATACTAACCCTGTCATACACAACCATAAAGTTACTGTAATATCATGAACATCATAATAATCATATATCTTACTGATGAAGATGATTTTCCCGACGACGCACTGCTAGAGCGAGATTTCTCATGTATCTGCTTAATTAGCTTGAAAAGAGATGACAAGTTGACAAATTAATCATTTATTCCTTGGCATAAGTGCTGGATATATCTGCCATGATGTACTAACATAAGTTAGATAACATCCAATCATATATAGTAAATACCATAGTTAATCTGTCATGCCATGACATTAACTACAACACTATGAAAGAATCAAGTGTTCTTTAACCACTGTCAATGGACCACTGTGCACTAATAAATGTTCTCTCTCAGCCCCAGATGAGTATACTAATACTATGTAGAGTATTCTACTCACAAAGATCAAATCTAAAATCTCTAGTATTCAAAACTATAAAGATCCTTAAAAATCCTGCCTGGAAAAAAAGATTAAATTCTAAGTTAAATTTAAGTTCTAAGATGAATCTAGAGGATTATATGTTATTTAATTATCCATGTTATACATGATGTGTTTACTCTCATTGCAGATCTCCATCATTTATGATCGACCGTGAATAAACAGTCATCTGTAAAAAGTATTGCCTACTTATTTATGATGGAGATCTGCCACCTCTGTAACTTGGTACATCAGAGATTCTAACCTACAGTTTCAAGACACAAACATGCCAGTCGTTGGATGCCCTATTCCGTCATGCGACTTCGTGACAGAAGACCTTGATTCTGTGGTGGTAGCAGCACTCTTAACAGCCCATGCAACAGTCCACACTACAGGACCTGCCATCTCTGCAAAAGTAGAAAAAGTGAAACGACCAAGCATATCATCTGCTGGAACAAGCGAAGATTGGTCATACTTTCAATCCAGATGGAAAGACTATGTCCAGGCGACCAAGGTCACAGGGAAGGACCGCGTTGTACAGCTTCTTGAATGCTGTGACGAGACACTGCGCAGAGATCTCACACGTTCGGCTGGCGGATCCCTCACAGAAAAATCCGAGGGAAGATGTCCTGAAGGCCATTAGACTCCTTGCTGTCAGAGAGGAGAACACCATGGTAGCTCGCGTTACCCTCCACAGCATGACTCAGGATCGAGATGAAACTGTTAGCTCCTTGGTGCCAGGCTAAGAGGTCAGGCTGGCGTCTGCAAATTCACCATTGCATGTCCAGGGTGCCATCAGGGAGGTGAACTACACAGAGACAATCCTACGCGACGTACTCACCCGTGGACTAAATGACCCTGAAATCCAGTTAGATCTCCTTGGAGACAAGAACCAAGACATGAATCTCGAACAGGTGTTTCAATTTGTGGAAGCCAAGGAATCAGGCAAACGCTCGGCATCTCGACTTCAGGTGTCCCAGTCTGTTAGCAGTGGCTACCGAAGAAACAAGAACACAGCTGTTAATTCATCCAAGAATCTGGATACGTCCGAGTCATGCTTCTACTGTGGAAGAAAGGGGCATGGAAAAAGTGCATCCCTGAAAATCAGGAAAAACACTGTCCTGCCAGCCGATTCGCATGTTTTCATCCTGTAACCGCTACAATCACTTTGACACAGTGTGCCAGAGCAAAGTGAAACTGAGAGCTGAGAAGCCCCACGGACGGTTGAGGAAAATGAAGGTCGCGGTCTTTGACATGCTCTGCTCACTCACTGACATCAGCTGGCACCAAGGAAAGAAGACTCTTCACCTTGATCACCACCTATATGATCAGCTGGACGGACACATGGACTAAACAAGCCTCCGGCCCCAGCCCTTCCTCAACCTATCGATGGCTGTCCATGCAGAAGACTATGACAGACTAGGGTTTGGCTCAATGTTATCCTCAAGACCAAGAAGAGCCTCTGTTGTCGTCATGGCAGACACAGGTTGTCAGAGCTGCCTTGCTGGCATTAAGGTCGCACACAAACTTGGACTGAAAACACAGAATCTCATTCCGGTGACTCTCAAGATGCGTGCTGCCAATAACAGGGGTATCAATATCCTTGGTGCCCTCATCACACGGCTGTATGGCAGGAGCCCAACAGGGAAAACAATTGAAACAAGACAGGTGGTCTATATCACAGACAACTCTGACAAGTTCTTCCTCAGTCGTGAGGCTTGTATCTCACTGGGGATGATCACAGGAAATTTTCCCACAATTGGGGAAGTGCCCAGAAATGACAGCTTTAATGATGATTCTACACTAAGCGATACTTCAGAGATAAATGATGTGAAATGTGACTGCCCAAAGCGTGGACCACCTCCTAAATTGCCAACCAAACTACCTTTCCCCGCAACAGAAGAGAACCGCGGTAAACTGGAAGAATACCTACTTGACCTCTATAAGTCCAGCACATTCAACATCTGCGAGCACCAACCTCTCCCCTCATGGATGGACCTCCCATGAAACTGATGGTCGATCTGGGCCCAGCCTGTTGCTCACCACACTCCTGTCCCTGTCCCACTTCACTGGCAGAAAGGCGTCAAAGCCGGACTAGACCAGGATGTCAGACTAGGTGTGCTGGAGCCAGTGCCAATTGGAGAACCGGTTACATGGTGCCACAGAATGGTCGTCTGTCCAAAGAAGAATGGCAAGCCAGCGGACGCACTGTTGACTTTCAGGCTCTCAATGCCCATGCCATTAGAGAGACATCACACACAATCCCCTTCCACCAAGCCAGATCAGTGCCACAGAATAAGAAGAAATCTGTCTTCGATGCATGGAATGGCTACCACAGTGTCCCCATTCGAGATGAGGACAAACACCTTACCACATTTATCACCCCATGGGGCCGATATAGATATCGCACTGCTCCACAAGGATATATCGCCTCGGAGATGGATACACAAGGCGCTTTGACGAGATTGTGTCTGATGTGCCAAACAAAACCAAGTGTGTGGATGACGCACTCCTGTGGGCTGATGACATTGAAATCCTTCTTCCAGGCATGTAATTGGCTTGACATCTGTGGAAGGAATGGCATTACTTTAAACCCTGAAAAGTTCACTTTTGCACAAGACACCGTGGAGTTTGCAGGCTTTGAGATTACTCGTACCAGTGTTCGACCTTGCTTGAAGTACCTACAGGCCATCATGGACTTTCCTACACCAAAGAACATAACGGACATGCGTTCTTGGTTTGGACTCGTCAATCAAGTGTCATCACGCATTCAGCATGGCTGAGAGGATGCAGTCTTTTTCGTCAACTTCTAAAGCCTGGAACACCATTTCGTTGGGATGACAATCTGGACCGCTTGTTTCAAGAATCCAAGACCGTCATTGTCAATGAGATTGAGAAAGGTGTGCGCATCTTTGACGCAAACAAACCGACCTGTCTTGCAACAGACTGGTCGAAACACGGAATTGGATTTTGGCTCTTCCAGAAGCACTGTCAATGCCCAAAGACCCTGCCATTTTGCTGTAGAGATGGATGGAAAATCACCCTGGTAGGAAGTCGTTTCACCCGCGCCGCGGAATCCCGCTATGCACCGGTCGAGGGGGAAGCACTAGCAGTGGTTGATGCCCTGGAGAAAGCAAGGTATTTTGTCCTTGGATGTAATGATTTGACCATTGCAGTTGACCACAAACCTCTACTAAAGATCTTTGGGGATCGATCACTTGAATGCCTCTCGAATGCTCGACTACGTAACCTGAAGGAAAAGACCCTGCGGTACAAATTCCACATGGTTCACATCCCTGGAGCCAAACACAGAGCTGCCGATGCTGTATCTCGTCACCCAACTGGTAACCCTGAGAGGATAGTTCTAGTGGATGATATTGCAGCCATGGACTGTACTGAACTTTCCCCTTCTCTGGATGTTTGTCATAACATCCTTGCCTCCATCAGATGCAGTGAAGAACCTGACTACAGTGTAGAGGATGCCACTCTCCAGTCTGCTGCATCTGCAATCAGCTCCTTGGAACCCATCACGTGGAACAAGGTGAAAGTTGCCACCACTAGCGATGTATCCATGGCCAAACTCGTTGATCTTATTGAAACTGGGATGCCAGAATCCGCCTTGAACTTCCTACCGCACTACGTGAATATCATCAGTTCAGAGAGCACCTCCACCACGGTAGACGGAGTTGTGCTATACAAGGACCGGATTGTGATCCCACCAGCACTACGTGAAGATGCCCTTACTGCCCTCCATTCTGCACACCAAGGCGTCTCATCAATGATGTCCAGAGCTGAAGCATCTATCTTCTGGCCCGGACTCACATTGGCCGTTACAACCCTCGAACCAACTGTGCTCACTGCAATCGGATGGCTCCATCACAACCAACAGCCCCACCGACACCACTAGTCTACCCATCTTACCCTTCCAATGTCTATGCGCTGACTTCTTTCATTACAAGGGTGTCAACTATCTGGTGCTGGTCGACAGATACTCCAACTGGCCAATAGTGGAGAGAACTGCTGGAGGTGCACCTGGACTCATCAACTGCTTACGACGCACATTTGTCACATTTGGCATACCTGATGAACTTTCCTCTGATGGGGACCGAATTCACAGCCTCTGCAACCAGAGAGTTCCTTCACACATGGTCAGTACATCATCGACTATCTTCTGTCGCCTTCCCCACAGCAACTGCAGGGCAGAAATTGGCGTGAAGACAGTCAAGCGCATGATCACTGACAACACCGGACCCGAGGTGAACTTGACACGGATGCTTTCCAGCGGGCAATGCTTCAGTACAGGAACACCCCAGACAGAGACACAAAGTTATCTCCTGCTATGTGTGTTTTTGGCAGAGCCATCAAGGACTTCATCCCCATCCTACCCGGTCGGTACAAACCTCATGAGACATGGAGCGATACACTATTACTGAGGGAGGAGGCACTCAGAAACCGACATATGAAGATGGCAGAACGTCTCACCCAGCACACCAAACAGCTCCCACCTCTCGCAGTTGGTGACTTTGTCAGAATCCAGAACCAGATAGGGCCTCACCCTCTCAAATGGGACAAAACAGGATGTGTGGTCGAAGTTCGTCAATTCGACCAGTATGTTATGCGGGTAGACGGATCAGGTAGAGTGACCCTACATGAATCGAAAGTTCCTCAGGAAGTACATCCCTGCTTTCCAACCTCCATCTAGACGCTCAATCGCTGATGACTTGCCAAGGCCACAAACTTCTACCCTTGACAATACCACCACCCCCATACTATGTCCACATCCGGCTCAGTCAACATCAGAACACTTGACCACACCTACAACAGTCTCTACTGGTGACAAACAACGCACTCGCATCAACAGCCAGTGCCGTCCAGACCAGCTGCTTCTACGCCTGATGTCTCACAATCCACACCACCCTCACCTGATAGATCCCGTCCACTCTGTCCTGTGATCAGAGAACCCACTGTCCTGACAGAGTCACCAAGCATCGATCCTTCATCGACCCTAACAGTAGACACAAGTGTGATCCACCCACGACATTCTACCCGCACCAAGAAAAAGCCAAACTGGCTGTCTGATTACGTGCATGTTATTGAGTCAGAATAGTCTACCCAGTGAAAGCCCTGAATGCTTTATTGTCAGTTTCTCTCTTTATTCCAGTTTGTTCCAAACGTTTAGACTTTTCCCAATCACTTAAGGACAATTCAAGACATTATGCTTTATTTAACTCAAACCCGAGTTCTAGTCAGAACTGTTTCTTTCAGTCCTTGCCACATCTTTGTCAAGATCCGACAATGACCTGGGGAGGGATAGAGGATTATATGTTATTTAATTATCCATGTTATACATGATGTGTTTACTCTCATTGCAGATCTCCATCATTTATGATCGACCGTGAATAAACAGTCATCTGTAAAAAGTATTGCCTACTTATTTAGAATCAATACACAACTATCACATCACACTTGACTTGAACACTGAAATTGTAGAAACAGTCATCAATATTATTTCATACATTGTGTTTATTTCTTGAAATACATGCTACTCTAATCTCAATGATAGAAGCAATGCAAAAAAACCTGTGTGCTATCTAAATATAGAATTTGAGCAGGAATTAGCATGATTAGACAGCAAGTTATGGTTGTTAAATTTATATAAGTAAGCTGACAACTATCTAAAAAGGAGCATATTCAATGATCCTAACAAAATCTAATCAAATTTGTTGTTATTTCATTGTCAAATATTTGCTAATCAAAAACACTCGATCTATAATCTATCTTATGTCTGATCTACCATGTATCTAATGTAATAAAGTAAGGAAAGGATTAGCCATGAAAATGGCTACATAAATTAGAAGAAAACACTAAACTAAACTTGGTCATTGAAATAAAATACTTGCTTTTTTCACTTTCAAATTTTTCCCAGACTGATCCAAAACAAAAACAATATTTTACATTTAAAAGAATATGAATTGACTGACTGACTGAGTTTGTTTTTACGCCGCTTTTAGCAATATTCCAGCAACATCACGGCAGGGGACACCAGAAATGGGCTACATACATTGTACCCATGTGGGGATTCGAACCCAGGTCTATGGTGTGACGAAAAGAATATGAAAGGCATTGTCATTCTTTGAAAATATTTAATTGAATTTACATATTAAACCAGGCAATTTCGAAATAATGACCTATCTTAGACTAACACTAAGCCCCTTCATCTTTAAATATGAACATCTACACAATAAAAAGTTAATTTAATAAAATTTAATGGACCCCAGAACAATGCCTAGTGCTGAAGCAATCTAGACGTGTCAAATCCTTTGAGACTTCAGTTGGATTCATAATTTTATTAATTCTTAAGATTCTGGAAAACTGACAATGTTTATTTTTGCTGGGTGTTTCTCATCTTGTTCTGTCTCTCCCACATGTGAATTCTCAGTGAACTGTCAGGAACCCAAATAAACCAAATATCCAATATTTTCCTTGGTAAATGTGCCAGTTAACTGAATTATATTTTTTGTAACTTATGGCATGCAAGGTTACAAAATGTCTGTCTTCTGTTCAACTCCACACTCAGTCTTCCAGCTACAAGACAATGCTCTGTAAATAATCACGTCAGGATCAAACAGTGACTGATTTTAGGAGCAACGTCACAAACTGTCATGGTACCATAACACACTAACAATGCAACCATCATAGGTTACTGAGAACCTATCCTAACCATTAATCCACATAAGGTTTAAACTATAAGTACAAGATGCATATGCAAAAACCATTATAACTTCATGATACACATGAATAACAAAATAATATAATTTCAAATTCACTGCATACATATCAAGGAACAAAATATACATTCATTTATTCAACTCACTCTCAAGGAAATGCTCAGTAATGAATACATGTACAATCCACCATGTTAGTCTACACAGAATAAATACAGCTTGACTACACCAACCCCAGAGAGCTCACTGATTGGCCAGAGTTGCAGCCTACCTGAGTTGACTCCCCTTCAGTGCCATGACCTTCAGTATTCTGGGCCTCACCAGATGTTTCCTCCTGTAAAATGTAAATTCTATCCAGCCAGATATTCTAACTGCCTAGCTTGAAAGAAGAATTTCTAGGTTGACTTTGTAAATGTTGAGCAAAGCCCAAAATAAATTACTATGATGAAAAAAAAAGAAAGAAAAAAAACAAACCAAAATGTCTCTATGGGGACTGCTTGTTTTAACAAATATTTAAAAAAAATACAAATCTATACCTAACAAAAGAAATCTGGAAATATATTAGAAATGTCCCAAAGCAATCAGCCTGTGTTAAAGATACTTCTTCTGTGTACAACTCTTTGTTGTTTTAATATACACAGTATACATATAGTATATCAATGGCCATATGAGTGTTCAGAAAATGGAGCTATTTAACAGCTCACAGTAAGAATATTATGTCACTCATATTTTTTTCTAACCCTGTCATATTTTTATCAACAGTCACATTATGTGATGTGAAACAAAGGATGTCACACTTCCTACCTAAGTCCATCCTACTGGCAACAGTGTCTGCAGTTATCTTCGTATTTGTCAAACCCCCTTCCCCAAGACATAACACAACAGATATGTTTCGTGGTACATCTGAAATCTGAGGTCAGGTTAAGGAGACAAATCCACTGAGCAAGTTAAAGGAAAGTCATGACTATATATCATTTCTAAAGTACAGTTTTAGTAACATGAAATATACAGAGCTGTTTTGTTTTAAAAATTTATTAAACATAAACATTAGCATTTTCAGAATTTTGTAATGTCCCTTGTTTCTTGACAAAATATAACCAATTCAGTTTAGAAAGTATGCAAGGTCTATAACTCAGTGAATCATGTTTCACTCATTCAAGTTCAGCAGTTTTCCTCATGTCCTCTGATTGGGAATAAGAAGTGAAAAAAGTGAATCAGGTTTCAGAAACATTTAATTACTGAAAGAAAGCAAAATGAGTTGAGCATAACGACATTTATCTAAAAGGATTAATTTTTTGCCGTGCAACAAAACTGCCTTAAAAGGCATTGTGAAGATACAGGTGTGCCAAAGTTAGTAATCAACAGAAATGGTAGAACAATGTTATGTGTGTTGTGAAGGCTTGTGGGAATCATTTTCAAAGTACTGTTATTATCACCAGGTGGATGAGAATTTGTCTTGATCAATGTCTACCCCCACTTGCAAAATATGTAAATAGCTTTCCATTTATAATTTTGGATAATAATGTGAATATTTTATACCAAACATCAATACTCTTATGACCATACTTTTCAGGACCTTCATTTACCTTTATGTATACCTCAGGCATAGTTTTTAAAAATACCCACTGTTCCGAGCAAAGGTCACATGCTTTCATTTTTCAGAACTTTTCTAACTTTCTGACCTCTCTTAATAGCATAACCACTTGTACCAAGCCAAGTTTTAGTACATGATTTGCAAGAAAGTACATTTAGTTTCATGATAATAGTCTGAATTATCAAAATACAACAGGCCAGTTTGGACTTGTGAGAAGATTGTGACCTGTTTTTCACAATAAAAGCATTGTTTCCAGTTTCCACAAACAGGGTGTACTCTACCTGTGGATTCTGTTTGGGGGCAATCTGTGCCTGGATAGCCTCAAGTTCCCGTAGCCATGCATCTCGTGGTAGCTTGTGAATCTCCAGCCATGTCTCTTTTGTACTTGTGTCTATAGTAGGGTAATAACATATAGTTAATTGTCGTGAAAAACACATCAGTATTCCAAATTATGGGAGGGTTCTTGAGATTTGCCCCTGTAGTACTGAAGGACCACCTAAATAGTTTCCTTCAAGCAAAAGGACATTGACACGGACACTTTTAATTTTCATGCTTAATCTTAAACAATGAACATGTCTTCAATGAATTTGCTTAGATACACTATCTATGGTTAAGCTTTATCCAGGGTTCAACATAGCCACTGGTCGAAGTCTTTCACGAGGTAAAAGTCCAAATTGTGAGGATCAGAAAATTAAAAATATTAACATTCATAAGAAAACATTTGAGAAGTAGATGGTATATGTTCATGGTTTCTTCAAGTGAAGTTAATTCACCTTTATTTAGTCACTTGTTTGTTTATTTGTTTGTTGTTAACATTCAGCAATATTCCAGCTATATGACGGAGGCCTGGTGATAGTCAAGGTGATTGATAATATGAGTAAAACTACACATCACTGTAGTGTACTGACAAGTCCCCAAGTCTGATCCACTGAGTTGCCTCGTACAAGTAGCCTTGTTATGTACCAAGTCTAACCGAAATCGTCATGCTGAGTCTTGGGGTCCTGTATATAATCACTTACTTTCTAACACTACACATCACTGTAGTGCACTGACAAGTCCCCAAGTCTCATACATTGAGTTGCCTCGTACAAGTAGCCTTGTTATGTACCAAGTCTAACCGAAATCGTCATGCTGAGTCTTGGGGTCCTGTATATAATCACTTACTTTCTAACACTACACATCACTGTAGTGCACTGACAAGTCCCCAAGTCTCATACATTGAGTTGCCTCATTACAAGTAGCCTTGTTATGTACCAAGTCCAACCGAAATCGTCATGCTGAGTCTTGGGGTTCTGTATATAATCACTTACTTTCTAACACTACACATCACTGTAGTGCACTGACAAGTCCCCAAGTCTCATACATTGAGTTGCCTTGTACAAGTAGCCTTGTTATGTACCAAGTCTAACCGAAATTGTCATGCTGAGTCTTGGGGTCCTGTATATAATCACTTACTTTCTAACACTACTCCTGCATAGTCCCCTTCATTGGAAGATTCACATTTGCTGACCAAATGTTTCGCTCCACTCTCCTGAGAATTAAAATGATGAAAGTCTATTTAAAATTACTAAAAGACTGTTTGACATAACTAACAGGCATTCCATTTAATACTGCAAAATATTTTGCAGCCTGATGACAGTACATTAATCACTGCAACACACATGCTTTGTTGATCTATATTTGACATTGATCATGTTGATACAGCCTCTTATTTCCTGGTTTGAAGTTTTAACCTGCAAAATATTGTATTTTACTGTATGAAGAATGAATCAGTGTTTTAGCAAGATGAAGATAGTGCATGTTCATTTCATCAATGTTTATTAGATTTTATTTTACAGGCTTGCAAAACATAAAAGTGGATTTGAAAAGCTCTGTAAACCAAAGAGAAAATATCTGGCCTTACCTGTTCATTGAGTACTTTCAGCATGAAGAGACAATCAAATGCAAAAGCAAATAATCTTCCAGTTCCTGGAGAAAGAAATACGTCAAATGTCTTTTCAGTTCCAATATAAAGCTTTTAATTCATAACATCCAACATATATATCAGCAGAAAGAGTTCACTGTTATTAAAAAGATGTAATGGATTTGCAAAATTGTAAATATGAATACTCTTTTTTCTTTACTATAAAATAATCTACACAAATTGATGTATCATTAACTGTTTAATGTTAAATATTGATATTTACCCATGTCATCAAGTGTGACTATGAGATAGGTTTGTACACCCATAACATGTGATCTGATATTGACAATCTCCATATTGTCCTCTTCCCATATTGTGATTGGTTTCTGTGTAGAGGCATCCATTACTGATAGTCCATTTGGTAGACCAATGAAAATATATCTTCCATCGCCACTGTCTGCTAAGGATGTTGCTTTACAATGTGTCTGAAATATATGAGCACATAATGTAAGATCCATACCTATTATATTTGGTTGACATGTACTTTTAATCATTTTACACACTGTTTGTTGATATAGCTTTTTGTAGAAAAAAGAATCGAAATGAATTTTGACCCAGTAGATGTTTTGTTGACTTGGATTATATCATGTGAAGGTAGCTAAAATTCCCTGGAAAATCTCTTTACTACTTTTAATAGAATTGCACAAGAATTTTCAGCTCAAACACAGGACCATTGATGACACACCATTTATTTTGTGGTGGTACAGGACCAGTCCTCCAAATTTGTGTATAGATCATCTAGATTTGTGTTTGAATCAGCTAAATACAGCTTCAAATCATGAAAGGATCAGATGGGAATGTAAGGTAAGTTTCAGTCATTGGTGGGTAAAAATCTCCGTGTGTACAGGTCATCTACTATCCATGAAAGTAAATACGATAAAAAAGAAGAAACACTATAAATGAAAGACAATTTAATCACCTGATTCTGAATTTCAACTCCACAATCGTATTTCGGCGGTCTGATCTTGCTCTGTTCTGCTATTCGAGCACTTTCTTTCTGTGACACGTCCTCCCAAACAACGTCAAGAATGCCATTTATAAGTTTGTTTATCATTCGATAAGGCTGTGGTAAAATATCCCGTATTTGTTCTGGGTCTTGAATGTAGTCATCTTCATCTTCATCCGATACGTTTTCTATAGATGGTGGAGTGTACACGACGTTCTTGCGAAGATAAACGGGCATATTGAGTTGTTATGATAACTGCCAGGAGACAATAGCAATCAAAATCCCTAATTGTGTCGATATGCTTCGACGTATTAATGTATGTCATGAAATTCTGCTATAATTTAACTGCAAACATTCTGCAGATCAAATTCTGGTAACCAAGTCGGCCATTTTGAAACAAATGTTTGAAATACTATTAACATTACAACTATAAGAAATATAATTCTATTATATGTATTTTCTATGCAACTATATACATCATATTGTCTACAATATTGACAGAAACAACTAAATTGTATTCTTGGAAATATTTAAATATGTTTAGATGTTGGCTGATGTGGAATTGTTTGAAATACTACTTGTAAAAATTTGCTTTTGAGATAACACGTATTGAATATAGTTCAGACTGCCCTTTGACCGTCTTAGAGTCGAGCACCTGCAGCAAACGATGTTTACAAACGTGTGTGCATAATTCACTAGCAATAAGTAGGCATATTACCGGCGTCTATGGCTGACGATTCAGATTTCGTTGGACATTTGGTTAAGTTCAACTCACTGTCATCCGGAAGGGATAAACTTGCAAGGTAAACAGAACAATAATGTAATAATATTCCTTGTTAAAATTCGTTGTCCATGTCAAAGTTTGTTATGTATTATGGTTGTAAGAGCAACTATTAGCCCATTTTGGTCATTGTAATTAAGATCATTTGCTGCATAGTTAAAGTTTTGTACTGGTTGCAAAACTGTATTGTATTGTGAGTGTTGCAAAGTTGCAAAGGACTGACATCAAGAGTTGTGTTACTAGTATGTTGTTTAGTCAGTAAAATGTCATGAGTCATTGTGGGTTATTGCACTTTGAACCTAGCTTTAACACTGGGCTCAGGTGCTTGATAAACTTGTATGGGTAATGACTTTGTGTTATTGGAATGGTGTTCTTTACAAAGGATAGATTTAGAAAAACATATGTGAAATTCAGCCGAAACTCTGAACTTCTGCATGTTTCATCCCCAAAACAGGGGAACCTGGAAAAGGAAAACAAACCACAAAGTGTTAGTCGTCCAGCCATTGCCATTAATATTAGCCCATGTAATCATCAGATGGCAGTTAGCGTCAGCCACTCAACGAACTGGGATTTAGACCAGCATAAAAACCATGGAATCCCCTTGAATTCTCATATTTGATCGAATTATGCTTATGAAACTTTTTACAAGAACCTACCAGGAGATAGCACTAGTACGACTTCCATGTTTCTTTCATTCAATCTTTCAGATTAGTCCAGTATGCCAGCAAATTTGCATGGTGGCACCTACAGAAAGGACACTTTGACCCAAACATCATCAACAAATTTAAAAATGTGGACAATGCCCTCAGCACTACAAGAAAAGGTTAATTATTATCAAAATCTCTATCAGTATGAGAAACAAAGCTCAGCCATACTTGTGTGTTTTATACTAATTTCCATCTCGTCATGTTGCAATGCATTTGATATAGCAGTATATGGGTCTCCTGCTGAGTGCAAATTAATTCACGAATCAGAAGCCTCCTCTAAAATGTTGTGAAACTTGTTTCCTTTTTGTTTGAGAGTAGGTGGGTTAGCCGAGTGGTTAAAGTGTTCTTCATCTAGCCAAAGGCCCAGGTTTGATTCCCCACATGGGTACAATGAGTGAAGCCTATTTCTGGTGTCCCCCTCCATGATGTTGGTGGAATATTACTAAAAGCAGCGAAAAAACCCATACTCAGTCACTTACTTTTCGTTTTAGTTTCAACTACAATTGATATATGTAATGAACAAAGCATGAGAACAGTAACTTAAGATACCTCTTATTTTCCAGTCCTACGTTTGGGAAAGAGCATTGACTTTCTCCACTCAGCCCTACGAAGCATCCACATCTCCGACACAGTCCTTCGTTTAACAATTACACTATCCAAGATCAACCAAGCTTGCTATCTTCTCTTTGACCACATCATATGGGCAGGCCGAATTGGCATAGCCAAAGTCGACAGTGCCAAATGGAAGGATTTGTCGGCCCGTTTCTGGCTTGTTACCATAATTCTCAACCTCATACGGGATGTGTATGGAATGTGGACGGTTATTATCGAAGAACTAAGGTTACGCAACAAGAGGGCTTCCAAGTCTACCTATGGAAATGGTGATGCTAACCACAAATACAAAACACGCAGAATCCCAAACGATACAGAGGTTGTGCTGTCATGTTTCCAAGAAAGTGTTCCATTGATTCTGGACTTTATTCGTAATATGAGTGATCTTGTCCTTCCGCTGGCTGCTTTGAAGCGGATCAATGCTTCAGCTGGGGTGCAAGGGGCCGTGGGTGTCGTGTCATCGGTTATTGGAATCATCACCACATGGAATCCAGACTTGCGATTGGTTCCTTCCTGACATTTGGTTTTTAACAATGACCATGGTGATTTTATTGCCACAGCTATCAAAATCCCCATCCTCCATAATTATGGTGCCTTATATCTCCATTCTATTAGAGTATGTACTCAGGGTCCTGTTTCCTCAAAACGATCATAGCTCTGAGACGATTGTTTAACAGACTAATGATAGTCAAAGTGCTAGGATTGTTTCATGAAATAGGGCCCTGGAAATATTCTTCACCATACCATGTTTTGTTACAGTTTTGAATGGCACAACACTGAAATATTTACATCAAATCAGATCACAGTTAATAAAGCAGTGGTATCGCCAGTAATAAAATCAACTTAAATACTACCAAATGTTTTGTAACCATGGTAACACAAGCAGTGAGGGTAGCCTATGAAATGAGTTATGGAAACTGAACCCAAGAACAGCAAGAGGTGACCTCGACTGTTAAGACCTCTTCCCGTCTTTTCCAACTGAAAGTTAATTAATAACAGCCTTCTGATGGAGGGCTAACTAGGATGATGACACAATTTTGAATTCAGATCTATGCCAATTTCGCATTCAGAAAGCAAAGTGACTGGTTGATGATTTTAGGGTCATGAACAACAGAAATTCTGTGCTAAGTTTGTTGCAAGAAACATGAAGTTGGTGGTTGCATTTCTAAAATGAAACTGTGGTGAACGTTTACACTGTATGTATCATAAATGAATTTAGTTATAACCACTAACTCGGTATGCTTAGTGTAGAGTTACTGCTGTAATAGTGCTATGATTGTACAGTTGTAATGTACACTTCAATGTGGTATGTTACATATTTAGATAGTAAGGTTGTGATGTGATACATAAAAAATCTACATGTCGCATGTTCAGGAACATTTTCACATCATCAAAGAAAATTAATAATAGACCAACAAAAACATATTTACTGCATTTCACAGTGTATGAGAACACTTGTATATAGATACAGACAGAAGTCTTTTAACACTTATCAGAGGGGTACACAAGTCCGCAGTCTAGACTACCAGTTGTCGGACTTCCATTTTTGTGGAAGCCGCAGTGGCTGAGCGGTCTAGGCATCTGCCTTTGTGTGCTGGCGATTAGGTGCCTGACTCTGAGGGTGTGGGTTCGAATCCCGGATAGGACTCAACCCCCAAAAAGTACTAGAATCTGTACTTTACTGAGAAAGTGTAATCCCAAATGTAACATATGTTACAGAAGTCTTTTACTCGTATCCCAGTTGCGTAGATTGATGCTCATGCTGTTGATCACTGGATTGTCTGGTCCAGACACGATCTGTGTACCATTTTACATCATGTTACATGTCATACTCCTATATACATGTATCATTTTGTATCACGGCATGACCGGCAAGGTACTACTTGATCTACTGTATAAGATACTTGTAGCATGGCACAGGGTACTAGTGTGAACCTGATGTGTGGTAGATGGACACGTCTCTGTGGTACCCAGAAAAGAAGATTAACATCATATATTTTCATATTGTAAAGTGTTTCAGGATATTGATGTGCCTAGGAATGTTATTTTAAAACCAATAACATTGTATTAGAACAGAAAAGGTATCAGTAACTGTCCACAGCACTTGTTACCATGTGAACTGCCACAGATGTTCAGATGTGTGACAGATGTTCATCATTGTGGAATGCAGTATTGTGATACAACAGCCATTATTATGACCTCAATACAGGATTCAGAGGATGATGGCATCTTCATCCATGAGAACTAAACCCACCTTGTCAGCAGAATGTTGAAGAAAATAACACAAATATATTCTGATAAATATTGCTAAAACCATACATATATAATTATTGTCAACCTTTCACAACGCAGAATGGCAAGGGGTTATTTTAATGTTGAAAAAGAAAACTATTCAAACACAGCGAAAGGTCCACAAAATGTCCACAAAATGTCCACATCCCTTACACCAGAGACCATACCGATATATCGGTATATGGTCTCTGCTTACACCTTAGAAACCATTCAGATTGCATGTTCCCTTCCATTCATTACACGGTCAGTGATCATTGCAAGGCCATTAAAGGCAAGTTATTTGGACGACAGTATTCATTGTAGGAGTATCATCTTTGTGTTTATGTTTTATCAAGTCTATTCAGAACATTTACATAGTCTCAGTTAAGTTGGTATTATATAGTTTGGAATGTAGCAACTATTGATATTTTGGGGTACCTGGTACCTATTGGTATTTAGAGGGTTATTAAATCACTAGAGAATTTTGTTATTATCTGTATCAACAAATGTGTAGCCAGATCAATAACCAACATGATAAATAGAATTTTATATACACTGTACAGAAATATGATCATGTGTCCATATATATTTTTTCAATAAACTTTTGGTAGAATTTTATGACTGTAATTTCTGTGGGAGAAGATTATGTCTATTTATAAATAATAAGAATCAAACATATGCAGAAACCTCCCTCGTCTTCAGTATCTTTACAACTGTGTGAGACTTGTACCTTGTAAGTTCCAGAGGAGAACAGAGCCTCTCAGTCTGAGCATGGACAATGTATGGATGTTGTTTGACAATGTCAGAATATTGTTAACATTTGTTAAGCATGTTGTTGTTTTTGACAGCACCTTTTATATTTCCATGTGAACAATGTCAATTATGTTCAGTATTGTGTGAGTGACATGAGCCTGTTTGTAGGTGTCTTTTATCTATCGAAGGGCAGCCAAAGTGGCTGTGTTTTGTTTGATTCGGTGATTAAAAATGGTGCTGAAATGAGTTGCTATAAATTAGTGTGCCCAAATTACAGAATCAGATTTGTTATTAAAATTACTTAATGTTATAGTTGTCATTGTTATTTTCTTATACAATGTTCGCCTGCTTTGGTTTGAAGAATCTCTAAGCAGTCAATGTTGGTGGTTACTGCGAGTCAATGTCTTTTCTGTCATAGAAATGACACTAATGTTAACAAACTAAGCAACTACAATCTATGCAATACTGCCTTTACTGAGCAGGCTGCACTTCATGTTCACGCCGAAGACCCAGGTTCGAGTCCCCACATGGGTACAATGTGTGAAGCCCATTTCTGATGTCCCCTGCAGTGATATTGCTGGAATACTGCTGAAAGTGGTGTTAAACCATACTCACTCACTTCATGTAACCGATATGAATTGACAGCCTGGAACTTGGTGTGGCTGCACCGAGGGTTGAACATGGTTGAGGAAGAGCAAGGGTGTTTTTTTGACTGGCTGCAGTCATTTTTTGATGCAACAGATTCATTAAGGATTGCTGAGACATCACTCCTAGGACACTAACGCTTGCCTTTGACAACTTTGTGCATGCTGTGGTTTAAATGTTTTTGAAGACCAAGCTGCATGAAAGACAAGGGACATCACATTCCTGTACATGTATTTCTTCTCAGGTAGTAACGTACTGTTATTCCACAAGTGTACAGGAACAATTTTACCATTTAATAACTAATGTCATCATGGATGTCCCATCTTCCTTGACATTACTGAAAGATTGATGTTAGCAAGGATACGTTGACACGGGGTATTTGAACAGCAGTGTGATGTCAGGCCATTACAAAGTGACTCAAAAAGTGTTCTTATACATTTAGCACCGATGCCAATCCTAATTCAGCCCAATTAGTATTTTGGCCAAAAAACTGATGCCAAAACTAGTATGAACTTTTCCAGAGAATTTTCATATTTAGTAAATAATATGTAGATATTCAAAGAACTTATTAACATTGTACTCACCTTAATCAGTAGTAAGTATCCACATATAGCTTGATACTGAATAAAATGTGGTTGAAAATAATTGTGTATGGTACATGTGCTATTTGATAATTTAATTTAATGTTGTTGTTTTTTAAATTTGTATATTTTACTGCTATTGTAGACACATTGTGTTGTTTTTTCGTAACAAATATGATAAAATCATATAGGTTGGCATATCTGTTACCACCTTGCATCTTTTAGCAAAGCATGTTCGAATGGCAGCACAACCTAATAGGATGCTGTCATATGGTCGGAATATTTCTGAGTGTAGAGTTGAACAATAGACAAAACAGACTACATAAGAAGATAGGAATATAAATGAATTTGTGTATCTGAATATTTCTTTTTCTACGTGGAATTATAACGTATCTGTCATTTCCATGAAAAGATTAAAAAACCTTTTAAATCTGGGAATACGTTGAGTTAAAACATTAAGAACATAATCCTATCATTTGAATATCAGTAACTGCTGACAGAACATTTAGGTAAATATAGACAGATTTACTCTGGCCTCTTGGATCAAATCATTTGTATTGTTGAAGAGCGGTCATGCAATGCAAAACGTAAAGAAGAGGTATAAAATCCTCTTTACTGCTAAAGAGGGCAATGACCATATTAAACTGTCACAATGAATTAAGTTTAATTGTAGTTGCTGTTGGAAACAGGTGCTTTGCTTTGCTTTATGTTTAGGGTCAGTGTAACTAGTTGTCTTACATGGTCTAATGTGCAAACACACATTGCAGAATTGTCTCCCTTAAGTCAGGTTGCAAAGAACCCATTGCCTGTTGGAGTCGGGCACTGCATCTGGCAACACAACATGGTGCAACCCGTGTTTTTGAAAATCTGGTGTGGAATTGTGTGTCAGAATAGGTCCTCACCACACACCTATTCAAGAACCAACCAGTATTAGGATTGGCTTATCAAGCTCTCTGACTTGGAAGATACTATATCATTTGCAACAAGACCCATTGGTCATACCTGTGATATAGTGATATAGTGATATAGTAATATAGTGATATAGTAGGTGAGGTGAGGTGAGGTGAGGTGAAATTGGGTTTAACGTCATGCTTGAGAATATTTTGCTCATATGACAACGTGCATGTGTGTATGTGCGGCTGCTTGTACTAGCCCAGACTAAAGCTGGTTTTATAGTGCTAGCCCACTGAGATACCATGCTGCAGTGAAGCATGAATACCCCACTCAGACACATTATACTGACTCTGAGCCGACCAGTCCTTGATGTACCCATTAATGCCGAGCGCCAGGCAGAGACCAACAAGTACCATATTTTAACGTCCTTTGGTATGACTCGGACGGGGATCGAACCTGCGACCTTCCGCTCTCCTGGCGGACGCTCTAACCACTACACCACGGAGGCGGTTTGATATAGTAGGTACAGTGCTGACTGCATTGTTAAACATCAACATCAAAACAATCATCTACAACCAACTTCACTGTGACCGTCCACACATTAATATAAACCTGAAATAGACATGATATGTGTTGTGTTTCAAGTGGTGACAACCTCAAACCAGGATCTACTGCATCACGCAGAATTATATTTCAGTGTTTTGGTAAATCTTTTCATGCTGACCCAATGTCAAATGCATATACAGACTACCCTGCTTTCTTCACATGTAGTTACACTGTAAATACACAATGCCATTTAAAAAAGTGGTCAAATTGTACAGGTTATGTTTGGGATTTGGGATGGACTCAATCCAAAAACATGAGAATGTGAACTTTACTGAGAAACTATAGTCCCAAATATAACATACATTAATACAGTTAGTTAGTCTGGTAAATCACTTTAAACTGCACAGAAAGCTGTGGCACCTCAGATTACCACAACTACACAAGCAGACAAATATACATAAATTGTAAAAGAATACGCATCATGCACTTTTTCTCACAATCAGTGTGTTTTTTTCCAACTAAATATAAGAAATCCACACAGATCTATTCCAAATAGAAACATTACAAGAATCTAAATTGTGATCTGTGTCAGGGATTTACCTGGGTCTATGTCCCCAAGGAACTTTCAGTAAATCATCAATAAAAGATTATAGAAATTACCAGTGAGACTGAACTTGTCTTTTCACCAAAATATATAGGTCATATGCAATTACAGCTTTGATTGCCTGGTAGTTTTAATAGTGAGTGAGTTTAGTTTTACGCCGCACTCAGCAATATTCCAGCAATATGGCGGCGGTAGTTTTAATAAGTACTTGTATGCATCTCCCAGGAATGATTTCCATCTATTCGCAGTTTGAATGCGTATTGTACACAATATTGGGCAACATGCTGATATTCTCACAAGAAAATATTATTTTGCAGTCTCTTAATTTTTCTACCTCCTTTAAAGTGGTTGTATACAGAGAATAGTGTGTTTCTATGGTAACTGCTGACAGTTACAATGCTGTCAACATTCCCATAGGACCAGAGGTACAGAAGCCACCTTAATGGGAAGATTCACTACGTGAGTAAAATCTGTTTTGTCTTGAACAGGCCACACAAATGAACGAGATGAAGAGATGGATCATCATAATGATTCAATTTTGCACAAATAAATTTTCCTCCTCATGTTTATGGCCTCTTCCTTTATTCTTGGGTTTACAGATGTTTTTCATAATTAAGTAGCTTGGGTTTGTCAAAATAACAACAAATTTGTGTTGTCCACTAGGGGTATTCTCGGGACGTGGACACCCTGTGTCGTGTAAAAACAAAGTCCAGAAAAAAGTGTCCACTTCGTGCGAATGGGTTACTGAGTTAATTAACGCCAAACAATAGACAGAGTGTGTGATTGCAAGACTTCGGGCAATACTAGATTGTGAAATTATAAGGCAACGAAACAAGTTTCTTTTTTCAATTTTAATAAAAAAGACACTTGTGTCATCAAAACACAATGATGCTGATGTCCCCACAGTCCAATCTGACTACCTCTGTGACCTTGTTCCTAAATTTGTCTCTGATTACAGTCAATATAATCTCTGTAATAAATCTAAGCTAAAAACAATAACTTGTAGGACTAAAATACATGAACAATCATTCCTACCTGACACAATTAAAATTTGGAATAATTACCTGATAATTTTAACGTATTCGCTAATTCAACTGGTGAATTCAAATCTCTGCTTAAAAATGATGAATAATAATTATCTAGATCTGAATTATGGCAGTCAATTCTGTCCGATCATACACTGTCGACTTAAGCTCGGCTGTAGTGATTTGAATGCGGATAAAGTAAATAGACACATTTCCAACAACCCTGGATGCGCTTGTGGATACCACAAAGAAGATACACTTCATTATCTTTTTACTTGTAAGTTGTACACTGCTGTTAGAATAAATAGCTATTTCTATGTAAATGGCCATAGCCATAGTCTCCAAACTGTGTTATACGGAATACCTCCAGCCAGTAAGAACATAACAGAGTCCCTGCATCAGTACATCTTTAAGTCTAAACGATTTGATAAATTATTCTAGACTAATACTAGTATATGTAAACAATTAATGAAGTGTAACTTCAGGCTCAAGGTTTATAAGCACCTACAATGCACACATATGATTTAATTTGTTGTTTTGTGTATCCAGTTCTTGTGTATTTTGTTTAAATGATGTATGTACTGGGGAGGTATGGATATAAGCAAAGTTCTGCTCGTTTACAAAACCAGATTCTTCAGGAATAAAAATATGTTTAAATGAAACAATTTCTGAGTGAACTCACTCATCTATCATAGCTACATGCTTACCAGAGTGAACAGAGTTCAGGAATCCTAACAATTCCAAATAACATTTCACATTTTAACACTTCCCGATCAGTTAAACCCTTACAAAAACAACAGACGACATCAAAGGTACACCGTCTGTCCACGTCCTGCGAATGCAAAATTTCAGGTTGTCCACGTCCTGAGAATGAACCGTCCACTATTCGTTTCAGCTTTTTGAGGAGCACGAGGCTGCTTGGATTTGTAAGAAACACATACGAACACTGATTTAAATGCAGGGTGTACAGTATTTTTACAGTAACCACAGTACCATGTATATGCAATTACGTCATTGTTCCTTTAAAATGGAAATTAGAATGCACGTATCAATTGTTACTTAGAAAATTATAAAAATTTCATGTTCTTATCCATCTAGAATGAGTACTCATGGAAATGAAAAAATACAGTTTTAACTATTTTTCTTTGTTTGTGTCAAAAAAAAGAAGTCTTGGCAAATGCACAAGTTAATTGATGATGTCTGAGTGAGTTTGAACTCGCATGAGCCCTTATACATGCAGATAACCAACAGACATGGACAATATCCAATAATTTATTCTCTGAATACATTTATCAGTTCTGAGGGTAATCATTACAAATAAAACAAAAGTCAGTCATATATAAAGGAACTGAAAATCTACTTCTTGAAAGCTATTCACAATCACAGGCATCAGAATTTCACTGCAAAACTAAGATTTGATATCCTCAATACTTCGCAGATGATTTTTCCTTCTCAGTGCAAGTTTCTTTTTCCGCCTCCACATTTCCAATGAATCTTCTTCATATTCTGACAGTTTTGGAGGTGACCTTTCAGTTCTCAAGGACCACAGCCAATCAGGGTATTCACTGTCTGCCTTTAGCTCCGGGTCCTTCCCATGAACATCAATGTTAGCACCACAACAGTAATTGGTCAATTTAGCAGCATCTGTCTCTACCTCCAGCAACACTTTGGCCACTCGTTGAGCTCCCATTTTGGCACCACCCTTGCCTGAAAAAGATTGCCAATAGTCATCAGTAAACATATATTGTGAAATGACCAGTGACTAATCATTGTGATCATCAGTAACTGAATTATCTGGGGTAAAATCGATTTGATCAACCTTCTTGCAATGAACATGATGAAATTACACGTAAAAGTTCTCAATTTATTCCTATTCAACCATCATTCAAAGTATCATGAGGATGTTAAAAATCATATGAATTTTTCTTTTTAGGGCCCATCTGCACGACTTTATTTCTAAAATGTACAATCGATTTGCAAATGAGGAGGCCTTGTGAAATTTGGGCACCCTTAACCCTGGTTAACTGGTTGACAATTAACCCCCTTAACCAGATTCTATTATTAACCGTTCATAATTTATGGGGGGGGGATGATGATGATGATTTGGGGGTGGGGTTAAAGCAATTTTGTACATAAATTGTCATTGAAGTTGTAGATGACATGCAGCGGAGGGGTGGGGGTGGGGCACTTACTTTGTGTACATACATTTGTGGGAGGGTCGAGGGAGGATCATTCACATTGTACATGCTTCTCCATAGAAATCACCATCACCCCCCCTTGGCCATATATTATGAACGGTCCCTTTATTGCACCCAAAACAATGACTTATCAATTGATGGCCGGACCCATTCCCCTGTATTAGACCGTGTTCTGAACGTTACTGTACGTTACCTGCCATTTTCTTGGCATAGTTCGCAACTGAAATTTTCGAAACAGACGTTTTGCCGACACTGAGAAGATTTATCTTTGCTAAAGCACATGCACAGCGTATACACGCCGCCATCTTGGTTTTAAAATCCGGAAGGCATCAAACGAAATTTTATCACCGAGACATTTAACAGTGTCATGATCTGAATACATTTCTCTGTTTACAAAAATAAATGAATATTACATCTAAACGCGTATAACCTATCTTGAAAGTTAAAAAGGTAAACGTTAAAGCACATGTCGGTATATTGTTACATGGTCTTGTCCGGCTTTTTGTGTCTATCTTCAAAATGGCTGCGCCCATGTTCATGAGTCGTTTTCGTGCAGACGCAAGAAAGTCCGTGAATGCACGAAGTCATATTGAAAGTATCCTATAAATGTTTATAATGTATATTGCAAATTTACCCTAACTTAAGGTGAGTTCCTCATATGACAAAACTATGACAGGCACCGTATTCCGTCTTTGGCATAACGTAGACCTTTCTTAGCTTGGAGTTACTTCCCTTTGACGTGAACATTCTGATTAACAGTACTAACGACGACATAAATAATAGTTATCTAGAAGTTATGCTTACTCTATTTTCTGCATCAACTTCTGTAACAATGGATTCTGTATTGTTGGGGTTTTTAAATCAGAAAAGCAACTGCCATAAAGTCTTTCGAAGCAAGAAATTATGCCACATTTAACATGTTTAATGAGTAAAAAAAATTAAAATAAAATCTTTTACTTATCACAAATTTATAAGCTTTTAATGCCAAATTGTTTTCATTTTGCACTATTTGACTGTCAAGACAATAGGGTATTGAGGTGTCATTACAGAAAACATATCGCATGTCAAATCATTGCATGAAGACTCAAGGTGCCCCAATGACCTTTCATCCCAGTTTCATCTAATAATCTTTTATTGCATAACTATCATTCAGTTGAAGAGTGGAATGTGTTTATGCCGCTGTTGTCTGTTCCAGATAATGGACATTGAAATGCAGCATGTGTTAATCAATCCAGTCGACTCAGCAGACACTGGACTGCAAAAGTGTCGACTTGGAACACATCTCATTGAGCAGCTGTCAGGAACAGTCGGATCTTATGTTCACATTGGGATCAAGGAGAAGGAGTATATCTGTAGCATATGGCCTCATAGCATCTGCCCAGACAATAACACAATTCAGTATGACGGCTGTGTATCTGTCAAACAAAATGACCATAGTTTCAAATCATTATCTGAACAGAAAAATCTAAATAAAAATTCAGTGTGCAGAATACAACAACTACCCATTTCAGATGCAGTGAGTGCAAGTGTGACAGTTATTGTTAAAAGCATGGAGAAGTATTGTGAGTGGAGGAAGTATCCTGCTGTGCAGAAGACTTTAAAACATCACTGTCTTAATTGTTTGAGGAAAAAGTGTGTAGTTAAAGCCTGTACCGTTGATTTAAGGACTTCAAGACTGGCGAAGATGTATGGAATTGTTTATGTGTGTGTGAATGCTCAGTCTACAAGGCATGACACAGATGGTGGGGTTGTTAGCGGACTCACTGACCTCACAATAGACAGTGTTCAGAGCGAGGAAAGATACTTGCTGTCACAGCAGTCCAACAGATTTGAAATGGGGGGGAGTAAGTAAAGTTGCAGGCAGTTTGCAGGACTTGATACACCTTCCTTTGAAATGTTCAGCTGATTTCAAACATCTCAGACTTCCTCTTCCAAAGGGAATTCTTCTTCGGGGACCACCAGGTTGTGGGAAAACCTCCCTTGTTTGTAGTCTTGCACAAAAATGTCAAGCAGCACTGGTGACAATAAATGGCCCTGAAATATTGAGTCCGCATCCAGGGGAGAGTGAAGAGAATGTGAGGAAAGTTTTTCAGAAGGCATTTAGGCTGAGTCAAGAAGGGCCCTGCATTCTCTTCATTGATGAGATAGACTCATTGTGTCCAAAACGTGGCAAGTCTGGTGGGTCTAATGATTCTCGTGTGACCAGTGCGGTAATGTCATCCATGGACTCTCTGGTGGACTCAGAGGGTCTGGTCATCATAGGGGCAACCAACAGGCCCGCTGCACTTGATCCTGCTGTTCGGAGACCAGGGAGGTTTGACAGAGAGGTGTGTACAAACAGATCATCAATGGTTTATCTTCACAAAGAATTATGTATGTTAAGCTAAACAAATCATTGTTCTTATTAATTCACCAAAATTCATATACTTAAGCCAAGCAATAAGGAATCAGTGTTTGGAGTTCAGGGGTACTTGATCATCAAGGTCTTCACTTTTGGGACCTAATAAATTTTCAACATTCGACAATTATAGCTCAAAAATGTATTTTAAAATAAATAATTATATAATTAGTGAATTTATAAAGCGCTAAAATACTCCAGGCACTAAATGTCTGCTCTAAGCCAAGAGCTATGATGAGTATATACAGGGTATTTAAAATGAGTAGGAACACAGAAATCTATCAGTGATAGTATTCGGAAAAGGAATGTCTTTAAATGAGATTTGAAGTTGGTGACACTGACAGCCTGATATCATGGGGAATAGAGTTCCAGACAGAAGGAGCAGCATAGCTGAAAGAGCAGTAGCCAAATGACTTCAGGTGGCGTTTTGGTATCTCCAGAAGATCAAGATTTCCTGATCTTAATGTTCTCACAGGACTGTGCTTGGAGAGTAGGTCAATTAGATAACTTGGTGCAGTTGAGTGAAAGCACTGATAAGCAAGTGTGAGAGTCTTAATTTCTATTCTTGCTCGTACTGGCAGCCAATGCAAGGACTTCAAGGCAGGCGTGATGTGAGAGCGCTTCTTTGTTCTGCTGATGATCCTTGCACCAGTGTTCTGCACCTTCTGGAGCTTTGCGAGGAGTCTCTCTGGCAAGCCGTAATACAGACTGTTGCAGTAGTCTAAACGTGATTGGACTAACGAGCATACAAGGACACATGTGGCTTCTCTGGAGAGCATTTGTCGAATGTGACCAATGTTGACTGTTTGCTTTATTTTCAACACTGACAGACCAATAATTGTTGGGGAAGGGGTGGATACTCTGTTGACGGTTAACACAAAGTGACCAAATTCAGAAGCAAAAGTAAAAATATCAAGTCAATTCATTAACATTGCAAATTACAGAATGAAAGATTGCTGTAAGTCAGATGTTCCCAAATCATGAGCTGGAGGCTCATTATTTACAAATGTCATTCATTATGACACTAAGCAGTTCTCATGGTTAGTTAGGTATGTAAGTGGTATGAGCAAATGAAGTCATCCCTAACATGACATTCTTTCCTTGTCAGAAATCTGATAGAGTTAACTAATTTGGTAATGTGGACAAGGTATCTTAATTCGGATCAGAAGGTCTGTGGCTTGAATCCCATGGGAGGACTCAGAAAGTTTATGGCCTCTACATTAGGGAGGATATTTCCATGATGTTTTCTCTTGCTAAACAAGTATTGTCTTTAAATATGATTATCAACCCGTGTCATCTGTCAATATTTTGAACTCAATTTGGCAATAAACACCCACTGTTAATGTTGCTTCTGTCATTTGTTGATGATCAGATCTTGTTTTCAGATTCTCATGAATGTTCCCAACAGAGAACAAAGAAAGGAGATTCTTGCTGTACATTCTGCCCGTCTGCCGCTAGATGGAGACATTGACCTTGACTTTCTGGCTGATGTTACTAACGGCTATGTTGGGGCAGATCTGGCATCACTGTGTAATGAAGCATCTTACATAGCCATGGCACAAGCAGAGTCAGAAGGCCATCAGGTAGGGAAGTAGTTAAGTGCAGGAAGTTTGTGAGTGAGTGAGTTTAATTTTATGCAGCTTTCAGCAATATTCCAGCAATATCATGGCGGGGACACCAGAAATGTGGTTCACACATAGTACCCATGTGGGGAATCAAACCTGGGTTTTCAGCGTGACAAGCGAACGTTTTAATGATGAGGCTACCCCACCGCCTGGGGGAAGTTTGGGCTGCATATGGTTACAGCTGCTTTGCCATGACCAGCGGGGATTATGTTTTATAACAGTTCCCAGGCAACCTATAATTGTCATGAGAGGTGACAAACAGATCAGGTATCATGTTCTCTGACTTTGTTGATGCGAGGTTTCATATCCTAATTGCGTAGGTCAATGACATGATGTCAATCACTTGATTGTCTGGTCCAGACTTGATTATGTACTTATCTGGGAACTTGGTCTCATGGCTGAAATAAAGCGTATGCGATGTTAAAGTTTAACTCACTATTTACTGACAGTCATCTTATACATGTAGCTGGAAGCTTTGAATATTTCTTAATGTTGTGTTTAAACAACAAACAATAAACACACAACCATGGCAAAGGCAGGTTCACAGGGATATTAGGTAAAGACGTGATCAAGTGCAGAAAGTATATGAATACAGATGTGCTCTCCTGTCACCATTACGAGGATCTGTGAGGATTCTTGGTTAAAATAGCTTCCCAGTATCCTGTGCTTGCTGTAAGGTAAGAAAGTGGATTGTGTTGTCAGGGTTGGCAATATGATTTTGAATAAACGTGAATGATATTTTTCAATTTCCAAGGAAACACCTTGTGTGAAGATGTGCCACTTTCAGTCAGCTCTGCGTAAAGTTATACCCTCTCTGCAAAAGGGATCAGAAGGTATAGTTGACCTCCGACCTGTGCAGTGGGATGACATTGGTGGACTGGAGAATGTGAAAGCACAGATCAAACAGGTTGGTCCTGAGGAATATGTCATCGTTTGGCAGCTTTAAACCCCGGACACTTACTCATAGGGTACATTTTAACCATCTAGAGGAAAACAAAGGACTGATTTACATGATGAAACTGAATGTCTTTTACTCTCAAAAGTTCCTCACTATATATATAAACAATCAGGATGGACATGCCAGTTTGCACCCGACATCCACATCCATATACATGAGACACTTTGAAAAAATACTGTGTTATTTCTAGGCTTATAAACAGCACCATTTCTAGTTCTCTTTCATAAGGTGATGATGATGATGATGATGATATACTAATTATTCAAATCATCTGAAGACTCAATAAATATTTGGACTTTGCATTATGACAAGGTGTAATTATTCTTATGTTATGTATATGTATATATATATATCCCAGGCAGTAGAATGGCCCCTGTTGTACCCTGAAGCCTTCACCAGGATGGGTCTCCCTGCCCCGCAGGGGGTGCTTCTGTATGGCCCCCCAGGGTGCTGTAAGACAACACTAGTGAGGGCAGCAGCTACAGCAACACATTCTGCATTTCTGTCCCTCAGTGGAGCTCAGCTGTATTCGCCATTTGTGGGAGACTCTGAAAGGCTGGTAACAGAGGTGAGACAGTGAATTTACCTAATAAGTTCAAATTAGTTCATATAGCCAGATGAGTGACTGAGTATGGTTTTATGCCGCTGTTAGCAATATTCCAACAATATCACAGCAAGTGGACACCATAAATGGGTTTCACACATTGTACCCATGTGGGGAATCGAACCTGGGTCTTCGGCGTGACGAGCAAACACTTTAACCACTAGGCTACCCCACCTACCCTATAGCCAGATGAACAGTCTGGATCACCCTCCAATGTAAAATAATAGTTGTTAATATAAGGTGAACCTTTATGTTCAGTGATGGTAAATGATTTGATTCCTGAGGCAGAAAAGAGGAAAATATTAAAGAAATCAGTAATGATTACAACTATAGGCTCCATACAAACATTACATGCCACCTGATTTTGGGCAGGCAACCACTTTAAGACATGACTTATGTCTGTTGTTATTATCTGCTTCCTTTGGTTGATATGAGTAGTAATACATGGCGTTAAATTTATGTATATCTGTTGCAATAGTAATTAAAATTATTGCAGTTGTCATGAATATATAATTATGTACACACAATAAGTATCCAAATCCAGACAAAGCTACAAAGTTCGGTGATTTTGGTTTCTTCTTAACAACAGGTGTTCCAAAAGTCTCGAGTCATGGCACCTACGATATTGTTCCTGGATGAGATCGACTCCATTGTTGGCAAGAGGTCAGAGGGCGGGTCTCATCGAGGGGTACAAGAGCGAGTCCTGTCTACTCTTCTCAATGAGATGGATGGAATGGGGTCCGTCTAGATGACAAGATTGACAGTGCCATGTCCCACAAGGAAGCAGAGGGAGAACAAAGTCCTGAAAAGGTTTTTCAGCTCTATGATTAGGTTTTACCTATTTCATTCTTTCTTCGGTCCTTGTTGGCTTTCAGACAGACCAGGTGCCCTGTGGCCATGCTTGTTGTATGAGTAAAATCTGATTGTTTGACAATAACCCTGGTGCCATTGATCACCTTAGTTTTCAGCTGCAGCATTATATAACATTCATGCATAAGATTTATATGACATTCCCAAATACTGGGTTCCTTCTTACCGGAGAAAATGGTGACATCAGCTTGTTTGGGTTATTTCAGGGCAATATGCAACAGAAGCAGAAAGTGAATAACAACAAGGTGCTGATGGTAGCTGCCACAAACCGACCAGATCTGGTTGATGATGCTATTCTTAGACCAGGAAGGATTGACAGAATAATCTATGTCCCTCCTCCAGATGAGATGGTGAGTTATTTTCACGTTAAGTGATAAGGGAAATATAACCCATATAGTGATATAGGAATACCTCCCAAAATGTTTGTAGTTCCACAAGCATTTATGACATATTTAACATTCCCGATCCATAAAGTGATTTTAGTGCTACGGTTATAGTAAGTCTGTGTTAGAGTATTGGAGTTACGATCAACTTAGGGCTAAAATCGCTTTGTGAAAGGACCCCAGGCTAAAAGCTTACTGCTGGTTTCTATCGGTTTAGGAAGCTACAGCTTGTGTATGAACTCAAGTGTAATATACGTTTCAGTTCATAATCCCTCTAATTACTTTGATGATGATACTGTTTCCTGAACAGTTTTCATATACATTTATAGTACAGAGCATTTTTAGCATCCTAACTATTGAGGTGGGTATCACGGTGTATTGTGTCAGCAATATAGGTGACTCTTGGGTATTGGATGGTCTGGCTCAATAGCTGATTGTGTGACTCTTGCCTGAATGCTTTGATATGGCTGAATATTGTGGATGGAGGCAATATAAAACACTCACTCACTAACTCTCTCATAACATTATGATTTCCAGACTCGTCATGAGATTCTCAGAGTGCTGACTCGGACGATGCCCTTAGACAATGTGGACCTGGGTATCCTCGCTGGGAAAACTGACTTCTACACTGGGGCGGACCTGGAGAATATCTGCAAGGAGGTAACCATGGCTACCTGAAGTATCACTGTTGAGGTTTTGTCAGTACAAGAACTATAGAAATGTATCCAGGTAGCTTTCGGTATCCACAGATGTACGGTACCTGAACCAAAATCTGACCAGAGATATGTACCCAAGTGTGTCAATGTTTATGGCACTGGTGTTAGGATTATGTGGGATTACCATAAATCCTTGAGTAAATACCTGTCTTGAATAAGCACAGAGTCAAGTGACCCTCTGCTTTGAATAAAGGTCGTGTTTTAGAGGTACGGTATGTAAGGTGAGAAAATGCCACAAGACATGGTACTGTGCATGTATGGATTACTTTTGTTGAAAAAGCTGACAGTCTGTCTGATGTCCATTTTGTGCTATATGAAAATAACTGTGCCATACATAATTAACTGAGCGGGGTAGATTTGTAATATGAAAAGGTATGTGGGATATATTCCTGTAGTTCTGGACCCAAACAGCTAAAATGTGTGGTCATAAGTTGGTATCATAATCTGATTAGGTGCCTAAAGTGTGCGAGATTCAGCTCCTGATTGGGTGCTCAGAGTGTGCGTATGATTCAGTTCCTGATTAGGTGCTTAAAGTGCGAGATTCAGCTCCTGATTGGGTGCTCAAAGTGTGTATGATTCAGTTCATAATTGGGTGCTCAAAGTGCAAGGTTCAGCTCCTGATTGGGGTGCTAAAAGTGTGTGAGATTCAGCTCCTGATTGGGTGCTCAAAGTGCAAGATTCAGCTCCTGACTGGGTGCGTAAAGTGTGCGAAATTCAGCTCCTTATTGGGTGCTCAAAGTATGTGAGATTCAGCTGCTGATTGGGTGCTTACAGTGTGTGAGATGCAGCTCCATCAGAACTTCCTTCCATAACCCATTGAATACACTGGGCCAATATATAATGAGTGAGTGAGTGAGTTAATATTTATCGTCACATCGGCAATATATCAGCCATATCGTGACGAGAACAGTTTATAATTATAGTAAAGATCAATAAAGTTAGAAATTAAAAACCTGTTGACAAAGAACATGTGGATAGGCAGTGTATCACATATATCCATTTAAAACTAGTAACTAAATCTAAAATACTGGAGTGAGTGAGTGACAATACAATATAAAAACAGGCTATAGATTGCCAACAACTGAAGGTAGATCACCATACTAGGGACCATGAGGACTTACAGTACATTTGCTTCCTGCATGGACCCTAGCTGGATTTACACCATCCCCCTCAGCCGTTAGCAACGTAGACAAATCTAGCCATACATTTAAAAACACACATATACTACGACTAAAAATAGCGAAGAGCTTCAATTTACTTTGAATGTTTGTGGACTTACGTCAATATATGATGAAATGATTATGAGTGCCAGCTGGTGTGTGTGAGAACTTTGTGTGAACCTACCGGTACTACTTCCTGACATTGAAGCAGTGAGTACAATGTCCAGCCAGACTGCTCACTGGTCTGAACCATCAGGATGGCTAGAACAGATAACATGAGATGATCCTGCATTTTCTTACTTTGGCACTTTAATGACAGATACTGTTTTTTGGTATGTTTTTAACAATGTCAGCTATGTTGAAATCTGGATTGAAATGAACCTCATTTCAAATTTATATGTTGAAAATATACACTATGAACAAAGAAATCATATATAAATGGTGATTATGTTTTATTGTGAAACAACATCAGTGCTGGGCGAGCCATTACCAATAGACATCACCAGTAGAACGTGTAAGATCCTCTCTTTCAAGCATAAGGTGACCCCTCTTCTTAACCCGTCAGTCCAGCTACAAACACCCACTTATACACAGTGATATATAGTTGTTTGCTATTGTGTCCTAGATGTATGAAAGATAATTGTAAGATGATTTCATTATATTCCAGGCCGCCATGCTTGCCTTGACAGAGGACATAGATGCCGGGAAAGTGAAAATGAAGGACTTCATTAAGGCACTCGACATTGTGAAGCCTTCCCTCAACCAGCAGCTTGTGGATAGGTATAGAACACTGGGAGACAGATACAGAACCAGCTGATGGATGTCCTGCAACAATAAACTGATTATATTGTCATGGATAGGTATAGATCACTGGGAGACAGATACAGGTATAGAACACTGGGAGACAGATACAGAACCAGCTGATGGATGTCCTGCAACAATAAACTGATTATATTGTCATGGATAGGTATAGAACACTGGGAGACAGATACAGAACCAGATATGTATAGAACACTGGGGAGACAGATACAGAACCAGCTGACGGATGTCCTGCAACAATAAACTGATTATATTGTCATGGATAGGTATAGAACACTGGGAGACAGATACAGAACCAGTTGACGGATGTCCTGCAACAATAAACTGATTATATTGTCATGGATAGGTATAGAACACTGGGAGACAGATACAGAACCAGCTGGCGGATGTCCTGCAACAATAAACTGATTATATTGTCATGGATAGGTATAGAACACTGACGGATGGCAACAATAAACTGACAGATAGGTACAGAACTGGGAGACAGCAGAACCGGATGTCCTGCAACAATAAACTGATTATATTGTCATGGATAGGTATAGAACACTGGGAGACAGATACAGAACCAGTTGACGGATGTCCTGCAACAATAAACTGATTATATTGTCATGGATATGTATAGAACACTGGGAGACAGATACAGAACCAGCTGACGGATGTCCTGCAACAATAAACTGATTATATTGTCATGGATAGGTATAGAACACTGACAGATACAGATACAGAACCAGCTACAGAACCAGTTGACGGATGTCCTGCAACAATAAACTGATTATATTGTCATGGATAGGTATAGAACACTGGGAGACAGATACAGAACCAGCTGACGGATGTCCTGCAACAATAAACTGATTATATTGTCATGGATAGGTATAGAACACTGGGGACAGATACAGAACCAGCTGACGGATGTCCTGCAACAATAAACTGATTATATTGTCATGGATAGGTATAGAACACTGGGAGACAGATACAGAACCAGTTGACGGATGTCCTGCAACAATAAACTGATTATATTGTCATGGATAGGTATAGAACACTGGGAGACAGATACAGAACCAGTTGACGGATGTCCTGCAACAATAAACTGATTATATTGTCATGGATAGGTATAGAACACTGGGAGACGGATACAGAACCAGCTGACGGATGTTCTGCAACAATAAACTGATTATATTGTCATGGATAGGTATAGAACACTGGGAGACAGATACAGAACCAGCTGATGGATGTCCTGCAACAATAAACTGATTATATTGTCATGGATAGGTATAGAACACTGGGGGACAGATACAGAACCAGTTGACGGATGTCCTGCAACAATAAACTGATTATATTGTCATGGATAGGTATAGAACACTGGGGGACAGATACAGAACCAGTTGACGGATGTCCTGCAACAATAAACTGATTATATTGTCATGGGTGTTGTTTTCTCTTACCACTCCTGTCAGAAATTTTGTTACGGAATTCCAGATAAGATGGATATTTGTGCAAAATGCATAAAATACATCAACATTGACCCATTAATTTTAGTTGCTTGCTTACAAATATCCATCAATGTTTTTAGAATGAACAGTTTAACACTGTGCTGTTACTCAGTGTGTTGTTTTCAACATGACTACATGGGTTTCTTTACAGATCTGTTTTTACTGATTGAATTCAGGCATTACACAATTGCATTGAATGATTCAGTAAATCAGACAATATGTTTCACTTTTCATAAATAAGACATATTGCTGTTGTAGGTTTTTGCGACGTTAGACACTTGAGCCAGCACACAAACAGATGCAAATTAGAAACTGCTTGAAGCAACTTTCAATGAGATGTTTCTTTTTAAGCACATTGTGTAGCAATATCCAGTGGACTTGAGTAAAATCAAGTGGAATAATTTTAGGCTGCAATGAGAAAATTAATACCGACTGAAACTGATGCTAGGTGGCCTGGTGGTTAGAACATTCCCTACACAACCTAGAGTGAGTGAGTGAGTATGGTTTTATGCCACTTTTAGCAATATTACAGGAATATGGCGGAGGACACCAGAAATAGGTGTCATTTCTAGTTAAAATGTTTTAGATTTAATTACTAGTTTTAAATGGATATCTGTGATACACTAGTAGTTTTACTGTTCTTCGTCAACATGCTTCTATTTTCTAATTTTATTGATCTATAATACCATTATTAATTGTTCTCGTCATGATATAGCTGAAATATTGCTGATGTGACAATAAATATTAACTCACTCACCAGAAATGGGCTTCACCCTTTGTGCCCAGATCTTCAGTGTGATGAACAAATGCTTTAACCACAATTCTACCCCACAGTCCCACACACAACCAAGAGTTTCAGTCCATACAAGCACTATCATGCTACCAGTGATGACTCTTATATAGATGTAAGGTTTCTGATAGGCTGCAGCTCTGTTCTCTTATTCATTTCTTCACTGACACAGTTACACACTCACTCACCATAAGAATCCGTCATAATAACAACAGAATAAGGTCTAACCTAACGATGTTAACATGGTTGACTCAATAACTGATGTTTATTGCAGAGCTGCAACAGTAGATGAAGTCCCTGATTTTGATCTTTCGTGCAGTGGTCTTTATCAGGAATTCAAAACAAAGGATTCAGCAAATCCTGGCATGGAAAAGGGAAGTAACCCTGCACAGGGAATTCTTGGGGCTGAAACTACTCAATCAATAGGGGCCACGTAAAACCTCTTTAATCAGCCTCTGTCAAGACAATTCTTTCACCTCCAGCTCACATGGGCGTGTCACGCTTAGAAACAGCGTTAGAAAGACATATAGGTACATAGACCCTACCCTAGTACTATATAAAAGGCCTTTTATATAGTACTAGGGTAGGGTCGATATATCTATATGTCTTTCTAACGCTGTTTCTAAGCCTGACACGCCCCTGTGCTCCAGCTCACATCCCCAGATAAAATACTTTTTAAACCAGTATTGGACCCAGTCACACATTTAAATGGGAAGAAGCTATTTCTGTAGGGTATAGTGGATAAAGGGTCGAATGGAAAGCTGAAGATTGCTTCCAGCCCTGCTGCCATAGACCAAAAGATGTTACTTCTTGTTCCAGCCCTGCAGCCTAATAGACCAAAAGATGTTACTTCTTGTTACCCAGCCTAATGTTCAGCTTTAAGTTCGGTCTAATGTTCAGCTTTAAGTTCGGTCTAATGTTCGGCTTTAAGTTCGGTCTAATGTTCGGCTTTAAGTTCGGTCTAATGTTCAGCTTTAAGTTCGGTCTAATGTTCGGCTTTAAGCTCGTATAAGAGAATTACTAACTAATCCGCTGATAGTTGGAACCGGAACTCGAATTAGATGAACTTGACATCGTAACATATACATCTGTTTCTTTTAACATCCATCAGGAGGATCTGTATCTTTATGGCTAGTTGCCATGAAAACGCAAAGTCTATAAATAGACTGATGTTCATCTGTAGAGGCGTGCTTGTAATATATATGTTGGGAGAAAGAGAAACTGACACTCTGGTAACACTTCTTACCACAACTCTGCCCATTTGAATTCAAGAATGGATGTACAGAAGGGTGTAAATGTCCTTTGGGTTTCACAAACGACAAATATGCCTTTGTTCTGAACTCACAATGCGTGGGCTTTTAATCTTATCGACGACGGGGGTGGCAATATATTCGAGTCTGGTTTGTTTAAAGGAATGTTCAGATATGGAGAAGACAGCCACGTTTGCGTCGACGACGCCCAAGGCCGGGCGTGTTTCACACACACGTGCATCATGCACAGGCGATGCTGTGAAATAAACAATATTTTTTTAAGGGAACGTACTGTGACTCATTCACAGAACGTCAAAACAAGCAATGGGCGCTTCTAGAGGATGGGAATGGTATACACAATATTGTTGATTTATCACAACAATTGTGCTTTGTACAGGATCGGAGGAACCCCATATCACACATTCCCCATCCTTGAAAAAGTTCCGAGACCCGCCTCTGCGTGTGTGTGTTGCACACACGCCTCAGTCTGACTCCGTTAACACCGCTGTAAAAAGAAGTAATAAACAACATATGAATCCCATCATGCATTGAAAAGAAAAACATTTATGCAACAGAAAATGTATCAAGATGTCCAGATTTTATTCGGAAACAAATTGTTCAGCAATTTCGAGATGTCTTTATACTACATATACAACTGTTTACATCTCATATTGATATACAAAGTTTAATCGAAAAACCCACACCACGTGCATGAGTCTGTGTCGTCTGTCAATCTTTTTAATATACATGTACGATACATACTACTCGAAGTATGCTAAGGCTCACCACTTTAAAATATATTAGGTGAAATATCGAACGGTAAACATGTGAAGACATGTTTAATGGAAGAAACGTCCATATCCACGGACCATACAATGCAAACAAACAACGTGACGAATAATCAGTCAGATGTCCCGACAAAATGATTTCTGAACCCAAATTGAAACCGTCAAAGGATCACAAACACAAACTCGATGCCCGGGTGATGCGAATGTAGCGTGACACCATCGTCTCATGCACCCAGTAAGTGTGTAGATGGTTGTTAGGGTAAGATCGTTCCACTCTTCAGTATGAGCATTGGCGAGTTCATGTAGATTTGCTGGAAGGTAGGTCTGCAGCTAGTTTCACATATTTTCGATGGAAGGTCAGTTCTCGTGAAAGGGCTGGTCATTCCATGCATACAATGGTCTCATGCTATTAGTTGGACAGCCTTATCGTCACCGATACGGCGATGCTTATACGATGAGGTGGTGGAACGCCGTCGACCACCTGCATGTCGCTGAATAGCTGCTCCAAAGGTTCGGGTATCGATTCCACTCCCAACTGATCACAATTTCTCTGACACCGAAAACGTGCCTTGTGTTGGTTCAGTTTTAAGCAGTGATCGACATCTTTGACGGCGTAGAGGCATACGAGCATTCTGCTGTTGCAATCCTCAAATGTTGTTATCTGATAGCGACGTGCAACGATTCTGCCCCGATACATCAATCCAAACAATGGATTCATGCACCACGAAGCCAGGACAACATGCTTCTGTCCACCATTCATAAAGCGACGGTCCCGCCGACGTTACCCAATCATTGTATACTGGAGATATTTAATTCTTCATATATTGGATGATTATATGATCTCATCAGAACTTGATCCCTAGCAAATCTTGATTAGTATACTGCCGAGACATTCAACCAGTGATTATATGTTGTAAGTAGGTCGAGACGGTTATAATTTACTTTGGAAACAAACAAAATATAAAACTGAACGTATATACTTAAAAGCATCACAGTATAATAGTATAAAATTCTTTCTATGCATATTTTGTTATATTAAATATAAACACTATCAAGTATACCATGGAATATCTTTAAAGAGATTCACTCAGTATTACTTAGTATACGAAGGGAAATCAGATCCGGTCTATACATGTAGATTAGAATGATATTTCTCTGCTTTAATCAATAACTGTATATGAAAAAGGATATAACAAAATTGCATTTGTAATCCCTATCCTTCTACTTGTATTTGTTGTGTGTCTTACAGATACGTATTAGGATAGCGCCACGCAATTGCTCACGTAACTGCGCTTGCCATTCATGTGAACGTAAATCAACATGATTTAATGAGCCATCTTACCCAGGTTCCTGATTTGTAGATACAAACATCGTAAAATGTGTTGCGGTTTCAACTTTCTCATTCAGGGCCTGTTAACGTGACCCTAAATTCACAAAAATAATGACACCTGACAACATGGTGACAAGGTTTCCTCAACATTTACAGGAACTTCGATTGTGCTTATTGCTTTTGAAAAATTGCTGTGGAATTTATTCTTCTGTATGGAAAACCCCCAGATGTTTTTAACATTTGAACACTATTTCTTACGCAAAATGATAGTTTATGGCGAAATGTTACACAATCCCTACACCATCTCGCCCTCTAGCCCAGTTTTTACTAATTCTACGCATAATTTCAGAAATGAGTGAGTTGGTCTTGACTTCACAGTATCAGCAGAGACGTATCAGCTTAATGCTGGAGGAAATCACACTAGTAGGATATGGCGCTGAAAACCACGTACCATAATCGAGACGATTCGAACCCACCATCCGACTACCGTTTATATGAGCACGTGTACCAGGGTATGAAACTCCCAAATTTTTTAGCAAGACCACAGGGCTGGTTACATGTAAAGCTTGCCAGCTCTGACCAAAACTTACCTGCCCACAAAAATACTATAGTAATTTACTTAGTGTAATTAAATTAAAACTTGTAAAATGTTGAAAACAAATTATACCAATGCAAGAAAAGAATTAACTGTTTATTTCAGATTTATGAGTGAATTAATAATGATTTATTATCCTGAAATATGATGAATATCTTCATATAAGTGTCTAAATTTTAACCCGTCCGTCGGGCAGGTGAATTTGAGAATCTGGCAGTCCGTGTCGAAAATAACCCGTCCCGGGCGGTCGGGCAGGCAGGTATTTCGAACGCTGTGAGCACCCTGGCTTAGGCGTTGAAAAGTTTCTAAAGCCGGTGGGCAGTTTTGTTTTAAGCATATTTTATTCACAGAGAAAAGGATTAGGAACAAGTTCCCCAACTTAGAATACCCTCTCCCTGTACCCAGTGGGCAGTAAGACTGACTGACTGAGTTTAGTTTTACACCGCTTTTAGCAATATTCCAGCAATATCACGGCGGGGGACACCAGAAATGGGCTTAACACATTGTGCCCATGTGGGGAATCGAACCCGGGTCTTCGGCGTGACGAGCCAACGCTTTAACCTGGGCAGTAAGAGATACCTAGCAGTAATTAGAGACCCAACAGTATAGGGTGTTGCCTAATATACCGACATCAATAAACCGATATACAATAGAGGCATCCTTTGTTCCTAAATTTATTTATTCTAATTAAAACTGACAAACCCGACGCTGTTCAGAGACCCGTCGGTCATTTACTATGCATGGTACCGCGATTATCGCATGACGCCGCCCATTTGATTAATGCGTAAATGCTTATTCCTGTATTTTTTCTTTACGCCTTATATAAAGCCAAGATTTACCAAAATCAGAAATCTTCTGTTTGTGTTATTTTTTAAATAGGTTGAGTCATACGCTGTCTCACTCTTCAAGTATATGTCAATATGCTATTGTTGTGTATGTAACAGATGCATTTTCTTTCTTTCTACTGTTTCAGTGGTTTTATCATTTTATCATTTATAAATGAGAATCAACGACCAGCGTTTCGAAAACACGTCTTAGTTTTACAATCGATTTTTCACCATGTGTGAACTGATATGAAAAGGAAGGAACGTATGTTGGCACAACTAAAGAATGATATTGACTAAAACTTCAAACTGTCAAAGATTTATTCGTCGTCGGTGATTTGCACACTGATTTATATTGCATTTGAGCAGACAGCTAGTGATTTTCACTCGGCGGAGGTGTTTCTACATTTTCGCTTACTGTAACAATTGTAATTATCATGACTACTTTTTAAAACATTGGATATGCAAATATCGTTATGTATTTTCGATTATATAATAATTAAAAATCAACTTAGAATTATATATTAGAGAAAGAAATAATTTCACACACCATATTTTATAACCAAACAAGATAAAAAAGGGAAAATTCGGGGTGCAGCAGGTGCCCATTTATGATAACAGACGATTATCTCCCTTCGCGCTGTTTAGGTCTCGTCAAATGACCGTGATTTCTCGAGAGCCGAGAATGTCAGTCATGGCTGCTGGAGAGAAAATCAGATGGCATTCTACTTTTCCAAGAAGAAATGGAGTTTCTGATCCGTATTTACACATCGGATACCAATCACTAACTCTATGCAGCAGAAATGGTCGCCAGTAAGGGGCCAGGGGTCCTACTCATTCTTTCCTGGATCTGCGTTTGTGCCAATGCAGGTAAGAAACCGTCTGCTAGAAATGTCAGACGAATCGGTTTGCAAAGCAAGGTTCTGAAAGCACCCATGTCGGTTGACAGCGTGGTGTATCATATTTCGGGCGCGGTTCGTTGCCTCCTAGTTCATTTCTAGAAACATTTCAAACACATTTTATGCGGTCCCATCCACTGCATGTTTAATGAGCTAAATATGTTGAACATGACCTGCTCTCTATGTCTTTGTCCCGTATTCTGTCAACATCCTATGATCTTGGTTGTATTAACCTAGAATATTAGCTGTGTTTTCATGCATTTCTTGTATCTTCTATATTTAGTTAGTTCTCTTAGCTGTTTGTGTATTTTCGTTATATGATCGATGTCAGTTTATTTATCAATAACAGCACTTCTGTTACTGACAAATATTTGTATATTTGTGTCAGTCACAACCAACATGATACTTGCAAGATTTGTTGATCAAAAACTTCATTCATGATCATTTTGATTTTGGTTCAATGTTATTTGAGATATAATAATTTTAGACAGTGGAGATAATACATCTACCACTCCTTTGAAACCTGCCATGTATTATTGTTACTGTCTCTCATGTGGAAAACATTTGGTTGTTATTATCTGTTTATTTAGGGGGTGGGGTCAAGATGATGCACCAGTTTTCCATTTGCATTTGAATTTGTTGATTATAACTCTTCGTGCATTACATTTGATGCTTTGTTTGATTATGCAATCAAACTGTTGTTAGCATTTCGTTTTTAACTATGCATATCAAATTCTATGTTATGAATGCAATACACATAATTCTAACATACTTTGGAGGCCGTGCTTTTATAACGGATGTTATCATGATGATATCACAGTCAAACTATGAAATTACTGGCTTAATCATGGTGGTTGACTCCTGTGTAGGATATGGCATGAATGGTAGTTAATTTTAAGACACAGAAACTAGAGAAAAGTACAGTCCATGCAATTATTCTCTGATGTTTTATTTGAGGCAGTGTTATATATATACCATGCCGTCATATGATTCCGTGGTACTTACGTTTCCGTGGTATTTTCTAATGACATAATTTCTCACGAGCCACTCACCAAATCGCGCCACCTATCGATTGTTTACGTTCAACAGTCGATCATCACGGCTGAGAGCAAAAAGTGTTCAAACTTTCATCAATTTGCGTACGTACAGTCATCTACTATTAAAAACTAATGCAACTTTATGTTTAGCACTTAATGCACTTTTTGTGCGATCTTTACAAACATTTTCTATAAACTTATTCAGCTTCAAAGTTTTCCAAACATCACTCATCTGCTAGCTGATGTAATATATGAAAATAATCACGTGACCTAAGGGGGGAATCCATGCTCTATTTTTTTTAAACTTGGAAGCCCGATAGGGTCATCTCTTAAGTCGTTTTTTCACTTTTCATTTCACGTATTCCGTTGATCAACTCTACATATTTTGTGAACTGGAAATTTAGGCTGAAGAAATGTGACTATTCTGTTAATTCTATAAAATCATTGACTGTATTACAGTTTATCAACTTTGTTATTACTGTAAACCTACATTGACACTTCCGGATTGGCTGTTGATAACGTGTGAGGTTGTGACATGTGCTGTGCGCCCGTAAGTTGATCTGTAGGGAATACCACGGAAACATATGACGTCACCAGAGTTTGTGCACAATGCCCGCCTGTCGTCTGATACGGACAACGATGAACTTCAGAATGACAAAAGTGTTTTTTCTTGACATTAAATGATACAAAGGTATGTTGTCTAACTCTAGGTTATGTTTATATGACTTGACAATATCAGCAATCGTATTCATAGTTGTAAATTTCTTAATACCACGGAAACCCATGACGCGAGGATATGTATATTTGAAAGGTTTTGTCAACCAGATTTAAGAAGTTCAGGTTTATGTTCAGGTGGCATGTTTAGTGCAAAAAATGTTTTATATTTGTACATTACAAAACATTCAGCTCTCTTTCCCCCTTTATTAATTAGCTAGATGGCAACTTTTTAGCAATGACTTGTAAATAAAACTGTAATACTGAACCAATTTCTAATCTCAAATGTGAGGAGATTTAAGCTTTTATTTGTAACATGATTTGTCCTTCATAAATCAAGTATATGTCAACAGATTAGTGACAAGTATCAAATGCATCAGTGAGTATGATTGCAAATCTGTCCTTGCTACTTCAGTAGCCCCTGTCTTGCATCTATTCACATCTTGGATTTCATCACAGGGCACCGTGACTATAACTTGCTTTCACCATTTAATAGTCCATTGTTGTCCTGGTTATTACAGTGATGAACCATGATATGGGTCAATTAGCAATCATCTCCTGACAAAGACCAATTTGGTATCAGCACCTGCCAGTATTGGCACTCATTGATGACACACATGGTACTGCACACAACTAATTAAATTTGATGGGCCCTTTGTTTGAGTTAGAATTTTAATCATTTTTTTATGAAGAGATTTTCTTCTGTTAAATCTGATTAAAGACTTTATCAATTAATTATTACAAAGTTTATTATGTTCATAATATTTTGATGAAATGTTGGGTTGTTTTTGTTTCTTTGTTTCACCCGTTTGCTACTGATTTTTTAATTTCCTTGGTAGTGATTGCTTGATGCTATGTATTTTACTTTATAAACATGATAAATGGAATTCTCAATTATAGTGATAGAAGACATCCAAGATGATATAAAAAGGGTTTATAATCAATTTGTTTGATGTTTATGATTATAAAGTAGGGTTGTAAATGTGGTGGTGATACACTTTGCTGCAATGTGATAAATGATACACTATACAAAAACGATGACCAAACTGACATTTTTCATGCAAGATGCTACAAATATATTCCACTGTGAATGGCAGGGAATGAAGAGAAAATAGGTCTTTGAATGGCATTTGGAAGAAATATATACACATAAGGAAGAGAATTTTATGGTTGTCAACTTATATATCCTCCGAAATGTTGCGTTCCTCATAATAAAGTAGTTGACATCCATAAAACGTTCTTCCTGAAGAGAAAAAAGGTTATAATACTACTGATTTCATAGACTATTACGGGGCGGTGGGGTAGCCTAGTGGTTAATGCGTTTGCTCGTCACGCCGAAGACCCGGGTTCGAATCCCCACATGGGTACATTGTGTGAAGCCCATTTCTGGTGTCCCGTGCCATGATGTTGCTGGAATATTGCTAAAAGCGGAGTAAAACTAAACTCAGTCAGTCAGTCATAGACTATTACATTTCACCTGTTCCTTATTGTACATGTCAATAATTGACTTCAAAATGTGATGCTCATACTTTAACAGACTATTGTGATGAATTAGTCAATTGTTGCATGCTCTTATTATCAACATATTGCAAATTAGTTCGTCATGTTGATCTTAAAGTTTTCTCCAAGAATGCTTGTCAAAAGTCACAGAGGAATTATCGTATTGGTTCATTACACAAGTTAGTTGTAATTGTTTTCTGAAGTAAGTGCTGAGGACAGACGTCTTTTTATTCATGATTTTTATATCAGGACAACTGAATGAGTTTAAGGGCAGGTTAAAAACTTGTGATATTTTGATTTTGTTAATTTTATTGCTATAACAGTTGACATTGGTTATATAATTGCACAATGATTTGAAAAACAGTAAATAGTTGCTGTGGTTTCCAAAGTTGCTTTTATTCAAAGCTTACAATCATTCACTGGCTACTCTATTAGTGCAATGCCTATGTATTCTATAAGAGGTGACACAATAATTGTATGCATACTAAACATGCCATTGTGTACAATCAAATTTTGCCAGAAATTATCCGCTTTGTGAATGTCTCTGTCTATTGTTGCAAAAATGTAATTTCCTAACATCATTTTACTTTCGCCCAACTTTTCTGGTAAGTAGAAGCCTTTGACCTAAGTCCTGTACATCATGAGGTTAGTACTCAACGCTCAATGCAGTTGTGTTCAGTTTGGGAGAAACTCTCAGTAGTGTCTTTGTAAGGTAGTCCCAGTTGCGGTCACTTACATGAAAAGGTGATAGAACAACTTGACATAGGCCTGGAATGCGTGTAGCCTTTGTCCCCCAGTGTTGTTTCCCAGCACCAAGATTACTATCCTGATTACCATCAGCTGCAGGCCATGCTGGATAAGTAGAGAAACATCTATCTTTGTCTGACTGTCATGGTCCGTTTACCATGTCATCTCATGTTGATGCAAGTTGGGATCACCTTGCAGGGTTAACATTGTTGTTAGTCGGCATTTCCTTTGCATGGATAGATGTTAATGCTAACCAGCTAGCTGAGTCTGAAGCACCTTAAATATCTACAGGCTACAGGAACTTGCAGGTTCTTGACCTGTTTTCTTCAACATGTACAAAATTATCACTGTTGATGAACTCTGACACTTTAAACCCTGGAGTTAGGGCAAGTGTATGCATTCTAATGTTTAAAGTGGCAGAATTTATGCTTGATGTGATTAAGAGAACCTTATATTAAACTAGGTAAATATCCTAAGGCGAGACAACATTTGGATTAGTGGCCGTCCCGATCCATGAGTTTAGCTTCCAGTCTGAAGCTTAAGTCTTGAAAATATTGTTTTGGTTTAGTAACATACTATTAGCTAGCAAGAGTAAATCTAGCTGATGATCCTGATAAAATTCCTTATGTCTACTTTAATTGTCGCCCAGAGATTGGTTTGGCTTATTGAGCAAGTAGATTTAGAGATGAGCTTGTATCTTGTCTGTGTGTGTGTCAACCACTGATATGTTTGGTTCAGGTTGTATTACTATACAGTTGACAATATTACAGTGGTGATTACAACATACAATACCAGTGTCACTCTGCTTGATGAAAAGGGTAAATCTCTCCTGTTGTCACTTTCATTGTTTGAAATGAATAGTTTTGATTGATTAGGTTTTTTGGTTTCATGTTCAGTGGAGAGCAATCTGAGGTTTTCCGTGCTAGTTGTCAAGGTTAATGCATGGTATGTGTGGCTCAGTCTTGATAGATTC